ACCTTGTAAAGAAAAGAAATAAAAGCACTCACCAAAGGTGAGGAATAAAAAATAAAAAAATAAAAAAAATAATAATAAAAAAAACTGCATTCTTTCAAGATGTCAACTGATTAAAAAGGAAGATAAGGAAAGAATGTAAGATGTATGATTAGTTTGAGTTTGTAGCCTAGCCATTCCGAGTCATTACGCCCTTAGGAGTGTCTTTACACTTAACGCCCTAAGACCATCTGGTTTGGGAGTCGTTAGCTCAACGCTTGTTATATGGGGTGATTAGAGAGCTTAAGGAACTTGGACATTGCACATGGTCATACATAAAAAAAATAAAAATAAAAAGTAAAAAAAATAAAAATAAAAAAGAAAAAAAATAAAAAGAATAAAAGAATGTATGATTGAATAACAAGGTTCATTCAATGTCTTGATGTCTGGTACTACATCTGTATGCTAGTTTGAGGGTATGGCTATGCCATTACTTTGATTTGCTAGAATAACAACACATTTTGATGCCAGTTCACTCAAAAAGGATGATATAATTGATTCAATTTGCATGATTAATTGATTGATGTGTGGAGGACCATTTTTGCTTACATGATGTTGAAATGTTGATAATAGCTTAGAAATGGCAAAAATTTGCATGCTTGAGGTAATCTACTTTCAACACTTATTTAATATGTGTCGTTATTTCTCAAGTAAGAAAGAGCTTTTGATGTTTGTGGGTACCATTTCTGAAAACTCTCACGAGACTTCACTCGTCTACTAGGGGTAACCTAGGAGTTTAAAAGGCTTGTTGCATATGTTAAATGCAACCGTGATCCCTACGAAAGTGGTATTATCTTTATTTGCTTTATTAGTTCATAGTTGTATATATGTTTGTTTCATTTCCATACTTTAGTTCATTGCTAGGGACTAGCAATATCTAAATTTGGGGGCGTGATAAGTGCTTAAATGTTGCACATTTCAGCACGTAAGTTAGGGCATTTCAGTCTTTGCATCTATCTTAATTTCATGTTTTAGTCTTAATTTATGTTTATGTGTATTTCAAGGCAATAAAGTTAAAATGAGCTAAGAACGGTCCATTAAAGTTTTTTTGGAGTCAAGCAAAGATATTCAGAAAAAGTTCAGAAAATGACAAAAAGAGGTCGTAGTCCATTGCTCGTATAGTGTGTTTATTCTTCGAAAGCGGTCAATCTCGGGCCTTTAATGATATTCCCAAAGATGAAGAAGCAAACCAATTAGCCCGGAGCCAAAATGGAGCTAAATAAAGCTTAAAGGAAATTTCCAACTCTAGGGGAATCGATCCCCCACTGACTTGGCAACATTACAGATTTTTTTTTATTGTTTGGACTTATTTTGTGAACTATTGGGCTTTAATAGGGTTGTTACTTAAGGCCCAGTGAGCCATTAGATTAGGGTTAGTATTTATTTTATTTAGGTGAATATTATTATTTTATTATGAAGTTTTAGTCTTCTGTATCGATATTTTTATTCTCTCTGGAAAACACGAAGAGGAAAAAGTTAAGGTTCTTGAGAAAAGCTCAGAGAATAAGAAGAGGAGCCAGATGAATCAAATGATGGGGCTTGTTGACATCTTGCATCCATCAACCATGAGTGTCTGATTCTTCAACTTAGGGTTGGATAAATCCTAAGCATGTAACCTAATTCTTAACTCTTGACTTTTGGAAATTAATTTGTGTAATTTATGTTATAGCCTTGATATATATATATATATATATATATATATTAATTCTTTCATTTGATTGTCTATGTCAATCTCATATTGTCTTTTATGTTTTTGAATGATAATCAATTTCTACACTTGATTTCTTTGTGACTTGAATCTTGTGATGGCTATACATTGTATTAATTAGATGTAATTGTGTTTTGATTTGATGAAAATTGCTTTTATTAGATGGGTTGTACTACAAAATTAGGTTAATGTCTTGTCTAAATAGTTTAATTTCAGGCTTACTTAGTTTAATTTAAAGTTAATTAATTTAATTGCAATTTAATTCCTAGGTAAGTAGACAATCCATACTAGTGCTTGAAATCCATACTTATTGTCACAATTGCATTACCCTTTAAATTAATGTGTGTTGAAATTGTAACTTAAATTGATGAATCATGCTTTGAATTGGTGAATTACACTACACTTAGTTTAATTGTCATTAGGTAGTTGATTCATGATTGAAATTAATGGTTTATACTTTTTATTGCAATTATTAGCCACATTCTAGATTACACATTTTTATTCCCCAATTAGTTAAAAGTTAATGAGTTAGGGAATGTGCTTAGTGGTGAATCCTACACCTTAAGTCTCTTTCCAATCTTTTATACTCTACTCTTTATTTGCATTATTAAGTTTAAAATTAGTCTAATCACAAAACCAAACCTTTTTAGCAATCACATAAGCACTAAAGTAGAATTCAATTCTGGTAAACCTATAATTGTTTAGATCTCTTAGGACGATTCTTGCTCACTTCATACTCCATAGTATAAGTGTCTAGTGGTTTTATAAATTTTAAAATATGGTACCCACTTGACATTATTTCTAAACCTAAAGTGTTGTGCATTATTTTGTGCACACGCTTGGTCGCACCACTTGTTAGATGGTCAAGATTGATCATCAAAGGCCGTAAGGAGCTCTATAGCCACTACCTATACTAGAGTGGAAATGGGAGAGAATTTCTATGGATTTTATGGAAGGATTGCCTAATTCATTTAAGGATCACAATTTCATTTGGTTCATCGTTGATAGGTTGACTAAATCAGCTCATTTCTTGCCTATTCTTACTGATTTCACTTTGGAGTAGTTGGCGAGACTTTATGTGATAACCCCCCAGATTTCCGGATGCGGGTTGGCCAGGCCCACACCCGACTACCCGAGGATATCAAACAAATTAGCAATAAATGAACACAGAATACAATTAAGATAACAAGAATAAATAAAATTTGCTGAAAAGAATCTCGAATGATAATCCAAAACTAAAAACCTCAGAATAAAATTTTATAAATAAAGTATTAATCTGATACATCCAACTTTTCCAATTCTACTACAACTCTGGAATCCATCTGGTGGACCCCTTGTAAAACCAACACTAAGAAACGAATCACCGGAAAGGAATCCAATGCTACACCATGCAGGAACCACCTATGTCGTCGGTAGAGTGAGTAGTCGTGTCTGCTCGGCATGAACAAGCTCTAAGACCTGATACCATCCGTTACCTGAAAAATAATAGTGGGTCGAGCCCACGAACAAGTTCTATCCTAACTACAATCCAAACAAAGACCCGATACGCAGATACATCCTAGATGTCTCAACCATATCTATATAGTACATAAATAGATATATACATATAACCACACTACAGGACTCTCACTAGACTATGCTGAGGGTCTCAACCTGAATAGAAGGCAACATGCAAAAACGCACCTGAGTGGGCATGACTACCTAAGCCTAATAGGGTATACCTCAACCAACATAGCTAGCTATGCATCCTACTGCATATACACTCCCTAACCGTCGACTATGAGACTCAAGCTCAGATCACGGTACCATAATTATATATATAAAGTCCGATCCTATCCAACCATAAGAAATCCAGCTAATCGTTCAGCTTGTTCAGCCGCACAGACTAACATAAATTAAATGTATATACATCCCATCCAAATACAATGTTGAGCTGGTCAACTATTCGTCGCCAAACCACAACATATAATTAGGATTTAAATGTTTTAATTAAATCCTTATCCTTCCTATTAACAAAAAATATAAACAACCATCCAATATGTCATTCAACTGTTTTAGTTGACAGGATATGAAACCATGTAGGATTTAACTGTTTTAGTTAATCCATTCCGTATGTATGAATGTGTTGGAATTAGCGTTTTGATATAATCCGTCCCTCCGTATGTCACCGTCCCATACCGGTACATACCATGCATATGATCCGTAAATGATGCATTAACTCAATCAGTACACCAAATACAATCCACATAAATCCATGTAGCTGATAAAACAAAATTGGAACAGTTTATCAACTAAATATCCATGAAATTGACGAGACAAAACTTAATCGTTCATCAACTTAAAATCCAGAATCCACTCATATAATTGACAGAAAATATGTAATTAATTCTTCAATTATGTCCAGGTTAACTCCCATGTAAATTACAAAACCTATGTTTTAGTTTAACAATTTAAGTCCAAAACCATCATCCAGTTGAAAACCATCATCCAATTAATTGCAGAATAGTGTATCTAATAATTCAACAATTTAAAGCAAACATTTTACTCATGTAACTGCAAGAAAATTAATGTTTCAGCAATATAAAAATCCAAAGCGTGCACAGGTCCAATCTGTTAACTAAAAGACTCTACTGTGCATCTAAAAGAAAAATTAGAAACATGTTATAACTCATTAAATTGCCATATTAGAACAAGCAAGTAATTTCCTATCCTTAATCTACGGAATTGCAGAACGGATTTATTAATTCAGCAATTATATTCCCGAGTGTGCACAGATCAAATTTATTAAGTAAATGACCCTAACGTGCATTTAAAACAAGATTCTAATAAGATAAAAACTTAACTAATATTAAATAATATTTTTATAAAGGAATATTTTTATAATTTTAAAATAATAATTATAATTTTTAATTTAATATTAAATAAAAAGGTCAAATTTAATATTTCACAACTCATTTAACAGATCGGTCACAAATTTGAAATAACTTTATAAGTACTGTATTATTTGTTTATGAGATTTTATAATTATACTGAAAATTTTATGCACAATTTTTAATTTGAGGGAAAGTTTTATGATTTTAAACCCCATATTATCCAATAAGAAAACCCTAAATTAAGAATAGTCTTGGTAAAAAAAATAAAATAAATAAGAATAGTCTCTCTATCTAAATTATTGCATTTCATTTAAAAAATCTTATTCCACAATGAAAGAAATATTTTCACAAGTACTTCTACTAATTATCAATGTTCTCCAAAAATTTTCTTGAAATTTCATAAAATTAATACACTGGCATTATCCACCTCTACTTGGTCTTTCCCGCGTATGTCCTCTCTTCCTCTTTCACTCCCAAGACACCCATCTTCACTCTCGGGGCAAACCCTACAATCTCACTATCAAATGGCTCAAGTGCTCTTTGTCCGAGTATTTAACTCCACAGAAATGTATAAAGCTTCTTCTTCTCCTCCTTCAAAACCATCAAAATTCACCAAGAAAATCCGAGAGCCAAACCCTTCAATTTCGACTCGTAAAACAGGTAATCTCGGTTCTTTATGTTTGGTTTCCAAGAAATTGTAGGAAAAATTGTAAACCCAATGAAAAAAACTAAAATATCCACCTTAATGAGCCTAATTTAAAGTTGCTTGGTTATGTTGGGAACCTGAATTGTGTATATATATTTTCTGTTTAGTTTTCTTAGCAACCAAACAGAGGGTTGGACCCGCTTAGCTGGAAAAATTGTTTTGTAATGTTATGGCCATGGATTCCCTACACCTGCTCTTTGATTCCAAGTTACTTTTTTGTTCTATGTTATTTTAAGGTCCTGTCAATCCTGCACACAAAAAGCAGAAGCTGAATTTGGAGGTTTCTCCTCACAGAGCTGGTAATTTAATTATTATTAAAAAAAAATTGGGGTTTTTCCTCGAAGTAACAGTTCCTTTTATCTGCTTGATTGTTGAGTGAGAGTGTGGGAGTATATTGTAGCTTTCTGATTTTTTGAATGCACTTTTTTTTTTGGCTGATACAGTCTCGGCAGTTAGGTTGATGCGTATAGAGCTTGGTGGTGCTTTTGCTGACCTCTTGAATCGGAGTGGGAAGGGTTCAGGTGACAATGAAATGGCATATGTTGAAAGAACTCTTGGGTTTCGCACCCGTGCTTTGGATGATAAAGATCTCAGACTGGTCTTTCTCTTACTTCCAATATCATATATTGTGCTTACCATTTTCCTTCCGTGAAACTTGTATCCTAGGATATGCTACACGGCTGCACCTTACTTTATCATTGCATTTATCAGCAAAAGTAACATGGCATGAGGTTTTTAAAAACGATTTTAAAAAGTTAAATATGGTAGGTGAAACGGCATGCAATAAAAAAGATTGGAGAGAGAATTCATGTGGTTGACCCCATTTATATGGGATTAAGGCGATGCTAATGATGATGATATAGTAAATAGATCAAATTTCATTTATGGACAAGAGAATTGTTGGTATGGCATGCCTATATTCCTGATTTGTTTTGGCACTAACCCCCTCTTTTCTTTTTCTTTTTTCATCATACAGGTCACAGACATTGTTGGAGGCACCATTCGTTGGAGAAGATATCTTGATCATTTGATTCTTTCATTATTCCATGACGAGAACACATTTAGAAGCATAGAACCTCTTCTGTTACAGGTACATTTGCCTTGCAAGTCAAATAAATGGAATATTTTCATGGTTATATGGGGATGAATGTGTAAACTATTATCGTTTGAATTGAAAATTGTATAGGTAGATTGGCAGACATATGACTATATGAGTTTACTGGCTATAGAACTATAACTGGTAACAGTGTTGTTTATGCTGCTCCTATGATTAGTTACATTTGAATGGAGCTCTACAGGATAATTCGAATCAAGTTTAGAAACATTCTGACCATCTAAAGATATATGGATTTGTATTCCAACAGTGTCAGAAAATTGCCTGCTTCCATGTGTTAAAAACTTACTTCTTTATCCAATGACAGGCCTGCACTGTTGGTGAAAAAGTTTGGAAGTTGAATGTGCAGTGAACCTAAAGGTTCTATAGGTTGATTGTTGTTTTAGAGGATGAATTTTACACATTGGATGTTTCAACTTCCAACCTTATTAAAATTGTAAAAATATACCAGTTACTTAAGTTGTTCTGTCTCTTTGTTTCTAGATTCTCCGAATTGGTTTCTACGAGATTGTCAAGCTACAAATGCCCCCATATGCCGTAGTGGATGAGGTAAAATTTTCTTGTTTGGTTTTATTCCCAGAATTTTTGCTTATGTTGTTTCTAAAAATAATCATAAAATTTGGAGCTTAAGCAGCAATTTTTGCTAAGATGGATAGTGTAAGTGGGATGTAAAATAACTCTTCAGTTTCAGGAAATTTGCAGATGACAGGTATAGCCATGTATTGGTTTTAGAATCTGCCTTTCTGTCTTTTTACTAGAGATAATCAATGACCGACTCAAATGATGGCTCGAAAAATGAAAATGATGGTTACACATACCTGTTTGATTGTTTTATTGGGAAACACTCAGAAAAGGATGTAGATGAACTTCATTTTTTCTAAGTTGATCAAGTGCTGGGTGTTAATACCAAAAACTGGGCTTCATTGTGTCCTAAACATTGGTCCACTAACCTCCATTTCACCTGTGTTCCACACACCTTTTACATTTATTATGTTTTGCTAATCTTTTCTTGATTTTGTGTTTTGGGCACTAATGTTCATTTTTATGGTTGCTGCATGTATATCTTTAGAATGTGAGGCTTGCAAAAGTTTCTCTGAGACCCGGTGCTGGTAACATGGTCAATGGGGTTCTTAGAAGACTAGTTTTGCTTAAGGTTTGCTTTATTCTATACTTATGAAGCATAACTAAGTGGTAATTACAATAATTGTAATGACTGCCTTGTTCTTTTGAGTCTGCAGGAAAATAACTCCCTTCCTTTACCCAAAGTGGAAGGCAATGATCGTTCACAATCACGTGCTCTTGCCACACTTCATTCTCATCCAGTTGTAAGTTTAGTGTTGAATCTTTTTCTTCTATTAACAACTTCAAGGATAACTGAAGCTAATCATAGAGGTATCTATGACAAACAACCTGATTAATCCTTGGGTCTGTCCATGGAATTTATAGAAGAGTCAATTTATTCTTTTACTGTATCTTTTTTTTTTTTTTTTCCTTTCCCCCAGATACCGAACATCTAAGTTTTTTTTCAGATTTTGATCAAGTCTCAGGATTTGGTTCTATCTCAAGAGCAAATAACGTTTAATGTGAGGTAGAATTTAGGTTAAAAGCCGGTATTAGCTATACTTGAGTTTTAGTCTTAACTTTTGTAAACTTCGGTAGCAGTTTGTTTATTCTGCTCCTATAAATGAATGAGGTTTTAACTTGAAGTTGGAGTTTTAAACTATGGTTGTAAACCCCCATTCAGGCAGAGAGAGGACCCCAACTCTGGTTAGGCATCGGCAAAGGTTTTGCAAACTTTTCTTGCTGAATACAAGGGGCTAATTGGATGTTCAAATCTTAATGTAGTCTGTGTAAACTTGATCAGTTGGTTTAATGAAGGGGTAACACAATCCTATTTGATTTTCAATATAGTTCCAAATGATGTTTTAGATTACACAATTAATGTAGTCTGAAGTAAATGGATTTGACTTTAATTTGTAATTCTCATAAAATGGAGGTACAATGATAGACAAGTAAAGCAACATTGTCATTGTCTATGTTTACTTTCTCTCCATCTCTCATTCTACTTTCCTTTTCCATATTTTCTAGTGGATGGTGCGACGATGGAGAAAGTACCTTGGGCTTGAGGAAGCTATTAAGCTGATGATATGGAATAACAGTGATCCCAGTTATAGCCTCAGGTTTCTGATTACATTTTACTTTATTTAGTATGCATATCAAAGAAATCTCATAGTCCCATCATCTAATTCCAATTTCAGGGCAAACAGTGGAAAAGGTTTCACAAGAGCCGACCTTGTGATGCGGCTCGAAACATTGAAGGTGCTTGACTAATGTCTGTGTTGGTTTGGTTATCGGATGTTTAATTTTTTGGTCTCTTTCCATCCCTCTCAGACGCATGGCCACCCCACTCAGCACAGCACATGTTGCCATTTCATACACATACTACATATATAATGCATACGAATATTATGAATATATGTATTTATGCCTGCCAAAATCAAACAAGTATATCTATTTATGGAGTATTACTATTCGTATATTCATGCACAGCTCTCTCTCTCCCTCTCTTCTCTCTAAATATAAATATGAAAATTTTATGCATATGCTTGTAGCCAACCACAAATAGTTTGGGGAAATGCTTTGTTGAGTTGAATTGAGTATGCTTGCCTGTATTTTACTATGAATTAATGCATGATTTTTATGTATTTTTTCCTTACCTCCTGCTACCTGTATTTATGATCTCAATTTCTCTCCACACACACACACACACATATATTTATGTATTTTATTTCATATGCTTGCCTGTATGCATGATATTTATGTACTTTATTCTTATATTCATTGTCTCGATTTGGGTTGATGAAATGAAATCCGGGCTAATAGGACTGAAGATAGCCAACGAGTCAATATATTGGACATAAAAAATATTACTTGCTTGGTGAATTAACTCTCTATCAGAAGTCAAGACACCTACATTTTATTTGTAAAAATATGCTGTTAATGAAATTGATTTGGCTTCCTGATCGGTGACGATGTTGGAGTGTTTGCCCAGGTAATTGTTGTTGCAATTTCTCATCCAAGAGACAGGTCATCAGTAATTAAGTATTCTGAATGGTGCATATGATGGTCTTTTATGTGGGGTAGTCTGAATATATTCTGTATGTATTGTCCTTCAATTGTAGTTAAAAGGAGTTAGTGGACATGGAAAATTTGTGTTTCCAACCATGAGAATCCAAAAATTGCATAGATAGATATATTGAAGTAGAATAAGGGTTGTTAGAATTAACCCCAAGGGGTTGGCCTAGTTGGAAAAGACTTGGGCCTTGGTGCCTCATGAAGCATCAGGTCTCAGGATCAATTCTTGCTAGGTGCAAACAATTCCTTGGAGGGTGGGGCGTGTGAGTGCCAACTAGGAAAAAAAAAAAAAAAAAAAAAAAAGGTTGTTAGAATTGTGATTCTACATAGGATCGATGAGGGGTCCATAGGATCAGAATCATAGGATCGGATTGAGAATCGTAAGATTCTATAAAACTGTTAGAAAAGTAACTCAAACTACTTTCTAAATCCACTACTTTCGATATATTAGAGAATAAGGCTAAATAACCAAATCAGACACTCTAGCAAAACTAATTAACATTAAAAGATACAAAACACATGACAATCACTTACAATCAGTTTCTTGATTTCAACAAAAAAATCAGCATAGCAATCAAGCAAAATCTCAGAGAATAAATTAAAGCCTAGGAGAGAGAGAAAAATACAATTTAGTTGCCTAATTGTCTGAGCAATTCAGTTGAAAAGTTTACATTTTGGTTAAAAAAAGAGAGGAATGAAATAGAGATAGAAAGAACAATGAAAAAAATGAAGTCTTTCTTTGTTTTTCTTTCCGAAATTACAAAGTAGGTGGAAAAATAGAATTCTTTCTGTTCATTGCACTGAAAAAGAAAGAAAAAAAGAAGAGAAATTAAGAAGAATAAAACAAAATAGAGGAAATTTTTGAATCTTTGAACTATACCTTTGAAATTCAGAGTTGATCGTATCTACATTTGGCGTTGGTTTCTTTGTTTTTTGTTTTTTAATGTAATTAGGCTAAAGAGTTGAACTTTATATTTAAAATGATTAAATTTATCAGTTCAAAATTAATTGTAGGCCCAAATAAATTAGGAAGAAGAACAAAATAACACTATTTAGTAGAATCATAAGATTCTACATCCCATGGATTTTGGATGCGATCAAGATCGGGATCAGTTTGGCAATGTGGGATTGTAGAATCGTAAGATTCTAAGATCCAGAATCGGGATTTTAACAGCTATGAGAATAAGTCAATAAGATGAAGAGACGCATAGATGAAAACAGATTGGATGCAAAGGGTACTTGAAACACTTGGTGAATATTATTAGGCATTTAATCCAATAAATCCAATATACTATTGTGTTCCACTTCTTGAAACTAAGCAGAGGTGAAATCAAGATACAGAGATGAGATTAGATATAAATGGAAGGCATGATATGTAGGCTAAAGGAACATACAATATGGTTCAAGTTTAAAGTGTTAGAAGAAAAAGTTTAATGATGAGATAAAGGCCAAAAGAAAGTTATATGAGGTTGTCATGTGAAAGTAAATCTCATTCTAAAAAAAATCAACAATTTTTTAACTTCTTTTTTCTTTTTCACGGAATTTTTATTTCATTGGGTAAACATACTGAAATAAACTGTCGCAATCCACGCTTATCCCTATTGAAATGTTTGCACTGTTAGTTTAACGTCTCTTATTTATAATTGAATATCCTTGTTACAACTTAGAACTTCTTGTGGTCATGCCTTACTGTAGGGGTATACTTGTGTTCACATATTTATTTTCTTTTCTTGAACTTCAGGTCCCATATGAACTTTCTTCCCATTTGGATGATTTTGTTCGTATCAGAACTGGGATGCAGGTATGGGTCTGACACAGCCCTTTCAAGTATTCTCAAGTTTATTTCTGCTGGTTGAGCAAGAATATCTCACTGCTATATATTCAATGCTTGTCGGTCCTATCTGCTTGCTACTTGAGTTTCTATTTGCCTATCATTAAGTGCAAAAGGGAAACAAAATCTTACATTTGTTGCTTCTGCACGTGACATGAACAGAAAATATGGAAAGCAGGTGAATCAAAAAATTCCTTGAATTCTCCCTGGAGATTTGAATTCTTGAATTATCAAATTAATTTTTATATGGTACTACAGTCAAGGTTGTAGCTTATGTTAATGCAGCCTTGTGGTTCCTATCCATAGAGGCTCAAGTTAATCTAATTTTCCTGTTTATTATTAGTAACTTCTGATTCTCATTACACCATCTCTCTCTCTACACACACACACACATACATATGTATATCACAATGCTTGTTATACAAAAGGGCATGTAATATTGCTAATGTAAACTCGAAAATTCATTATTGTTGGATCATTGCATCTAATCTGACATTTATAATCCTGATTGTTCTATCTTTCCTTCTTTCAGATTGTAAAACAAGCTGGATTACTGAAAGAAGGGTTATGTTCAGTCCAGGATGAAAGTGCAGGTCCACTTCCTCTTCTTCTTCTTTTTTGTTTTCGTTTTTTGTTTTTTGTTTTTTAGAATGGAGTATAGAATCATCCTTTGGCCCAAACACTATGGTGGTGGGATTTTAATATTTTGATTCTCCATGCCGAGTACTGGGATTTTATTTATAGGTCAGCCACGTAGGTGAGTACATGCATAGGTGGTGGGATTTTATTTGTAGGTCAGCCACAGAGGTGAATACATGCACAGGTGGTATGAATGTTTCTGTAAGTCTCGTACTCCCATGCCCCACTTGTTGGCAACTCCTTTGTGAGTCATTTATCATGTTAACCTCTGCTTGACCAACTAAGAGATTTGGATAGAGCAACAATGATCTGTTTTAAAAGGATATGAGCTGTGATCTTGTGTTGTCTCTATATATGGTGTCTGAGAGGTAAAAGATAGCTAAAATTGAGGGTTGCCAATGCGGAAGTGGTTGTGAAAATGTCTGAGTCAGACCTAGAGGGGGTGAAAAGGTCTAGTTTTCTCTTTTTGCTTGCTTTTAACTTAATTCGATTTTTAGTGAATCATATTGCAATTCAACAGACCAACACGCAATAACAACTAAAAATGAAGAGCAAGGGAAAGAGAGAGGGGACATCGGGACTTTTAAGTGGAAACCTCAGCAAGGAAAAACACAAAGACTAGCTATCTCAGGTGAACAATCCACCATATGTAGAAAGATACAACGAGCTACAGTACCTTCGGAACTGGTCTGCATTACTCGCCTATTCCAGCGCGATCGGAATCACCTGCCGTTGATTTACCTCCAACGCTTAATGTCCTCCAATTCCAGTGCTTTCGGATCCACGTTCATGTGAACGCCTTACGATGAGCTGTTTATCAGAGTGATCACTTGCCTTTCTCCTTCCGCTAGTGTGTGCAAAGAAACTGGTTAAACTGTTGCTCTGATTGTCTTAGATGAACGTGGCTAACACTCTAGTGCAAAAGTGTGTGAATGAAATGAATAAACACCGGAGAAGCTCAGCTGGTCTTCTTTTTTTCTCTAAAAGCTATCAGATTTTTAATTGCAGTTCTTTGACCAAATAAGATCAAACCCTAGTATGTAAAAACAAAAAGTCTTTGAATTTGTAATGAAATGGTCTTGTAAAAACATTGGATAAGTAAGAGTTGGGTCGTGTAAGGATTGGAACAGTGCAACTACTCACTGGACTAAGTTACACTTGTGAATATAAAAGTCAGATTGGTGCAACTGCTGACTGGGTTTAGAATACATTTTTAGGCAGAAGAGACCTAGAGCGGTGCATGCACAAGTTCCACTGGTGCAGGTGCTCCCATCAATCTATTTACCTGTTCCTATAGTGTTTGTTCCAAGTTGATGAAGCTTCAATTTGATGAACTCGAACCTCTGGATCGTGAAGCTCTCAAACAAAGACCCAAAAAGAAAATTACACCTCAACATGGTTTTGGACCGAAATATGCCAGCACACAACTATGTTTCTAACATTTTTTTTACACACTGTTCATGTTTTGTGCTAATATACTAATTCTGTTTTTTATTTCCATTTAAGAGGTGAATGATTTGGTCTGCCATGATTCCTTCGCACACGTAATTTTAATCGCAGTGCAGTTTGGTAGTTTCTGTTGTAGATCCACAACCTGGTGAGAGCATTATTGATTGTTGTGCTGCTCCTGGAGGGAAGACCCTTTTCATGGCATCCCTTTTGAATGGCCAAGGTAATTTTTGAACTAGGAAACATCATTCCTGTTTAAAGACCCTTGTTGGCTTTCTACAGAAGAGCAAAAACTAAAATTAGTTTTCTAATATTGCTTAAAAATGTGACATATTACCGAAAGATTCCATCCATATCTGTTACTTATCAAACAAAAAAAAAAAAAAAAAAAAAAAAGGTGAAAAAGATGATGATGTTCAAATCTTATTCTTTATTGGATGAACCAGATTTTGCTGGAAACTAATGGTATAACATCATTCATGCTATAAATAGTTGAACTGAAGTGCTGAGAATGATGATGATGTTCATAGTTCTTGTTTGCTTAGTGATGTAGTTGAGCAATTTTGAGTTTTTGAGTAATATTGAATATGCTTGGGTTCCAGGTAAGGTATCCGCAATTGACATAAACGAAGGCCGGTTGAGAATCCTTAGAGAGACAGCCAAGTTGCTCCGAGTTGATGATATCGTCACCACCATTAATGCTGATCTTCGTATATTTGCTGTAAGTAATTATTCATATAGAAAATGAGGTAGTACTTTTTGGAACATGTAGCGCCTGATTTCTTGCTTCTTTCTTACTTTCTGCAGGACAATGATCAGGTAAAGTTCGATAAAGTTTTGCTGGATGCTCCATGTTCTGGACTGGGTGTCCTCTCCAAGGTATCCACAACTCTGCACATCTAAGTATTTGTTTTTAGCAACTTCTATCAACAGTGAGGAGTTTTTCTCCTTTGGTTTGTGCTCATCTTTCCAATTTTTTTTTTTTTCAAAATGAAGTTAGTGGGGCTAGTGGGGCTATTTTAATCTTATACTTCTTCTTCTAATTATTGAAGAGAGCAGACTTGCGTTGGAATAGGAGATTAGAAGATTTGGAACAGCTTAAGGATTTACAAGATGAACTTCTTGATGCAGCTTCCATGTGATACCATCTATTCTCCTTTGCTGATGTTTTATTTTAGTCTTCATAATTATTGGAAAAGGAGGAGATTATCATAATTTATTTTTCTGACGATTCATTTTTTCTTTTTTTCTAATATCGTGTTTGTAGGTTGGTAAAGCCTGGCGGAATACTGGTATATAGTACCTGTTCAATTGATCCTGAAGAGAATGAAGAGAGGGTGGTTGCATTCCTTATAAGACATCCAGTAAGAGTTATTATGCTCAATCCTAAAAATGCTTTATTATATGTGTTCATCACTTAGCTTATTATGGTTGGCCCACTGAAAAAAAGTCATTCAGGATGAGGTTCCATGATGTGTATTGTTGCTGATGATAATGTTTTGATTTATGAAATTAAGTAGGGATAAGTGCTCCATTTGAAATCTGGAGAGAAACTTCAGAATGGAGAGGGTTTAAGATAAGTAGGACCGTAACTGAATATGTGGAATGTAACCAAGATAGGATGTTGGAATAGATGTGAAGGATAAAATTAGAAATGAACACGCTTATGATGGTTGAATTAGCACCCATTGGAGATAACATGAGAGAAAATTGACTATGAGGCGGTTTGGTCATGTGTAATGAAGTCTACTGACTGCACCACTAATGAAGGGGAATGTGGTCCACATTGAAAATAATGCTACGGGCATGAAAAGAGTGAATAGACATAGTTGAGATGGTTAAAAAATATATATATATGTGATAGCATGTGCTTTGATTGAACTTATGACGTTGGTTAGAGTAAAATGGCGAAATAGGATTATTGTAGTCAATCCTGAATAGTGGAGTAAAAGTTTTACGGAGTTGAATTGTGAAATCAAATTTTGAGGATTAAGTGGAACTTATTTTCAGATCTACTTTGTATATGATGGAAGATCTAATGCTTAAATGGGAAAGCACACACATAAATATAATGAAAGTACACAAAAATTACAAATCAATAGATGTTCTGGAATAAATTCGTTAATGTGCCTCAGAGATTTTTGCTGCCTTGATATATCACTCATCTTAGTACTTGTAATACAAGAACATTTTGTTGATAAGTGAACCGTACCTCCTTGTTTATGACGTGGTATAGTGAGTTTTCTATCTGGCTTAAAAAATTTAATTAAAAATTTCTAGAATTAAGAATGCGACGTTAACGTAATGCTTCTGACATAATTCAATTATTATCTATGTGCAGGAATTCAGCATAGATCCTGCTGAAAGATATGTACCACCTCATTTTGTCACAGAACATGGTTTCTATTTCTCAAACCCTGTGAGGCATTCACTTGATGGAGCCTTCGCAGCTCGTCTTGTTCTATCTTCATAAAACAAATGTAAGTGAACCAATGCTCTACATTTTATTTGAGTTCCTCAAAATATCTAGAAAAGCCATTCAATTAAAGAATTGTTCTAGTAACCTCGGAATCAATTTCTGTCAGCCTCTTTCAACATTTCTTACAAATAATTGCGGAAGTAACATGGTGATTAAGCATTGAGCAAAACTTTTCTTTCAACCCCCAAAATGGCCATTTTTTTTTACGTCAAACTCAAAACTTACGATGTTGGACGAACTACTTTGTTCCACTTCAGCAGAATAATTGCTTGAGGTTATTAAATTGGTATGTGGTCTTAATTTACAGGTAAAATTTCTTGAAGTTGCTTCCAGGCACACCCAGTTCCCGGTAGAAAGTCCATTTCACAGGCCACAGTCTCTCTCCTTTATGGTTCCCTCAACAGAAACTCACTTTACAATTGAGGCGTGATGAAAACCCTCTAAACTTATTGAGAAGACAGATGACTGAGCACAAGTGAAAAAAGGGTTAACATGGGACCAGCCCTCATTGGGTGTTTTAAAAGTATACATGAATGCAGATCCTGTGAGTTTGCAATAATGGGATCCAGAATGAGAGTCGGACGTCAATACAGAGGCAAATTATCTGATATCTTAGAGCATGTCAGATTGATAAACTCAGTTCCAATTAATTCCGATGATAAGACATTGGGAGATGCTCCAGGAACTTCATTCACGACAGCTCCTAAGTTTTATCTTGAAGAGGCACATCACCAGTTGGCAGTTGGGATCATTGATGGATCAGATCAGTGAACTATTAATGCCATTGGTTTACGTCTATGTAAAACCTATATAGTTTTACTGATTGTAGCCATTTTGTGTAGTTTTATCTATTCTTTTATAACCTTTGTAGCATTTCCATGACTGTGATGCAAGTCTCCGTGGAACTAATAGTGAGCTCATTTGATTCTTTGTATACTGCTGAACCTCAGCTTGGTAAATGAGTTAGAAACTTCGGATTTGTGATTCTCTGCCTATTATCTTTGGACTTCGCTAAATCTATTTTCTGATTAAATCATTGCATTTCTGGTAATTTTCTTGAAAGCAGAATGTATCTTAATGGAATTTTGGTATTTGAATGTTAGCACTGTGCCGGAGCAAAATCAAAGATGTGAAAATTACAACTTTACTTTTCATTGTTTATCACTTGTGAGGTGCAATTTCTTTATCTGAACAGATCTGGAAGATTGGTTTAGGTCTCGAGTTTATTCTTTGATGCTGCTCCTTCTCATCAAATAAAGCAGGTTCGTGTATTGTGACCTGGAGATTATGAATTCAAAATACAGAAATAGCCTTTCATGTAGAGTTTAGATTGCGTACATTGGAAATAGCCTTTCATGTAGAGGTAAGATTGCGTACATCAACCCTCCCTAGACCTTGTCAACCCGATAATGACGGGTTGTCCTCTTTACACCGCTTATTCTAGCGCATGTCAAGTTCAATGTTTTATTATTGCACCAATCATCTGGCATAAAAAAATTACGATACCACCAAATGAAAAGTGAAACAACCAGAGAAATATATATAAATCATGAGATAAAACTGTCATACAAGACAATCATCAATTTAAATAAACTACACTAGATTCAAAGAAAAACGTCACTGATCCTAATTCTTACATGACCAAATAGAGTATGGCAAAAACACTTCCTAAAGCAGTCATTAAGTAAGAGGCAGCAGACAACTTGTTGGTAGAATTCAGTCCAGGAGGTCCCCAGAAATCAGAACCCGAGCCACCGCCGCCGTTTGATCCACCTCCTGCACCTCCACCACCACCTCCTTGAGGCGAGGCTGCAGATTCTGGTGGCTCAGTTGATTCAGGATGCACCATCACGCGGATAATCAGTTTCTGACCGGACTTGCAGTGACCGACCTCTCCACTGATAAAGTAGAAGTATCCATAGCGATCAAAACGAAAAACTGTGTTTCCATCTTGAAACTTGGAGATTGGGTTTGACACAACGCAATTTTCGTAGTCAGCTTTGTTCACAACCAGAACTGAGTCCTTCTGGTACTTGAAATCTGAAACATGCAGGCCAACAATGCCAACCAGAATTCAAACTCAATCTATGAAACTAATACTATGTATACAAACTAACAATCTAGTACTAAAAAACACATCTTAACAATCTTGTACTAAAAACATATCAAATCTCGTTTCATAGGCTCCATTTGTTTGGAAAGAAAATTATGATAATTCTTTTTCCCAAAAAGTTCAAACAAATGTGTACACACACCCACAATATTGCTCATAGGGAAAAAAGATCATATCATCTGGACTAATGCCCATTGGTTAAAGAAAAAAATGTCAGAAAATGGAAAATTTAGAAAAAATTTGCAGGGCAATAGCATTCTGATACCTGATTCGTGTGGAGGGGTCGCTTTGCACAGGTTTTATGGATTAGTCAGGATGAAACCCTAGACAACCCGGTGATCGAAAAAAAAAGAACTAACAATCTAGTATGTACTAAAAAGAACATCTTAACACTTGCACTAAAAACACATCAAATCTTGTTTCATAGGCTACATTTGTTTTGAAAGAAAATTATGATAATTTTTTCCCCCCAAAAAGTTCAAACAAACATAACACACACCCACCCCTAATGGAGAGAAGAGGTCATAATATCTGGATTAATGCCCATTGGTTGAAGAAAATAATGTCGGAAAATGGAAAATTTAGAAGAAATTTGCAGGACAATAGCATTCTGATACCCGATTCGTGTGGAGGGGTCGCTTTGCACGTACAGGTCTCGTGGATTAGTCATGAAGTCCCAAACACCCCGATTATTGAAAAAAGAAGCAGCATTCTAATACTTGAAGACGCTAAAAATACCACTTATGTTTTTTACACAAAATTATTGGAGAAAAGTTAGTACTGACAGAGAATCTTTTTCAAATTTCTCCTTTTCTTTCTATCCAAACTCTTAAAAAGTTTTTCGTGAAGACATTGCGTGAGTCTTCACGAGATCTTTTTAAATTTGTGTATACTTGAGGGCATGGACGAGTGCGAGTTAGTTTGAAGGAAAATAATAATAATGCTAAAATCTGAGTGACGGATCTAATGAATTTACTTACAAACTGTATCTCCAACATGGAATCTGTTTTCGCCAGCCCAGACATTGTATGCCTGATCTGTGTTGTTTCCGGTAGGTTTAATCCAACCTTCGTCACCGCCAACTTGAAACTGGTAAGAAGAGACGGAGATGATAACTATGGAGATCAAGAAAACAGAGGAAAGTAAAGCCAAGTTGAAGACTTTGGTTACTGAAGAAGAAGCCATAGGTGGAGAGTGATCACTCAATTGCAACGCAGAAGCAAATGCTCGAAAAAGAGGAGAGTGAAGTGGGGAAGAAAATGAATGGTGTTTAGAGCTTTATTAATTTAGAGAGAGAGAGAGAGAGAGAGAGAGAGAGAAAGGGAGAGGGAGAGGGAGAGGGAGAGAGAGGGGGCATGGCAGTTAAGTTAGTTGTTTCTCAGGTGAGTGGGATAAGAGACTGGGGAAGTGGGGTTGGGCAGTTGAGCTTACATAGTTACATGACTTTGTATGGATTATTATCACTATTGTTTTATATTTAATTAAAATAAGATTTGCCAAGTAAACTAATATATACATATATTGTGTGGTATAAGTACAAGTTATAACAAAGAATTTAATTTGGATAAGTAATAATGAAGCCTATAACTTTTACAATAGAAAAAAAAAAAACACACATCAAGTCACTCATTTTTTATTTAAAAAGAAATTAAAATCAGGTTGACTATTACCTTCATGGGAACTTAAAAGTATTGTTAGATTAAAAACAATTTATAATCATCAAAAACCAAATGAAAATAAAGCAAAGTTGTGTAAGGTCCCCTTGCAGTGAGTCTGATTTGTAAATAAATTTACAAATTGTCCTTAGCACTAAAATACAATAGCATGACACATCCTCACAATCCAAACAAGTATAGCAAATGGAATTTATCACTCTGCACCCTGCAATTGGAAGAAATATCCAGTGCGTCTGTGCACGGTGTATCGGGTTAATCTGGGCTGTTCGTGATGTGTATGTGACGACGCGTGTTATGCACAGCTAAAATTAGTCCTGGACACACTGAATATCAGAATAAAAATCAATCTCCCTCCCCCCTCTCTTAAGCCTAGTTTGCTACACATAAATGAAATAACATAGGAAATGAAATAGAATGGGAGTGGAATAGAATAATCATTATCATTCGATTGTTTGCTTACAAATATAAAATAATGTAAAATAAAATCACCATTGTAAATGATGGTCGTGAAAGGCTGTGGAAAGTGGTGCATCATACACCTGACACAAACAAGTTTTTTTCCCTGGAGTTAAATTTAAAATTTTGTACCTTTTCAAAGGCGTACATACCCAAAAAAAAAGACAAAAAATTATAGCGGGAAAAAAGACAATACCAGCCAAAGGAAATAAATGAATTCCATATATCTCCCCTCCTTTAATTTTCTTTATCCTCTACCAAACAAAGGAAATGAATTGTAACTTAAGAATATTTCCTTCATTTTTTAAAAGAACAAGATTGGGGATTCGAATTTCCAGAGGCAAAAATGGGTGTTTTGAGGTTTTTTTTGGGTTTTCATTTGGACCATGTCTTCTATCAAATTTATGCATTCAGACTCTCTTTCGTAAAGACTTTGCATGATGCAACTTCGATGCTATATTTTGTACCTCTCCACGACCGTAGTTACCCCAAAAAAAGAACAAAAAGAAAAAAAAAAAAAAAATAGTGGGGATCACAAGACATTCCTTTCTTTTGTTTATTTTGTGTGTACCAAACGAAGGAAATGACTTCCCTCCTTTAATTTCCTTTACCCCTAGCCCTAGCTATAATATTCCTTCATTCCAAACAGTGGGGGGTACCAAGGTTCACAATCACATGACTCCACCATCTCACTAGTTTGGGTAGACATGGCATCTATCAGTGCTGAACAAGGTTCCTATCACTTGGCTCTGTCCAAGGTTATTTGTTTGGTAAAGCTCATTAAATATTATGACAACCAAATAAGTATTTTCCCAAGTTTAGCAGATTCTCTAAACTGCCAAATATTAACAAACACAGCTTTAATTGGTGGACCACTTTTTACCATCAATAGCCATTTCATAATGCATGCGTTACTGCTCTTCCTCTTAGCCACTCCCCCAAAATCTCTATAAACACTCCCCCAAAATCTCTATAAAATCCCTATCTTCACATCCACCATTTCATTGCACCAACACTTCCTACCACATACGTCTCTCTCTCTCTCTCTCTCTCTCTCATATCTTGATCCTCTCTCTCTCCTTCATATGTTGATCTTGAATGACCATTTGATATATATATATATATATATATATATATATATATATATATATGTTCAAGTTCATATACATATATATATGTGACTAAGGATTGTCATATTACAAGATACTTAGAAACAGCTGATTATGTTTGCACTGCTGAGTTTATCAATATGATGCATGTAAATGCATATATATATATATATATGTATGTATGTATGTATAAGGATAATCATGTTTTATCATATTGATGATGTGAGTGCATGCATGTACACGAAGATACAGTTTTTTTTGCATATATAGATATAAATCCCTGCAAGGAATCTCGTATATGTGTGTGTGAAACTCATTTATGTGCATGGAGTAATGGGGGGTGAGAAAATGTTGACAGAAGAGAGAGAGCACAACCCACCATCAGCAAAAGAGTTTTTTGCTTTTGTGGGATGTGCTCTCTCTGCTTCTGTCACCACATCTCACTACTTCCTTTGATATTTGTCTATCATGATCATCATCTTCATGATCAATGGTCCTGGATATATGGTGAGGTATAAGGTTTTTTCAATTATTTTCATTTTATTTTTGGGGTGGGGGTAAGGTAATGTTGAATCAAATGTGTAATTTTGATGTCAGAATTGATATTTCTGTTCTTCATAAACATAAAATAAACCCAAAAAAAAAAAAAAAAAACAAATTTGGTATAACTTATCTTCCAATAGGTTACAATTTTTTTTTTGAAAGGTGTTACAAAAATATTTACCTAAAATCTCTGATATCTTTGACAGTAACTGCCATACTCTACCCTCTTCACTCAAATTGTATTATATATATAATTTTGTTCAATTGGTGTATCTACATGTGGTTCTGCAGCCCAACATACTTGTCTCTGTCAATGAATCGAGGACCATATTTCCATTGTGAAAAACTAAAAATAAAAACATGTACTACTTCTAGACCGGTGCTACATCGATTTCAGGTAGATTTCTCAAACTTCCTTAATTGATTGTTTCATTTCAATCCCTTTGGCTATTGATGTCTAATTTTTGAGCCTCCTCAAGAGCATTACATGATGTTATCTATGAAGAGTTTTTAATCAACAATCTTTTCATTTTTGAGTTTCTTGCTGACCATGTCTGTTAAGAAAGATCAGAATTTTAATAAGAATTTTTAACTTTTGTGTGATTACAAGTTACAAAAGTGAGACAATTGGTCAAACAGATGAGTCACGTTTGATTGAATTAGGGTATAAAAATATATATATATATATATATGCAAACTTAATATTGATTTTGTTGTTGCATATTTGAGAACAATTTATGAGAAAATGACAGTTTTGTTTTAGGCAGCAACTTCTTTCACATGAGGTGTTGTACAAATATATTAAATTTAATCATGAAACATGAGGTAAGTGAGGTTGAAACATTCAATATATAACCACATTCATGTCACATGTTGCAATTTTAAAAAGCAACATTTGCAATACAATTTAAAGATGAACCTCCCTCCCATATGCTGATAATTATTAGAATCAATAGCTCCCAGATTTTTACAAAAAAATTGTAGAATATTTATAGTGTCATTGTATACATGTGTGGACTTCGTATATCATGTCCAATTCATATTTAATGAAGTTTGTGAAATGGAAAAGCTCCTTATCTGAATAGTTAAAGAATTTTTAAACAATGAGCATGATCCTTGCTATAAATTAACGTATTTACATTTTTTTGTTGTGAATTTTATCTTTTTCTCTTCTTGACATGGTTAATTAGCTTGCTAAAAGAGTAAGAGATTCAATGAGGTATATTTACTTTATCTTCTTGTTTTAAAAAAATAATAATAAATAAAAAAAATTTACTTTATCTTCTACTAGCTAGCACAAGTCAAAATTTAAATGAGATGGAGGTTGCTCAAGAATGTATTGAAACAAGTGAGCAAGTGATCTCTCTTAAATCTAAGTTTCAAAAGCACTTGGATTAATAAGGAGGAAGTGAGGATTGCAAGCAGTCTAAAGTGGACAATATTTAGAGGAATATTCTTGTCACAACGATCCAAAGTTTTGAAATATTGGATTGTGGATGCTGAATTGCTCTAATTAAGTATGGAGGACTCTCTCGAGTTGAATGGTATGTTTTCACTAATCCTGACTCGATTATATTGTTGACGTGATTAAACTTGAACTTTCTTCTTTACAGGATGTGGATAAATTCTGCTACTAATAAGTGGTGGTGTAGAGAGTGGGGGTTTTCAGTGGAGATTATCAAGCAGTAATAGATCCATGGCTGCTATAAGTTTGTGCATATTCTATTTATTTAGTAGCTGGTTCTGATGACTTGGTGGTTCTAGAATGTTCTGGAATTATATGGATAAATTTGATTGGTTCTCCTATCAGTTGTAAGGCACCAATATCTTCCATTTTCCAAAGAATAGGGAGAACAATCTCCGAAAAGCTTTGAATTATAGTAGCAGAGATGTGTTTGGATGTTTCATCTAGTTCACATGCGTTTGGCTTGTCAGAATCTTATGTTTGGCAGAGTTTTCTTGCTGCAGTGGAGATGGGGGATTGTTATGTCTTGGTTCAAGTTTATTTTGTGTGTTAGGCTGTCCTTTTCGGCTGTGGTGCCCTTTTGGTTTTTCTTTCATTTTCCAAAAAAACAGGGAGAAAAATCTCCGGAAAGGTTTAAATTATGGTACCAGAAATGATCGAATGGATGTTTCATGTGTTTGGCTTGTCAGAATCTTATGTTTGGCTGAGTTTTCTTTGTTGCAATAGAGATGGGGGATTGTTATGTCTTGGTTCAAGTTTATCTTGTATGTTATTCGCGCTGTCCTTTTTGGTTTTTTTCTTTCTTGTTGGATTTAGGGTTTCCATGACCCTGTGTATTTGGCTCTGCCATTGTTGATTCAAACAAAATTCTTTAAAAGCTTACCTTTTCGAATAAATAAATTATCACTTTTGAGTTCACTTTTAGTAAGTGAGACCAAATTTTTTATCAGTTTCACAGTTCTCTAACCCTGGAGTCTTGGTTTGTTTCACAAGATTGATTACGTGCTTCGCTACTCCTAATTGAAGTTGAACAAAAGATGGATGAACTCTAAGATCTTGAATCATGCGTGAAATTATCATGTTTTATGTAACTAATGATTTTGCTTGAATCTTTCACTATTGTAGTTATAACTAATGTTTGAGGAGGATATTGATATCGAGTTTGGTATTTAAAATGTCTAGTTTCAACGTAAATGCTTGAAATTTATTATGGAACTGAGGGTAACATTGAACTTACAAGTCTATCTGCTGTACCCAAAGAAACTGTACCCCTCCTCTATTTCTGCCTCAAGAACTGTCTGTTTAATCCTCAAAACCGTCTTCTGATATACCACTGCCTTTCAATATGAGGCATAACATGTTGCAAAGTCTTCCATGAAACTAAAACCAATAGCTAAGCTGTATTTTAAGTGTGTGTGTGTGTGATTATTGGTCCTCTTTCTTTGGCTTATATGCATAGCAGTATTTAAAGTGTGTGTGTGTGTGTGTGTTATACACTCAAAAGTAACACCAATAGGCAGAAGAGTTAGAGCTAAGAAACTTGTAAATTGGGTGAAATGTAATGGATTTCAAATACACATTATGAATGCTCAAGATACAGCAGAAGACCAAATAGTTCAATGGTAGTTTTGAACTGGTCCAGTGAACTCAAATAGTCTTTCTTAATAGCTCAAGTAAACAACAGTAATATTATTTCAAAAACAAAAAAAAAAAAACAAAAAAACAAAAACCTAACTTGCACTGCATAACTACACTAAATATAAAAGAATTGAAAGAATCCAAAGCTCTAGCTTACACTGCATAACAGACATGAGATCTCAGTTTAATTGCCTTTGATGTCAAGCACTGCTTCAGGAGTTTGACTTTCTTCATCATCTGAAACTATTTGACTTTCTTCATCATCTGAAACTATGTCCTTGAGACTCAAAGGCAACAAGCTACAAGAGAAAGTGAGACTGGGCTTCATCTTCGGCACCACAACTGCCTCAGCCTCATTGATCAGGATCTGCAAAACTCTCCTCATCGAAGGCCTCTCCGAGCTATCAGGATTAGCGCAGCTTAACCCCACAAGCAAAAGCTTCTTCATTGCATCCTCCTCGAACTCCCCATTCATCCTTTTATCCGCTGCATCGAGGATCTTCCCCTCCGAATACAATCCCCAAACATGATCAACCAAGTTCACCATTTTGTGACTATTTGGCTCTCTCTCAATTGGCCTTTTCCCACAAGCCACCTCAAGTATCACCACACCGAAGCTAAAAACATCGGTCATCTCTGTCGCCTTCCCATACTGCAGATACTCAGGAGCCAAGTACCCCATTGTTCCAGCAGTGAGGGTTGAGACAGGACTCTTGTCATGATCCATCAGCCTAGCCAATCCGAAATCTCCGAGCCTCGGGTTGAAGTTCGAGTCCAGCATTATATTACTAGTCTTTATGTCTCTATGAATCACTTGTTGCTCACATTCTTGATGCAGGTATGTCAAAACTGAGGCCAACCCAATTACAATGTTATATCTTTGAGTCCATTCCAGCGGATTGCGTTGCTCAGAATCATGATACAACACCCTATCAAGACTCCCATTGGGCATAAACTCATAAACGAGCAACAATTCATTTTTCTCAGCACACCAACCTTGAAGCTGAATCAAATTTTTGTGCCTCAAACAAGCTATAATTGACAATTCAGCTAGGAATTCGGTTTTACCTGTTAGGACAGCGAAAGCATAAGAAACATATAAAGCAATCACACAAAAAACACAAAATTTACATGGTTAGGCAAAACTCCACCAATGAGAAAAGATTCACTATGATTATGTAGAAATATTAGAACAGTAGAGAATTCCTAACATTACCTTCGTGGGCGTGTTTCGATCTTTTCACAGCTGAAATAGTACCCGAAGAACTGATGAAGGCTTTGTAGACAGTCCCAAATGCTCCATGGCCTATGATCCTGCTAGAATGAAACCCTCTTGTGGCTATTTGCAGCTCTTTGTAGCTGAATTGTCTTGGCCCTGTCACAAGCTCTGCTTTGAAGCTCTTTTGTGTTCTAATACCCCTCCATTTCTTTATCGAAATCCAACCAAAAACAACCAAAACCGCGCAAAAGAAGGCCGGACCGGCAATCACAAGACCCAAGCCGAGCCTCTTGTGATGCCTGTTGGCCGAATCAGAGACTGGAATTGGCGGCGTTAATGGCACAGAACTGTCAGACACATTGTGAGGATGAATCCTTGGTCTCATTGGGTGAAACCCAAAAGTCTTAAAGCTCCATTTCTCAATCATGTGAAGCTCCGTGCTTCCCTCTGTGGATGCTGAAAAACCCACAAACATGAACTCTGAGAGATACCCAGAGAGGTCAATATCAACCTTTAACAGAGGCTTTGCAGGCTTGAAACTTGAATAACTCAAGAACACATCCAATGCCCTCTGATCATTCTTGTAATCAATCCAAGCCGTGATCAGTTTCCCACTCTTGAGATCGATTTGCTGCAACGTGGTATCAGCAGTTTTGATGGATTTGAGGCTGTCAATGTCCAGACCAACATGGTGGTTACTCGGGTCATCGAAATGCAAATCGAGTTTGGTGTCGAATTCGACGGCCACAAACCTGTTCTTGGTCAATTGGGAGGAATTGACAAGACCCAAGTACCCACCTGGGCTTCCCAGAGTCTGGTTGTCAGGAGAGAGAAAGAAGGTCAAGCCATCGCCAAACGATGCGGGATTGACGTTGTTGATGGAAAAAGAGAATCTTGTGGAGAAAGAAGGTGTGGTGTTGGATTGGGGGTCGAAGAAGGGAATTGGGCGGTTGTAGATGAGAGTGCCGGAGCTGGACGACGGCACGCCGAGCTCTCGGGTGAGTCCGATGACGCCGTTCCGGAGGTAGGAGTCGCCGAGGAGAGTGAGGTTGCGGAGGGTGAGGTGTGAGAAATCGAAACTCGCGTTCTCTGCTAATGATAATACCAATGGTGGGTGTGAGAATTGGAAGAGAAAGAAGAAGAACAAGAAAACAAGAACCTTTCTTGGATGCATATTGGTGACGAACATCATCTAGTCGAATTGGGTTTTTAGCAGCAAAAGTGTAAACAGTTTCTGGGGGTTGATGGGTTCATTGTAGTAAAGATTTAGAGAGAGAGAGAGAGAGAGAGAGAGAGAGAGAATGGTGAGAACAGAATCAAATAAATTTGGGTTTTTAGCAGAAAATGTGTACACAGTTTGTGGTGGTTGATGGGCAGGGGCGGGCATGCCCCCAATTTTTTAAGTTATTAGTAGTCCTAATGTAGAGTTATTAATGATTATTAATTGTATTTTTGTATAGAATATTAAATTTGACCCTCCAAATATTTTTCAGAATATCTTTAACAGTAATTATTCATAATTGTTAATGATAATTTTGTATAGGAAAATTAAAATTGACATTTCAGAATTTTATAAATTTCTCATTTATGAAAATTAAAGATGATTTGTGAAATAAATTATTTATAACTCTTTTGATCTTTTTAAAAAATCAAACTTAATAATAAAATACTCAACAATGATAATTTTATTAATGAACAGCTAATTAATCTTCTTTTTATTTATGTTTATAAATTTATTCTTAAAAATGTACATGCAAAAATATATATATTATAATTATTTTGTTGAGAAAAGATTTAGAGAGAGAAAGAAAGGTAAGGGGGAGAGAGAGAGAGAGAGAGAGAGAGAGAGAGTGAGTGAGTGGTGGGAATCTTGGTGTGGGAAAGTGGAGTTGAGAAATGGGCGCGTGGGTTGAAGAAGAAGAACAGTGGGAGGGCAAGAAATTCAGATTTGTAACGGCTATGTGGGAAGTTTGGAAGGCAGGGTGGCGTCGAAGATACAAAACGACGACATTTTGGTCAGGATGACCCAGTCAAGTGGCGGGTCCACACACTGTACACGATTTAATCAATAAAATGGCAATAATTTTCAAAACAAACCGTTGTACAGACAGTATCTAAGGTACGAGCGTATAAAAAGGAGGAGGCACGAAAACGACTACTATCTAATGTATTATATTTATAGGTTACACAATAATCATTTTCAGTATGAAAAGATGACTCCGCAATCTTAATGGAGGTGCGGATTGTGCTTTTCTATTGTATGTATGAGATTCTTCGTCCACGGAAGCAAATCAGCCGACCGTTTTTAGACACTGTAATGACCAGAGTAGTTTCGTATAATAAATTTTTGTCAAATTATTTAGAGTACTTCATAATTTATGAATCAAGACAATTACGATAAAAGCATCATATAATTAATATCAAAGATATTCAAAGTCTTAACCTTCGCAATGGAAGATTAGAATTTTGCCATAAAATTATTCCCTTAGGTCCTATATATTAATCAGTAAATAGAAGAGACTGTCATCCTATCTTATCTATTATTTAATCATCTAAACATCTTGCTTGTATTTATATGGTTTTTTACTTTGACATAATAAATGATAAGGATGATCCCATAATTATTAGTATCATCGATAATAAAATATTTAGATACTCTATTAATTTTTTTATTTAAGCTATCATCCAACAATTATAAAGGGGTATTATCATTTTTATTTGGATTTAGTTGTGTATGTAATCACTAATCATAAGCAGTTGCATAAATAATGGCTGGTGGCATAGGCTTATAAATGTTGGGCGAGAAAATTTATGGGAGAGAGTCCAAGTCCTTATTATAAAGTGTACAAGAGTCTATATTCAAAAGAATGTCTAGTACGAAGGGGAGAAAACCAAACGTTACAAAAAGGTCTCATGCTTTTTCTAATTTTGTTACCTCCCATTTGAAAGTAGAAAATTGTTTCCAAAAAAATAAATAATACTCACACTCTATTTGCTTATGTTTATTTACTCTACTTTTTTTATAAAAAAAAAAACGAAAAAAGAAAGAAGAATGACACTTTAGTTTTCAAAAAATTCTCAATTCATAATTATCTAAGAGCAAGGGATATGGTGTCTCTTTTTTAGCTCGCTACATTTACATTTGTGGGAGAGTCACATCAACTCATTGGACTGACATGGTCGTTTACAAATATGGCCATTGCATTTCAAAGATTTGGTTATATAACATTTGACTATTTATTTATGCAATCCACTACTCCAGAAGAGAAGAAGTGTGGCTGTCTCAAATTTTTGCGTGACCTGCCGAGCAAACTCTTTGGCCGGCCACATTGCAACCACAACCGTTGCTCTAGTACTGATATACTCCACTCGTGTTCGATCTCTTGTTATTTTTATTTAAAAAATGAAGTGGGATAACAAGTAAATATAATTATAATTCCAAATAGTATCAAAATTTTAAATGACATTCAAAAAATGAATAAAATGTTGTTTTTCAAAACTTAGAGGAATTTAATCACGACATTTTTTTTTTTTTTTTGGTCAAAAACAATTCAAATCTCAAAAGTACAAAAATGCGAGGATGAAAAGGGCATATGGCATAGAGATGCGACATGACGAGCCTTCGGACATGCAACTGCAAAATCTGATTAGGGGTTCAAACTCTCAAAGCATTTTCAAAAGGCTATATCATACAATCACACGTCATATATCCGTTGCAAGATTGAATAAACCATTGACCACCACATTCTCTAGTCCCGCTGATCAGATGATCTCGAAGTTCGTGTTAGTTTAACATGTCAAGATTCGTTACTTTCACCTTTAAAGAGAAAAGGAAAAGAAAAATAAAAGCTCAAAAGAAGCCACCAAAATAAATAAATAAAAAGAAGAAAATAAAAGAAAGAAATACAAGTGAAAGATAGTGGTAACACTACTTGAAAAGATATAAAAGAGAAAAGAAAGTGAAAAAAACACTACTAAAATTTTCCTACTGTAAAAATATATGAATAAAAGAGAAAACAATATTTCTTCTCATTATTTCACTTTCAAATCCTTCCAAAATGAACAAATTAAACTCTCCATCCTTTCCATTTCATTTCCTTTTCTTTTAACTTATTCAATCCAAATGACAAATGTATTGTCAGATTGAAGATTCGAAATAAAAAAGTTGCTAAAAATAGTAAACAAAGTAAAACAAAAAAGAAATGACATATTAATTTCAAATATATATATATATATATATAATGACAAATGTATTGTCAGATTGAAGATTCGAAATAAAAAAGTTGCTAAAAATAGTAAACAAAGTAAAACAAAAAAGAAATGACATATTATATATATATATATATATATATATATATATATATGCTCAAGTTATCACACACACACACACAGACATAGAGAGCGAGAGAGGGAGAGATCTTACCCTTTTATGATCTAGTAATCAAAATCGTGTCTTTCATCCTGCTGACAGATCACAAATGTTGAAAGCACAGGTGGATCAAAAGGTCAGGCACTAGCCTTTTCGAATTTGAAACTCCACTCGTTTGAGAGGGATCTCAAATCACAATGCATATGAATTATATACATCACTGAATCTAACTCCTAGCTGAGAGGAGCTAGGATGGTATCACCTTAACAATGTCATTCCACTTATAATTTTGAATACCTTCAGCCATAAAACTTCATTTATGTTCATCTAGTCCTCCGACTCCTCCTGAACGTTCTCTGAGATCCGTCACATCTAACAAAATAAAAAATAATAAAAAGAAGAATGAAAGAAAGAAAAACAAGGAAATAGAAGAATATGACATTACCCAGAGTTTCTTATTAAATAAAAAATAAAAATAAAAAAAGGAAGAAGAAGAACGAGAAGCGACATAGAATTTATTGATATTTCTTTTTCTTGCTCCCAATAGAGAATAAAAATGTCTGTTAATCAAGCTAAATATTGAAAAACAGCAGGATTCTACTAAAAATGACAATTATTCACTGGAGACAATACACCCTAAAATGTGGCTTTCATATTTTGAGCCATTTCCCAAATATCGGACTGCTCTTCAGTAAGACCAATGTTTTAAATTAAGGAAGAAAAAAATGCAGTCATTTATTGAAGAGATGAGGAACTCTGACTAGACCTAACACAGGAATGAATAGGTTTAACTTTTGGTGACACCAACACCGCCACTGAGGAAGGGAAGAGAATTTAATGGTGACTGCCAGTTACCAACACCAGATCGCTGTAATAGTCACTTAATATGTCCATGGAAGGATAAGTGCTTGGTAAACAGCCAAACTGCCATAATAGATGGCTTTCCACTTGCACTCACCCGAGTTAATATCCTTTAATAGCATGCAATGACAACTTCACAGGGCAAAGGCAAATTCATTGCAGAAATTCAGAAGAAAAAAATAATAAAATAATGATATTAATTTTTATTTATTTATTTTATAAAATAAAAAAAACACGTGGGATAGGGCTATGCTTATTGCCACCAATTTGGGTTTACACTCTCTATTACCTTCAGACGGAATCAGAAAATACCAGAAAGTACCTTATTTTGGTGCAGAAGATCTCGTCCATATTCCAAATGAATGAATATATGATATTCTTGAAGACCACAGAATGCAAATATTGCAAAAACCAACCATCCCATCAACATAGCCTCCTATTTTAGCAGTAATTTTCGAGGCAAGAGAACTACAAACAATAAATTACGTTATTTAATTCAACAATGACAAATTAAGTCCATCAAATTGTAATATCTCTAAAAATCACCTTCATCCATACTGCAAAAACTTTCTTGGGGGAATATTACATCTGGGTCAACTTCCTGCTGGGAGGACAGAACCAAAGCCACTACATTTTTACTGCAAAAAGCAATCACAAACTCGTTAAATAAGCCCGACACTAACAGAATCATAAAAAATCCAAATTGCAAATCGTGGTTTTCATTAGGAAAGGGAAAAAAAAAAATACAAGAAGATGAAATTAATCCTATAATCCTCTAACGAACCAAATTCTGTTTATTAGTGGAGAAGGCCTTGGAAAGTTCAATATGTGATGCATATCAAAACAGTATCCCATACAGGTGCATGTGTATGAATAGTGCTTCATGTGCTTTAAAGATCATATTCATTTTGAAATACATAAATGAGTGAATCACCTGGCCCATGAAGGAATAAATTTTCTGGTGGGCATATCATCTTCTTCTTCATCTTCATCATCTGAGCACTGATATGGAGAGATCTCATACGATTTTTCTCGACTGGTCTTGTTAACCCGGTCATCTTTCTCAGGTGATTTATCAGAAACAATCATTGCCTAGGAGAATAAAAAATTATTTAAGCATGGGATTGACATGCCACTCAATAAGAATACAAATAACAATGAAATAAGTGCTGCTGAAACTCTCCTTAAAGTAGTTTGGATAAAGGTCACTTAAACTACTAAGCAAAAGAAAAAAGTTACAAACTAGGTCTTCCTTAAGGCTGAGTAACTTCCTTTCTCACTATGGCATAAAGGTGGCAAGAGTAACCAACCTTGCACAGGTTCCATGTAGGATCTTTACCACAGTACAGGACAACGACTCTTAAGACTTTTAATAATGTTGACCATCCAAATCATATCCCCACTCTTACTAACACAACCAAATTTGGAGCATTCCACTGCATGGATGTGCAAAATCACACGAAATGGAAGTAGATTAAGTATTTTAACCCTTATTTTCTTTTTCTGGATAGTTACGGCAGATTTGGGAGGCAGCAGCCCGGGGATTGTTCCTATACAAGTATGCCTGCCGATTGCTTCCTTCTTATATTCTGAAATTTGTCTCAACTAATTGAACATCTAGCTTAAAAAATAACAAAAAAAAAAAAAAAAAAAGCAATTTGAATAACTTCCTTAACAAGATATTATACCTCTTCTATATCACCACAATCAGTAGAAGTCCCACAATCTTCAGAAAGAATGCTTGCTTGTCTGACATCACTTGTGGAAAGCCCAGCTGTCTTCAGTTCAGTCTCAGGCTTTTCAGCAATATTGTCGTCTCCCCTTTCTTTTTCCATTTTCCGATGCTTTTCTGATTCATCGTTAAATTCCTTCCCGCTGTTCACTTTTTTACCCTATAACAAACATAAACATAGTCAACGCTGCAACAAGAAGAAGCAGAAAGGAATTATAAAGTGCATTAATACAGAAGGTATCTTACTATGGCACCAGATGGTACTTCTTTCTCCCCTTTCCCCGTGTGTAATTTCTCCCCATGTTCTCTCTGTTGTCGCCGTGTCTCTTCAATTCTTTTTCTTTTTCTTTCCTTCTCCTTCCTATCTTCTTCCTCCCTCAGTCTTTTTCTTGCTGCCACATCAACCTCTTTTTTCTTCCGTTCCTCTTCGTTCTTTTTCTTCTTTATTTCCATTTGCCTCAAGTTTTCTTGCTCCATTCTGGCTCGCTCAAGCTTCAATGCTTCCTTCTTCATCTTACGTTCATTTTCTCTTTTTGCTTCAAGGCGCTTTGCAGCCCCAGCAGCCTCTAGTGCCTTCACTTTGATGTCCCTCTTTCCTATAAAGCATTGAAAAAGGTTCCAAAATTATATATCAAAGACAAATGTAACTCCGGAATGCTCTAATGGCTTGTACTATGTGGTACAACCAAGTAATAAGAATCCAACTGCACCTAAATTCCTGCCTTTACCTCCCCAGTTCAAAAGATGAAAAAAGAAAAGGAAAAAAAAATTCAAATTTCAGAATGCAACTCAAAGTTTCCAGACTCTCGACCATGAAATGGGACTGAAATAACTCGACAAAAGAAAAGCAACAGCAATTGAATACATGTGTGTGTATATATATATATATATATATTATATAACATCCAGTCCCCAGTAATTTTTCTCTTTTTTTCTTTTATTTTATTTATTATTATTTTGGTAATAGAGGGTGTCCCCAGTCCCTCAGGTAGAGGGACTATTCATACATGCAACCACCCCAAAACCACATTTATCGGGAAGCCTGGGAGTAGTTGATATTAAGGGCCCGTTTGGCATGCGATGTGTTTTAGGCGTTATGTTTTTGGTCAGTACCAAAACAACCGTTTTGTTATAGGAGTGTTTTGGGTAGAAATTGAAATCATGTTTGGTAACGAAAATTTATTTTGAGAAATTCGGAAAGTTGCTTTAGTTCCTCCGCTACAGTACCAAAACACACAATATCACCAATTTGGTAATATGGATTTTGGCCAAAAAATCTGATATGTTATGAACTATTCCAAACCAATATCAGCCATGTCAAACGTGATATGGATCAAAATTTGGATACAAATATCAGAAAAAACAATATCATAACACTTCCCAAATAGGCCCTAAGATTCCAATAATTCTTCTTATCCACAATTCCCTATCTATCCATTTAGTCCAATAAGACAAATCTTACCAACCCACCAAAGGCTTGTTTGCAAATCCTGATCATTACCAATGCAACCTTCGTCTCCAATTCACGGCCTCCAAATTTTCAAATCATTTGATATGGGACTCCCTAGAATATTACCATTTAAGCTACTAATTGATTTCATGACTACTTTTCTTTTTTGGTCAGTATTCATGACTAACTTTTCCCAAATAGTTAGGAAAAAGGCTTGTTGTATTCATGATTAACTTTTAAACAATTCTTTCACTCATTTAAAACTGCATCCTTTTCTCTGCAACACATCTTGGAGTATTTTCCCTAAGTGATTTTTTTCCATAAAACCTTGCTTGGCCATGTTCCATTAATAAAAATTTCTTGCCTTTTAAATTAATTCCAGCTTCTGAATAAGATAAAACTTAAATATAATAACATTTGATGCATATAGTTGTACTTGTCAGTGTGAAAGAGAACAGGAATAGAGGGGGGTTATAAGTTCAAAGCTCTTCCAAAATTCCCATGGTAACAAGAGAGAGAGAAATATGTTTACCCAAAAACAATAAGAAAGAGAAATAAAAGGAAAAAAATCCAAAGTTAAATGGGATAGCCATATTATAAAAGGCAAAAGCACAATCAACCACCATTATAGTACCTACTTAAATAACAGTGAAGCTGAAAAGCTCAGATTTAAAAATGACCAAGATTGTGGGGACATAACAATAAGGCCACGTGACAGTACTTGAAGCAAAACAAAACCAATTAGGGAAAAAAAAAAAAAAAAAGCAAAACAAAACCAAGAATCAAATTTTGGCAAAATGGCATTGTTATGATCCCAGTTGTAATATAAATCAGAACAATCCCAAAATTAAAGTCTGTGGCATTAGATTGTTTAGAGAAAAAATTGGTGAGATTTTAGTGAAAAGAACAACAATTAAGTAAATACCATGAGAAAAGATTGCTGAGATTTTAGATGAAAAGAAAAACACTGAAGTAAATAGCATGAGAAAAGCAAAGAACACAAGAATTTACCTGTACATACAGCGGCAGCTTGTTTTTGTTGAACAAGTGGAACAAAGGAGGAGATATTTGAAACAATGTTGTTACGCTTAGACTCCCTTTCTGAGAGACTCTGCCCTCCTTTCCTCAAACTTGCTTTACCTGATAATTTTGGCTTACTATACCTGTTATGCAGTGATTCAGCAGCCTTCTTAACACCAATTACACCCACTGATAAATTTTGATTCTCCTTTGCCTCATTAGTACATCTCTTATTGCTATGGCGATTTCCAAGACTCTGTTTGACCCTATTACGAGTCCCAGTAAAGATGCCTTCTGTATTTATGGAATCTAAACTTTCTCTATCTGGAAATATCTTTGCTGCAGAAATCAATGCAGGAGGGTCTTCTGTTATCTCAGCAAGTGGTTCTCTTTTGGCACCACTATTCAGTGCTACTGAACTAATGCCTTCTTGGATTGTATCGGCCACATCATCTGTATTCTCATTTTCTTCACTGATACTAGGATCTTCCTCAATTGGGAAGCAAGTAAGCTCCGGATTTAAGCTCCGCTTCTTCTCCGAACTGCTCAAGTTTGATGTGAGACTCTCCCAGAGTTTTCCAACTGGAGACATATATGGTTTTTCCAAATTCCAACCAAAGTGTTGATTAGAATGTGGTAGACAGTCAGAATATGAGACCCCTTCAAAAGCACATTTGAATTCATTATCACAACTGTAACTGGCCCTAAACTGCATGCCACCATCATCATTTAGAGGCAAGGTGCTCTTCAGTTCCATGCGCTCAAGAAGTCCATTTGGTACAGACTGGTACAGTTCTGGTGTTTTGTGCGATTTAAATGTAGCTGAAAAATGAGACAACGGTGTATTATGCATGCTAGCAGATTTACAAAGCTGCTCCAGAAAACTAGCGCGTTCTATTGTGCTATCAGGAAGCTCCAATTTGTCAAAGTTGATTCCATATCCAGCAATATGATGTTGTCCATTCTCTCCTTGCGCATCAAGAATGAACCCCTCAAACACAGGCAAAGTTTGATCAGCACCAATCAAATCCAGGTGCTTGTTTTGTGGAGATTCAACTAATCCATATGAAAATAGGCCATCCTCTCCCAGATGAGGTTTTCTTTCCTCCAGGGTTCTCTCAGTACACGTCAAATCAACTGTATTTCCCATATTAACATTATTTTCAGAATGCAGTAAAAAATGGTAATCTTGCTCATTGTAGCCCCTTCTTGCATCAAGGTTTGCATTAGTTGAATCCTCTGTTACCATTCCCCCAACTGGGCAACCACTAGAATCACTAGAAACTTGTTTGGCCAATCTTGAGACGGGAGATGGCCCTAATTGTACGTGTGTGAATGTAAAAGGGGTGTATGTCCTTTTATTTCTCTCCTCGGAGCCAAGTAGATCCTGTCAGACACAGTAAAAAAAAAACAAAATTCCCGCATTAAAGGGGCTTTGATACAAGCAGAAAAGCTACCTATGCAGAAGTTTAAATAATAAAAAGGAAACTGAAAGAAAGAAAATATCTGTTCTGACACATAACTATAGAACATAAAATCCAAAATGCAACGTAAAATATGTAAGAGCAATTTTTACATGATGAACGATTATATATCTGGCTAAAAATAAGTTAACCTTTAAGCTTTTTCCTTTTCAGAGACTAGAGCGGCATCACATTTGAAATTTTATTTTTGTGTTTAAAAGTTTTCTTACTAATACTTTTCCTTAACTAATCATGATTTGGACTTATGGTTCGGAGACCTAGTGGCGTGCCGGACAAACGAGGAAGACCAGTTGTAATAGAAGGTAAGAGATGGAGAGGGCTGCCAAAAATAACATGGGATGAGGTTATTAAAAATGATTTTAAAAGGTTAAATATAGCAGGCGGATTGGCATGTAATATAAAAGCTTGGGAAGAGAGAATTCATGTGGCCAACCAGGATTATGATTAATTAATCATTGTCTTTGTATGACTAATATATGCATATTGAACCTTCCCATCCAGTCCCAAACCACAATTGGGCCGTAAATCCAACAAGCAGTATGAATCAGGATCCACCAAAAGATGGTCCCCAGTAGTAGTTAAATCTTTTCTCTTCGTAAAATTATAAGAAGATAATCCATTTAGAATCTTGAGTCATGTATTGGCAGGTTCCTATAAAAAGTAAAATCTAGGTTGTAATTAAACAAAATGTGTATATATTTTTACAACCAAAGATGTAGAAATTCATCAAGGTCAATCACACAAACAGAAAAAGGTAAATAAAACACCTTGATTGCGACATGTGTGAAGCGGACAATATTGCACAGAGTGAGGCAGGTCCTGACAAATGGTATCAGAGTCAATCCCTAGCTAGAATATGGGAGAAATGAGCACAAGCCCATGAGGGTCACGCCAACGAGGACGTTGGATCCCAAGAGTGGACGATTATGATGTCTCACATCGTTTGGGGGGGGAGTTGGCACTTATAAGAGGGGATGCCTCCTACTTGTGTAGACGTGTTTTAAAACAGTGAGTTCCAAGAGGTGCAAAGAGGACAATTTCGCACCGTGTGAGGCAGTTCCTAACATTAATGGACAAAGGAAGTTAAGAACTAGATTGATTAATTCATTAAATAGTTGGACCACCTGTGACCTAGATATTTTGAGGTGCTTAATTACATTTGAGGCAAAATAACAATGAATAATAGACGACTCTGAACAAACTATAACTTATTTTATTAAAAATAGAAGGGACAACCGGAGCTCAATCAGTCGAACCTATTGATCAAAGGCTTTTCGGAAAGTTCGACCAATGAACCTAAGGCTTAATTGACATATCGTTGACAAATAACTTTCTTTCTCAGCTAATTTTATAAAATTATTTTATATAAGTTTTCTATTTTACTTGGGACTCCTATATTAGCTACAAGTATGGAAGACTCCTATATTGTAGTTACAAGTATGTGATTATAGTCAGCCTAGAGTATGCGCTTTTGAGAAAAATATAGATAGAGAAAACTTAGAGCTTTGACATTCAACCGTTACCTAGGGTTTCACATAGAACTCCATTCTTCTTGTGTGATTGAGTGAATCAAAGCAAGTATCGATTGAATATTTTCAACCATCAACCAACCAGATATTATTGAAGAACACGGATTGGACGAACAACAAAAGAGATCAAGCATTGTTGAAAATCAAGTTTGTTGATTGCCAGCAACAGTGTTCAAGGAATAACAAGTAACTAGGTGATTCTAGAGAGTAGAGTATGAAACTTAGATTGTAAACTTCTCTTACATAGTGGATTGTTCGTGCCTGGACCGTAGCTCCCGTGGTTTTTTCTTTCTAGGGTTTTTCACAAAAAATTGTATCTTTTTACTTTAAGTTTCTACTTTCTGTATTTAAAAGCAAGTGTGATTTTGTTTGATTTGATTATTGAGACGCTAAGTTAAATATCTAATTGGGAATTTAAACCTAATCCCCCCTCTCTAGGTCTAAACTAGAAACGTGGGTAATCTGACCATAGGGTGTCAGCCTGTCAGCCATTCCCTTAAATCCATCATTTTGTCTTATTAACCAACAGAGTCAAGAACAGATATAAAGCAACGATAGAAACTCAAGAATTTACCATAATTTCCTGTTTACTACTAAAATTAAGGTAGAATGGCATATTGATTGTAATTAAGTACTGATGAGATTCAATGAACATCACAAACTCAGTTGATGTCTGTTATTGTTTTAAAAAATAAAACACGAAATAAAGTTTCTGTTTTTCACCAAAACTCATTAACAGTCGTAACTGCAAGACAACTAAACTATGAGAGTAGTTATGAGCTTAGGCTTATGTCATCTACCAAGGTCATTTGTCAATCATCTTCAAGGCAGTGCCAATAAGTTGTGGAGATCCAACATCAACATTGCAATCCCACTTTACTAGAGGCTCTCTAAATAATAAATGAAAAGCAACCGACCTAATCCCAATATTCTTCTATGACATTTAGATAACTAGTAATATATCACGGACCTTTCTAGTTCAATATCTTCTTTCCTAATAAGTCAAGTAATAACATACAATTAAACCGGAGAATATCAAAATACCTCTTCCAGTTCCAGCTTAGGTGAAGGCTCATTTTCTTCTGCCAAAATGCACTTCCCTGCCTGATGCATTTCCACGTCAGGATTCTCATAGACATTTGATTGTCTAGCATCCACTTCATGGGAAACAGGAATTTTTTTAAATTCTGGGACAGCCCCTGCATTTTCCACAGTCCTCAAATATCTTTTTGCAGGCCCTCTTTCAATACTATGTAGCCTTTCCACCCTACAGCTTGGAGAAGCAGAGAAGAACTTAGTTTGCTGTCCCTCGATCTTTCTCCGCTTAAACTGCGGCCATGAATCCTGCATAGCAGAGCTCAAACTTCTCTGTGGCAGAAAGGACTTTTTTGCAACTTGGAATTCACTATTAATACAACTGGCGTTCTTCTCCTCGTTATGCACAGATCCAACTGAACCATACTCAAATAAACTACCCTCAACCAGACGAGTTTTTCTCCTTTCCTGCAGGTTTCTCTCATCAGAAGCCACAATGCCTTTACTTCTCCAATCAAGTTTATCTTCTGGGTGCAACAGATTTTGGTTATCAACGACAATGCTAGTTGGATCTGTCATTCCCGCTTCCTCAACCACGCAACCTTGTGAGTCTCCAGCTTCCTGTTTGGTCAAACTTGAGACAATAGATGGCCCCAATTGTTTGTGTTTGAATGTGAAAGGGGTGGTTTTGCTTCTCCCTTCATAGCCAAGTTCAGCCTGTCAACAAAATAAAACATAAATGCTGCATCAGATGAAATATGATACAACATGTAAGAAACAAAGCAAAGTAGGCAAAGTTTTTGTTGAAACACTTATATGTATATATGCATTTAGGTTGGGGTCTTATGGTAATTAGATATAGGGTTTGTGGCTGTTATGTAATTATGCCTTTATTGTATTGTATTGTATATAAACTCTCCTTATGTCTTAGGGTTTGTATAATGAAAATATGAGAAGCTTATTCAGTGTCTCTCTCTTACGGTCTCTCTCTCTCTCTCTCTCTGTGTATTTCTACAATATACATATCTTCACTTTTACATGGTATCAGAGCGGATCAAAATTGTGAGTGTGGGAAATTGCAATTGTATTGTTCTTGTATAGATCTGTAGAGTTCAGAGTTCGCGACGGTGGTGTTGTTGCCGTTTTTTTTGGGTGTCGACGAGCTCGCCGCCGTTTCTCGTCGTCGTCGCTCGTCTCTCTCGTCGTTTGGTCTCAGATCTGAAACCCAGTTTTGTTACTCGCCGCCTTCTCTTGCCGTCGCTGCTTGCTGCTTGGTCACCGACGGCTGTTGCGAGGTGCATCGCTGCTTGCTTATTCCATCGTCGTTGCCGCTGCCGCTGCGTACTCGCCGGAGAGTTGAGAGACGAATGGTGTTTGGCTACAGGTGCTCGCTATCCTAATCCAGGTTAATATAAACCGGATTTGTTTCGGCCCGATCCAAGGTCCAGCTTGTTCGACCCGAAACAGCATCCGGCCCGCTAGACTCGATCCAGGATCCGGTCCGTTAGACCCGATCCAGGATCCGGCCCGTTAGACCCGATCCAGGATCCGGCCCGATTCTCTTGCCGGGTCTGTTCCGCTCCGAATCTTCTTTTGTTCGCGGTTAAACTCTGGTCTTGCCTTCTCGTGTGCAACAGCCTCTTTGGTAACTTGGCAGAGATAAGTTTTCTTTTTCCTTTCATATTCACATCTCCATGCCGGAAGATTCAAATGTTGCCTCTGGGTCTTCTGGAGTTAAATCTTCTGCAACATATGTTGATCCTGTTGGGCTGCAAATTACATCTATGAAATTAAGTAATTCCAATTACTTACTATGGGCTCAAGCAGTAAAGATTTCTTTAGGTGCCCGACGAAAGCTGAAGTTTATTACTACTGATCCTCCATCAAAAACATCAGCAACATATGAGGAATGGGAAACTGATAACTATATAGTTATGTCTTGGTTGTGGAACAGTATGGAACCTTCAATTGCATCCACTTTTATGTTTGTCAACACTGCCAAGGCAATCTGGGATGCAGTTAAAGAAACTTATTCCATGGACACAAATGTTTCGCGCATATATTCTTTGTATGAAAAGATATTTCATTCTCGTCAATCTGACTTCTCTGGTCAAGGGCTTGGTGAGTATTACAGTAATTTCAAAAGCCTGTTAGATGAGTTAAATCAGTACCACCCCTTGACTACTGATCCTGATGTTCTCAAGCGACAACGTGAGGAATTTTCTGTTTCAATTTTTCTTGCTGGTTTGCACCCGAACCTTCATAATATTCGGGACCAGATTCTTGCGGGTGATGGAGGACTTCCATCTTTGGGTAACATTTACTCCCGCCTACTTAGGGTTTCAGAACAATCACATGTGACACCCACTGGAGTGAAAGAAAATTCAGCTATGATGATTCCTTCTATTTTTCCACAGTCCTCTAGAGGTCGTGATAGTTCTACTGGCAACAGAGGGTATGGTGGAAATTCAGGAGATATTCCTAGTGGCAACAGAGGGTATGGTGGAAATTCAGGTAGTTCTCGTGGCGGTAGTGGCCGCGATAGAAGTCGCAATCGCCGTGGTCGTGGACGTAGTGACACTCGTATGTGCAGCCACTGTAAAGGTACTAACCATTCTGTTGAGAACTGTTGGACTCTTCATGGGAAACCAGCATGGGCAAACCAAGCAGTATCTTCCTCTGACCTTGCGGGGTCTCATCCCTCTCTTGGTCAGACTTCTGTATTACCATCACCTGCAGCTACTAGTGACACTGTGACACTATCACTATCACGAGCTGAGTTCAGTGCTTTGGTCAACCGGACACATCCCAACTCTACTGATGTAATTAATTTTGCGTAATCAGGTAATATTGCATGCTTGTCCGATTTACAGACTTCAGCATCCCCTTGGGTCATTGACTCTGGGGCTTCTACCCATCTCACAGGTGATGCCTCTCTATTTTCTAACTTTCAGAAGTCTAGTTCCTCATCTTTTGTTACTCTGGCTGATGGTAGAACATGTTCCATTATTGGCCAGGGAACAATTAAATTAACCCCATCCATTTCTTTATCCTCTGTGCAATTAGTTCCAAATTTTCCTTTTAATTTATTATCTGTAAGTAAATTGACTCAAGCTCTGAAGTGTTTTGTCACATTTTATCCTTCGTCTTGTGTCTTTCAGGACCTCAACACGAAACAGACGATTGGTGGGGGCAGTAACAGAAATGGCCTATACTATTTGGATTGCAAACCTTCCATTGTTGCTTTACATTCCCAGATGTCTGTGTACCAGTGGCATTACCGGTTAGGTCATCCCTCGTTGCGGTATTTGAAGTCTGCTTTGCCTTTTCTTGAGTCGGTACCTATTTTAAATTGTGAGTCTTGTCAGTTGGGTAAGCACCATAGAGTGCCGTTCCCTCCTCGTATTGTTAATCGTCGGTCTTCTTTATTTGAATTAGTACATACGGACATTTGGGGTCCCGCTCGTCACACTAGTCACTCAGGTTTTTCTTATTTTGTTACCTTTGTTGATGATTATTCAAGGATGACTTGGTTGTTTTTAATAAAAGACCGTTCTGAACTGTTTTCCATATTTCATATATTTTTAAAAGAAATTGAGGTCCAATTTGGGTGTGTTATACGCACTTTACAATCTGATAATGCTATGGAGTATGTCAAAGGTGCTATTTCTAATTTTTGTGACTCCCGTGGTATTTTGCACCAAACTTCTTGTTCTTATACTCCTCAACAAAATGGCGTAGCTGAACGGAAAAATAGGCATTTAATTGAAATAGCTCGTACATTGATGATACATATGCATCTTCCAAAAGCATTTTGGGGTGATGCTGTTTTAACTGCTTGTTATTTAATTAATCGTATGCCATCTTCCGTTCTTAATTGGAAATGTCCTTACTCCTTTGTTTTTCCTACTCGACCATTATTTGCATTACCGCCTCGTGTTTTTGGGTGTGTGTGTTTTGCTCACATATTACGTCCTGGCGCTGATAAATTGTCTCCTCGTGCCATTAAATGTGTCTTTATTGGATACTCTCGGACTCAAAAAGGTTATAAATGCTGGGATCCTAGCACCCATAAGGCTTTTGTGTGCATGGACGTTACATTTTTTGAGGATACTCCTTATTTTTCTTCACATAGTTCGTCTTTAGATACCGAGCTGCTGCTTCCGTTACCTGTTGTGTCAAATTCATTACCCTGTGACCCACCACAATCATCTCATGTGCCACCGCCTCTTCAAGTGTATAGCCGTCGATCACGAGTAGCCCCCCTCCCCCAATTGTCTACTTCTATTGAGGCTCCTCCTGCTACTGATGATCTTCCTATTGCATTACGTAAGGGTGTTCGCTCCTGTGTCACTGCACACCCCATATCCAACTTTGTTTCCTATAAAAAGGTATCGCCCTCATTTTCTTGTTTTTTATCCACGTTATCTGCTACTGCTGTTCCAAAAACTGTGCAGGATGCTCTATCTGATACAGCTTGGCGCAAAGCCATGATAGATGAAATGGATGCTCTTCATCATAATGGGACATGGGATCTTGTTTCCTTACCCCTCGGTTCCAAAATGGTTGGTTGTAAGTGGGTCTACACTATCAAATATCTCCATGATGGATCTGTTGAGCGATTGAAGGCTCGTCTTGTTGCAAAGGGATACACACAAACCTATGGTATTGATTATGATGAGACCTTTTCTCCTGTTGCGAAAATTTCTTCTATCCGAATCCTTATTTCTATTGCCGCCAATCGTAATTGGCCATTGTTTCAATTAGATGTGAAAAATGCTTTCTTACATGGTGACTTACATGAAGAGGTTTACATGGAGCAACCACCTGGATTTGTTGCTCAGGGGGAGTCTCGTTATGCTGTATGTCGACTTAAAAAGGCCCTGTACGGATTGAAACAATCTCCAAGGGCTTGGTTTGGAAAATTCTCCGAGGCAGTACTTTCCTTTGGCCTTAACAGATGTGAGACAGATCATTCGGTATTTCACCAACATACTAAAACTGGCTTTATATTTCTTGTGGTATATGTAGATGATATTGTTATAACAGGTGATAATTCTGACGGCATTGCAAAGTTAAAATTGTTCTTGCAGAATCGGTTTCACACAAAGGATCTAGGCAAACTCAAATATTTCTTGGGTATTGAGGTTGCTAGATCCAAGGAAGGTATAAGTCTATCTCAAAGAAAATATGTGTTGGACTTGTTAAAAGAAACAGGTATGTTAGGTACTCGCCCTGCTGATGCTCCTATGGACCCAAATATAAAATTATTACCTGATGAGGGTGATTTATTTGACGATCATGGCAGATATCGATGTCTAGTTGGGAAATTAATTTATCTCACTATCACCCGTCCTGACATTTCATATGCAGTTAGTGTTGTAAGTCAGTTCATGAGTGTTCCTAGAGTACCACATTGGAATGCTGTTCTTCGAATTATTCGATATCTCAAACAAGCTCCAGGTTTTGGATTACTATATAAACCTAATGGTCATCTTAATGTGACAGGTTTCACAGATGCTGACTGGGCTGGTTCTCCCTCAGATAGGAAATCTACTACAAGCTATTGTACACTTGTTGGTGGAAACCTTGTTACATGGAAAAGTAAGAAGCAAACAGTTGTAGCACGGTCTAGCGCTGAAGCAGAATACAGGGCGATGGCCCATACCTCTAGTGAGTTAATGTGGATTCAACACTTTCTTGAAGAACTTGGGTTAATAGTCAAGACTCCTATTCCACTGCTATGTGATAACCAAGCTGCTATTCACATCGCATCCAATCCGGTTTTTCATGAAAGAACCAAGCACATTGAAGTTGATTGTCACTTCACTCGAGAGAAAATATTGAGTGGAAATATTTCTACTCCATTCGTGAAGTCTGAAGACCAATTAGCTGATATGTTTACTAAGGCTCTTGGTCCTAATCGGTTAAAAATAATTTGTTCCAAGCTGGGATTATATGATATATATTCTCCAGCTTGAGGGGGAGTGTTAAAACACTTATATGTATATATGCATTTAGGTTGGGGTCTTATGGTAATTAGATATAGGGTTTGTGGCTGTTATGTAATTATGCCTTTATTGTATTGTATTGTATATAAACTCTCCTTATGTCTTAGGGTTTGTATAATGAAAATATGAGAAGCTTATTCAGTGTCTCTCTCTTACGGTCTCTCTCTCTCTCTCTCTGTGTATTTCTACAATATACATATCTTCACTTTTACAGTTTTAAAATGTATGTGCTAGGCATGCATGCCATTGTGTGTGTGCGTGTGTGTGCGTGTGTGAGAGAGAGAGAGAGGAGAGAGAAAAAAAAAAAAAAAACTTCCATAGAATATGATACAACATACAAGAAACAAAGCGAAGCAGGCAAAGTTTTAAAATGTATGTGTTAGGCATGTGCGCCGTGTGTGTGTGTGTGTGAGAGAGAGAGAGAGAGAGAGGAAAACACATATTAAAAATATTCAACATTAATGATATAAGAGCATGTTGCATGATACAATATCGAATATTCACCTAATAAGAAATTAATCGAGATTCTATTAAATTTAAAAATGTCGTTTCCCATATACAACCATGCTATCAATTGGGTCAATAAATGTATGCTTAACTGGATCCCTGCCCAATCAAAATTCTCAATTCTCAATTCTCAACTTAGCCATATGCACGGTGAACAAGCAGAAGAACAAATGTTCAATGTCAAGGATATTTTACAATTTCTGGGTTTTTAATTAAAGTAAAATGTATTTATTGTAAACAAGAATTATTTGTCAAGTGATAACATATTCCCATGCATATCAGTTTTGCCAGTAGAAACATGGAGTAATATTTTCTATTTTTCATGATGATACATACTAAAGCGTCCATGGACAGAGTTAATTGATAAATTGAATTATCATAAATTTTGGCTTATGACAGTTCAACCATGTCAATCTTTTGTGTGAGCTTCTAAGAAGGACCAGTATATATGGATATCAAACTCCACATTACTTTCTATTGGAGGCTCTCTCTTTTTTCATAAGTACGTACTCATATCTCTTTAAATAAAAGATAAATAACTTAGGTTATGACTTGTGAAACCCAGAATTCTACAATAACATCTAGATGACTGCCTAAACAATGTATCACAACCATTTACAGTTCAACTTCTTTCTCAGAACATGCTAACTAATTATATGTATAAATAGTACATACATAGACATACCTACACTAAATACATCATGGACAACACATGAAAACAGGAATATGTGTATACAATAACTGACCAACTGACTTATCAATAAAAAAGAAAAGTAGGAATTCAAAACTTACAACAGGAAAATACATACCTCTTTAATCTGCGTATCAGGTGAAGACTCAAACCCTTCTGTTAAATGAAATTTCAAACTCTGATGGATTTCTTCAGCAGGGCCCTTATCAACACTTGGTAGTTTATCGTGTACCTCATGAGAAACAGGAGATTGTTGAATATGCAGGACAGCATCTAAATTATCTTCAATACCCTTCAAAACCCGATTCTCACTGATGTTGGAATCAGTATCAACGCACTCCTGAACATGAGCTTCAAAAGAAACACCCTTCGCCTCCCTTGCTTTGTTTGAAACCTTCCATTCCACCAATGATTGCTTCTCCGGATAATTTCTGACAGGGTCATCAGATGATAATTCGTTTACTGATGCTGCAGGATCCACTAAAGTATTCTCAGTACTCTTCAGCATAGGATTCTCATTGACCTTTGAATTGACATCAGCGCACTCCTCAACATGAGCTTCAAAAGAAACCCCCTGAGCCTCCCCTGCTTTGTTTGAAACCTTCTGTTCCACCAATGATTGCTTCTCTGGAGAATTTCTGTCAGGGTCATCAGATGCAAATTCATTTAGTGATGCTGCAGGACCCACTAAAGTATTCTCAATAATCTTCAGGATAGGATTCTCATTGACGTTTGAATCGACATCAGCACACTCCTCAACATGAGCTACAAAAGAAACCCCCTGAGCCTCCCCTGCTTTGTTTGAAACCTTCCGTTCCACCAACGGTTGCTTCTCCAGAGAATTTCTGTCGGGGTCATCAGATGCTAATTCGTTTAGTGGTGCTGCAGGATCCACTAAGGTATTCTCAATACTCTTCAGCATAGGATTCTCATTGACATTTGAATCGACTTCAACGCACTCCTCAACATGAGCTTCAAAAGAAACCCCCTGAGCCTCCCCTGCTTTGTTTGAAACCTTTCGTTGCACCAATGATTGCTTCTCCTGATAATTTCTGTCAGGGTCAACAGATGCTAATTCATTTAGTGATGCTGCAGGATCCACTAAAGTACTATCTTCTGATGATTTGGCCAACATTTTCTTTTCCAACTTAGGACTAAAGGTTTCATTCAAAGTGCACTTTTCAACGTCATCATATTCAAGTTGCTTGGGCTTCACAGACATACTAAGATCTGAAGTCCGCCTTGAGACCAAAACTTCCAACCGTAGCCTAGCACCATCAAAATTAGACCCGGAACAATCAGCCAGAGCTTGTCCATCAGAAACATGCTGAGTTCCTGTAGCAGTTCCAGCACTTCCTTCCTTTTTAACAATATCATCTGTATCAAGGCGATACGAGATTTCTTGACTATCTAACACGTTCTGAAGATCATATCCTTCAAAACTGTTTAATGAGTGTGCAAGTGGAGACTTGCCAGATTCACTAGATCTTGACCTTGTAAATCTTGGGCCAACAATATTGGAAGAATTTACAGGCTTAGATATTCCTTCAATACTACAAGTTGTTTGCAACCTAGTCTCTCTGCCAACGTCTTTCTTAGCAATATCAGAAGAGCTATCCAGTTTAAAAGATTCATCAACACAACTGCGTGGATTGAAAGAACTTCTAGATCTCGTAATTCTATTGCGATACATGTCAGTGCCCTTTTCCTTGCTTAAGGCATCACCTTTTGTCTCTCTTACCACACAACTATCCCTACTGATATCAGGAGGCTTGGCCAATTCCAACATTTCATCAACATGATCAAGCTTTTTTGAAGCAATCGCAGATGTTTTAAATCCAACAGAAGAACTTCTAGATCTTGTAATCCTGTCTGAATTAATGTCAGTACCCTTTCCCTTGCTCAGGCAATTTTCTTTTGGCTCTCTCTCCTCGCAGTTATCACTGCTAATATCAGAAAGTTTGGACAATTCCAAAAAGTCATTGACTTTATCTGGCGGTTGAGAATTAAATCTAGATGCTACAAATCCACTAGAAGAAACACCAGTATTATTCTCGTGATTGCTTTTAGTAACTGTTCTTGCACTATTGCGAAGCTCCAGAGCCTTTTGCCTTGACTTGGACCTTTGAATTCTAGCAAGTGACGGATCTGATGCAGTAGAAATGTTTGAGATTCTTACATCTGTCTGCTCTTGAGGAGAGGCAGCACTAAAATCCAGCTCAGGAACACAATTTAAAGCACATCCACCATCAATATCGTGGCACTCGGGCACAACTGTTGGCCCATCTTCTTCATCAACTCCTTTGTTGGAAGTATGAGTTTCCGTGAATAATTCATTGGGTAAATCTCCATTATCTTCTGTAATAACTGATTTGTTGTACAAAGAGCAGCAACCACCAGAATAAGGGACTGCAGGTCGTGGATGTGGATGTGGAAGTAGAAGTTCAGAAATCAACTTCTCTTTCTTCAACTCTACAACGCAAAAGTCTGTTAAAATTAAGATGTAAATATTTATCACTTATTGCTAATAATATAGACAGAGAATACAATGGCATACATTTAATTAATTAATCAAGGTCTTGTAACTTGATGGCCTCCCAACAAACGATGAAAAATTGAATCTTAAATGCGGTTTATCATTTGATTGGTTTTCAGTTTCAGCACTATCATATCAACTAATTAATAGAAGAAAAAGTTTATATTTTCAATTTTAATCAGCATACCAAAACTCGTTGGTCGTATACCTAAAGTAAAGGTGTATGTCAGATCACCTTGACTACTAAATATGTCAGTTTTAAATAAAAATTTATAGGTACTTTTTTATTAAGCCAAGCATGCACCTATGGTAAAATTATAATTTAACAAAACATGGAAAAAACTGGTATGAACTATGAACTATGAACCATAACCAACTAAAGAATGGAAAGCCACTAGATTGATTATAATTTGTAAGGAAATTTTGAACTAAACAATGGGGAGGATCCAAAAGTCCTTGAATTGAAGTGGCCCGTTGCAAGTAAATTCAACTCATAACTGTAATTTTTATGACCACAACCAAAGTTAAGCCTGTGCATGTTCTTTAGCCTTCGGCATTGGATTCAGAACCCTGTACTTTAAACTATGAAACAAAGGTTTTCTAAATACAAAAAGAAAACGTCAATTGTACGTCTTACAACAATATATGTATTAACTAGAAAATGTCAATTGTAGGTCTTACAAGAACATATTAACTATGATTTTCCTATGTCCAATTAAATCAATTCTATCACTAACAGTAAAATGCTATATGGTTATGTGTTCACGTATTAGAAGTTTAGAACCTTGTGATTTCAGGACTAGCATTGAATAAAATGGGTATATATGCCTCTTATCAGCAAGTATGCATAGTTTGTTCAAAATTTATAATTTTATTAGAGAGAGAATGTGTTTGGTTTCTGAGAAAACAAAAGGAAAACAGAAGGAAATACAGATAATATAAATTTTGAACCTTTCACAATATTCTTTTGTTTTAGTTTCTAATTATTTTGGAAAACTAAACTCAACATAGTCATCTGAATGTACATCACAAAAAAATAATAATAATAATAATAAATAAAAAATTCATACAGTTGTGCTATGCTCAGTAAAGTTAATGTTTAGGTTGTCTTGTCTCAAAATTATAAATTATAAATAAAAAATTGAAAATTCATAATTTCAAATTCTTTTCTTTTCCCAAATTATCACAGCAAACAATAGAACCCTAGAGAGACGAACATGGACCTATTAACGCGAAATTGTGAAGCAGTGTGAGTGAGTAGCAGTACCTTTGGGATCTAAACAATCAGAGCGAAGTTTAGGGTTCCACAGCCACTTTGGAGGGGTAATTCCATCAATAAGGAGTTTGGAAGCGAGGTGTTGATCGTATAAGTCAGTTTGTTGCTTGACTTGTTCGATGATCCACTTCTTTCGCTCGAAGATCTGCACGAATAGCTTCTCTATGGTCGTCATCTTCAGAGTGAACAAGCCATCAACGCACTCATCAATGTCCCCTGGAGATAGATAGATATATATATATATATATACGGAGAGAGAAAGAGATCGACAGAGAGAAAGAAGTCCAGAGTCCAGAAGCGAGAGAGAGAGAGAGAGAGAGAGAGAGATTTGGGGCATTAGATGAACGGTAGAGATGGGGTTGCCATTAGAGCGCGGATAGGATTTCAAATTTCGGGAAAACGACGGTAGGCTAGTGTGGCATTTCTGAAGTAAGCTTACACCGATAAAGAGCGAGTAACGTATCAAAAAAGTTTCAAAACCTTGAAATAAAACCCAAAATAGGAAAAATAAAAATAAAAATAAAAAATAAAAGTATGTTTGATGATCATTTTCCATAAAATGAGAAGTGCATTTTCGGGAGAATAAAAAATGAGACATGAGTTTGAGTTTGAGTCAAAACTCTCACTAAAACTAAATTTATTATTTCCAAAGTAAAGTATTGTTAAGAATCGTAGATCCTAGTAGAGCAATTTAAGTCCAATCATCCAATAAATCAAATTTTTATTCGTATTAAATCCGATAATTCAGTTATATATTGAAGTTTTGATTCGAATTCCATCTGATAACTCGGATATGGATTAAAATTTAATTACATAATTTGAAATTAAATTCGATAACTCAGTTATGAGTTAAAGTTTTAATTCGAATTTGATCTAATAACTCGACTATGAATTAACATCAATTCGATCTGATAATATTTCAAAACGACATAATAAATTATATAATAATATTTTAAACATATATTATTTATTACAATAATATATAATATTTACATGTTATCAAAATAATTTTATAATTATTTTTTCTTCTTCCTCTTCCCTCTCTTTAATTCCTCTCATTCTTAATAAGTGTTATTTCAAACAAGTATTTTTTAAAACAAATACTGAACTATCTTTTTCTCATTTTTCTTTCATATTTTATGTCTTCCGTTTTCACTCCTTTTAATTTTTTGTATTATTATAAAAAAAAAAAAACAACTACATCTATCTAATCAGATTTCAATTAATAACAAATCCAACATAAATTGTAATTCAATTCAAATTCAATCCATTTATAGATTTAAATTTAAGTCCAAACAAATGACGGCAAGTCTTAAACTTCTTGTTATACTTAATATGATATCCGACTAAATAAAATAAATTTTAATATTGCCATATTGATCAAATTTTTGTTTTTACTATTTTTTGACAACTAAGAGTTGAGAAATTTTCACAGCAATTTCTATTGGTGCTGACTGCTATTGTGATTGTTTGTAAAAAAAATGGAAAAAAAAAATATATATATATATATATATGTATATGAATAAAAATAAAAAGCAAATATTTGACGACTTGTTTGTCAAATTTACGTTATTGTAACAAGGATTATTTATTTTACATGAAATTTAAATAAAAAAATAATTATGTATAAATGGATAGATATGAATTGTATTAGCTAACAGATTTTGGATAAACCAATAAATCGTTCATCCTTTTTACTGTAAGCGTAAGGCCTATAAAGACGTTTGGGTGAGTCAGTAGGCAGGTGGCTCTAGCCGCAACGACGTCTGGGTGAGTCAGTAGGCAGGTGGCTCTAGCCGCAACGAAGGTGTCAAATGAAAAAGTGATCGATTATAAACCGATGGGTAGACACAATAGCTTTAACTTTTTTTCGAAAACACAATAGTTTTAACTTCGGAATACAGAGGGTCGGCGAGATTAGGAATTTCGTTCCAGCTGTAATATCCACTAGTGGTGCTGGGTCTATGTCCTCGCCGGAGTTTTTGTTTAGGTTGAACGTGGAGTGCGTGAGACGCGTGTTGCAGACGACAGCGACGATGCCGTAGTTGACGCTCAACGGCGATGTTAGAGGCACGAATCGGAACACGTTGCCGTGGTTGAAGATCGCCTCGAGACGGTTGTTTGCCAGCTGGACTGCCACTTAGGATTCTCCGTAAGAAATCCGTCAAAATTATTGGTGTGAGAGTATCGCCACAAAAAAAAATTAGCCACGACTCAGGAACCTTTATTGCAATGCGTCTAGCTCACGCAGGGAGGAGGAATACGATTCTACAACCCCATTTGGCACGCTAGAAAAAATTGTTTTGCGGGAAAATTTCAATTTCTCGATAGTATAACAAACACTTCCACAAGCCCTGTCAAGATTAACTGTTTTTTGCTGCCAATTTCCGTCTCTTTTGGCGAAAATGTCCGGTTAGCTCCCTCTCCGTCCTCCTTCTCCATCTATATTTCTCTCCCTACACACACTCTCTATATGTATGTATTGGAATTTTATTTTGATCAAGTTGCGCATATTAATTAATCCCCTTTTGTTGTTACACACACGTATATGACTAGGAAATTGAGTGGATTGTTCTTTCTTGAATTGTTTTAAGTTTAATAAAATCAATATAAAGAGATGGTACCAGATGTACTTCTACTTATTACTTTACATGTTGTCAATCAAATCCACCTTAAAAAAAATAGGAAGTGATAGAAAATGTAATTTGTTATATTAATTGGTTTTAGCCTCTAATAATTATTCTTTTTTGCTTGTTAATGCTTCTAAGAAACTCAAAACTGTTATGGTGGTAGTTAAGGCCATTATGCTCGGCGCACTTTAGTTATTGTTATTGTTAATTGCGCTATAATTAACGGATGTCGTATTAAATATTTGTGGTTATAGTTGCCCACACATTCTTATGGGTTATGCAGGATAAAATCCTATATACTATGTTGGGAGCACCGAATCGACGGATTGGATTTGAAATTGGAAAATTTTAGTTAAATCTGTGAATTAAAATTTCTCCAATCCCAAATTCAAAGCATTGATTTGGTGTTTCCAAACACAACAAAAATTTGCACAATATACTTAGGAAAGTCTTGGTGCTGTCCATATATGTACTTAATAATTATCCAGTAGGTTTTGTGGAACCACAAGAATTGTGGACTTTAATGATTATGTTCAATTACACGCACTCATTTCTGAATTTTTTTTTTGCTATTGTATCTTAACTAGTGATAGCTCTGTTCAGTTTTAAACCCTTGTTTGCTTTGACACTCTGGGATCACTCTTTTTTCACGAAACTGCTTCTTATTTAGCAAGGATTCGAATAAAACCTTATTGCCTGCTGCTCATAATGTTTTGGTTCAATCCATTTGTACACTGCTTTGTCATTTCCTTCGGAACTCTTTTGATATTCCTAATTCAATATAGATAATTGCAAGAAGTATGAACATTTTGTCTCATTAGTTGGTTGTTGTCTAATTGTTAATTTAAATTTGTTCCTTCTTTAGGTAACATGGATATTGCGTTGCCATTGGATAAGTTATCTCTAGGACCCACGGAAACTAAAATCGAGTAAGTTTACCTTTTTCAGTTGCATTACCAATTATTTTACTGCTCGGTTGCTTGAAAGTGTTCCTTTTTTCCTTCATTGCGTCAAAATGCATGCTTGGTTGACAATGGTATGTTTTAAACGTCACTAAAAAATTGGCCTTTAAGAAATTGTAATTCTTGTCCAACAAGGAATTAGGTTTGGAACTCTATTAATAGATACCTACGTTATGGGTTGAGACTTATAAGATTGAGAGAGATGTAGTCTCATGAGGGAGTTGATTGGTAGAGGTAGTATGTAGATTGGTAGAGTAGGAAAAACACTAGTAGCGAGGAGAGAGACTCGTGGAATGGTACTTTACAATTGTGATATCTCTACGAATCACAGTAGAATTTCTACGAATCATAGTGGAATCTCTCCTCATCCATGGATGTAAGTCGGTTTTGGCTGAACCACGTTATATCTTGTGTTTGTTTGTGATTGCTTTGTTGGATTGTTTTGGTTCTCAATGTTTCCACGCTTCCACTGCCCAACGGTTTACCTCTCCATCAACAAGAATAAAAAATTAATAATAGAAATGCTAACTCTCTTTCTCTCTCTCTTATAGGGGCAAACTGTATGTCGTTCTTGTGTCAACTGGAAGTTTCAATCCTCCTACTTACATGCATTTGCGTCTTTTTGCATAACCTTGGTACTTTGTTTGTTCTAATAGCAACATTTGAAGTTGACATCAAACTCTTATCAAGGCTTGTGAGATTCTTAAACTGTCAAAATAGGAGGTTTTACCTGTTCTAAATTTTATTTTTAACTCTTACATCTGTGCGAAGAGAGAATTTGAAGGGATATGATTGTCAATTCAGGGTTTTGAAATGTAAATATGGCGCTGGAATTCATCAGTGAAGGGAGTATTAAGCCTTACGATATTCTTTTCCCTCTATTACTTTTTTCTTTTTACAATATTCTTTTCCCTCTATACAAACATGGTGGATCACATCATTTCATTTTTGGTTAAAAGTTATTTGTTTTGTTTAATTTTCATTGTTTAAATTTGTTTTTATTGTTAGAGCTGGCAAGAGATGCATTAAATTCAGAAGGCTTTTGTGTTATTGGAGGTTATATGTCACCTGTGAGTGATGCATAAAAGAAAAAGGTATGTAACATATTGAAGCATATCATCGGGCATGCTTGTAGAAAATTCTTTGAGACACCGGAAAGGTGCAATGGTACACATTTTTATTTCATTGGTCCTAACTCTTAAAGACAGAAAAGCGTGCAATAGACACATTGAGAAAACCCCAACCCTTTTATTTTTTCTGTTTTTCATTGGATATGAAGTGAAGGCTCGTTGTTTTTGTTTCCTGGCTAACGGGAAAAAATTGCAACTCCTCATTAGTTCACCCTCCGAAAAATTAGCAAGTGGATTATTTTTATTCATCCCTTTTTAGAGATTCAATTACTAATGTGTGTGTACAGTTCTTTAATTCTTTCTGAGAGTGATCTCCTCCATTTCTAGAGCTCCAATAACTAATGTGTGTTTGTATTTCTGAGTTGTTTCTCAGAATCATATCCTTTTTTCATTTCCATCCTCTTTTAGTATCTTCATTGCCTCTTTATAAATAAAGCCGACTTTCTTAGCAAAAAATTTGTCGTGGCAGGGATTTATAGTTCTAGGATGGTTTATGATTATTTAAGTATTTTAAGCTCTCTGGTGCATCCAAATTGGCAAATGAAGATGTTTGCCTTAATATAAAGCAGTGAGAGACTACTAAATTGTGGCGAGAAGCTGTCAATGATTTTTTAGTCTTCATATATGTTTTCGACATTGAAATATCCATTGTGGAGATTAAGTGGTGGAGCCTTTTTAATAGAGATGTTACTGTCGAGACGGCTTTTTTTAATATAGGATTGTTTCATGTTTATACTTCATCTTTTATTCTCTTTATGGTGATATTATTCTCTCATGTGATGAAGTTGATATACAATCATATTTATGACCACGTTTTTCCACGCATTATGGCTCAGTCTGGTTGATTGCATTTGTACTTATGTAGTAATAGTTGGTATTGCTCCCTATTGAGAATCATCTAATTATAGCTAAGTTATATTTTGCAAAATCATAAATGTGTTCTTTCTACATGACTGCATTTTAACATGATCTAACAAATTTCCAGCTAATAATGATAATATTTACAGGGCCTTATATCTGCTAAAAATCGTATCGAAATGTGCCATCTAGCTTGTAGAAGTTCTGGATTTATAATGGTGGATCCCTGGGAGGTATCTCTGTCATTTCACAGATTCTTTATAATAGTGTTGAAATTTTTACAAAAAGTGCATTATTATATCATTTTTATATTTTGTTTCATTTGTTATGCTATTGCTTGGTATTTAGGCATTTAGCCATTGAAACTAATATGGAAGTATCAAGCCCTTGTTGCAGGCAAATCAAAGTACCTTCCAACGCACAGTGACTGTTTTGTCTAGAATCAGGAGTGTCTTATGTGAGAGTGGACTCATATCTGATGGTAAGGCTTGTAGAAGCATTACATTTTTCTTTCTCCATTCTGCATTTGAGCAATTGTCTTATGGAGTCAAATTTTTTTTTTTTTTTCATGTTCTATTGGGAATATTTTGTCATTTTGCTAATTGAAGTTTGATTTGAACAAAAAAGGTTTAATATGACTCTTTAGCCATTACCCTATAGGGTCCCCTATTAATTGAGGGTGCTGAGAGGGACAATCTGCGTAAGGGCCCGATCTTTGATAATATTTTCACAAATTGTATTTAGTAGTACATGCTTGGCTTGCACAAACAATTATCATGGACTTCCAACTCTTATACAGCCACGTATGGAAGTTGTTGTAGAAAGAATCTTCCACATCAAATCATTCCCCCACCCCCCCAAACCACCACCAATCAACCAACTAGTTCCCTTTATCACTGCTTGGCTACATAGGGGCCGAGAAAAACTAATATTGCCAAAAGGTTAGTTCTGAACCTAGCATACCCCTTTCCGAGTACAAACAATTAACATGGACCACACTAGGTAATGGCTTCATTGCATGTTTCTATTCTCTAATTCGGTGGTGATGTCATGACTTGCTCTTCTCCTGCTTGTAGACTCCCTTAAGGTCATGCTCATCTGTGGCTCTGATCTGCTAGAATCTTTCGGAATTCCTGGAGCTTGGATACGGGAGCAGGTAAGTTCTTGTATTATGGATTGTTTTGTACATAACAGATAGTAGTAGACAAAAAACAATTGTTAAAATTGGATGATGCTAGACTTATTATTGTGCGATCCCTAAGCAATTGTTAAATTTGGAAGATTTTAGACTTAAAATTGTGCGACCTTCCATTTCAAACGTGGTGCTTGCCTCCTTGTGCTACATCTTGTATATTTGCCACAACAATGTGAGGCATCAGATGTTGAAATATTGTGGGCATTCTCTGTATTGATTCTTTAAACCATCATGACCATCGTTGCATTATGAGTTTTGGATTCCCGTATTTAATAAAAGCAATTAATGTGAATGCTAAAAATTACTACTAAAGCGCTATACTTGAGACATTGGTGGAGTGACAATTGGGTAGGATTCGGGATTTTTTTAATTTTAGTGACAGAAAATTTTGGTTTTACAATGTTTTAACTTCCAAATTTTCAGGTCAGGACTATATGTAGAGACTATGGTGTGGTTTGGCAGAGAAGGTCAAGACATTGAGAAGATTATCTCAGATGATGACATTTTGAATGAGTACAAGGTGATCTAAGTTACCTATGTGGATACTCTGTGTTTATGGGGAATTTGATTAGAACATTAGCCAAACTTTCTTTTGGTCATTTAAGAGTAAAATAGGGTTGGTGCCTTTGTAATTGTGCAAATTGCATAAGCACTTTTGCCTTCCGAAAAAAAAAAATTGTGCAAATTTGGTGCAGCTGATGACACATGGTTTTAGTTTCAGATTCGACCAACGTTTTGAGCCTACTCAAAATTTAAAATTAGATCTTCATTTTATCATGTGGAATAAATGGGTTAATTATGGTTTACAATTTGAAAGGGTCTTGCATTTTCACTGTGTTACCGTTTAAATTCCTGCAGAACAATATCAAAGTTGTGGATGAACTTGTACCAAACCAAATCAACTCGACGAGAATAAGGTAACTGGTTTTTGTGTGTGTGTTTTGTTTTTTTGGAGGGTGATGTAATTAATCTGACAAAATTGGAATTAGGAAATGCTTAGTTTTGTTGATTGTTGTGTATACAGGAATTGCATTTCGAGAGGTTTGTCAGTCAAATATTTGACAGCAGATGGAGTAATTGATTATATTCAAGAGCACAATCTATACTTGAACTCCACGGACAAACGTTGATCCAACAGACATCAAGCTCTGGAATTTCACAAGCAGTACATCGTTATTTATGTATTTTACGAAGCATTTTTTGTAATGTGAGACAAATTTAATAATATTCAAGTCACATTCGAGTTTAGGTTAAAAGAAATAGCCGACTCCAAGTAGTTGAAGAAAAGGTTTGTTTGTGGTTGTATCACAACGTGAAAAAAATCTTGTGAGGTCTTAAGGGGGAGTTTATTCAACAAAATATACAATAGAAGTTGAAATGAAATATGATTTTTGGTTAAAGAAAGAGATTGGCTTTGTTGGGTTTCTCTGGTGCAATGAAATTAACTTCAACATCTCACATAGACGCATGCATACTTATAAGATAGTTATAGCTCATCATCGCGTGAACCGGAATGTTTTGTGCATGTTGCACTACTTTATTGTTACCATTGTGGTAATTTTGTTGGTTTGTAGTCAATTTATTTAAATGAATCTGTACCACTCGCTAGACTAACTTTTGGTTCCTAGTGCACTTCAATTAATATGTGTTGCATGTTTGATGATCTTGTGGATGCCTTGTGTTACGAGGGGAGATTTGTCTCGGATTTGGATGAAAGTGACGTGGGTATAAATAGGTGGGTATGTAATATTACCCAACAGTTTGAATTTTTAGGTAAATGGACAAGCGTCCACCTGTTACAATTGATATCAGAGTCAGACTCAGTCCTTCATTCGATGTCATGCCAAGCGCCTCACCCTGAGGGCATCCAGGTCTTCATCCCGGGTAGGCAAGGTCTGACCGCAACAAGGGCGTCGCGTGGGTTCAGATGAGAGAATGTTACAAGAGATTTGTTCCACATCGGATCTAGATAGGAAGTGACATAGATATAAATGGGTTGGTATGCATCACTACCCAACAGTTTGAGTTTTTTGATAAATGGGCAAGCGCCCACCCGTTTTACCTTGTATATATATATTTTACTACAATTTATATATTGTTATGCAAGGTTTTAATTCACGAAAAATGATGAATCCATAGGTGCATTTGAAAGCAACAGGAATGGTTGACGTGCATTTGAAAGCAGCAGGAATGGTTGATGAACTTGATGTGCATTTCCACATGTAATTGGTAACTTGACAATTTTATGCAGCCAATGCACGTTATTAATGAATACAGATCCATCACTGTAGATGCACAAATTAGGGTTACAACTCAGGTGAGTTGGGCGGGCTTGGCACTCATATCGGACCAGGCCCATATAAAAAATCTTCAGCCCAAGCCCGCCTTAAGCCCGAGCAGAGCTACCCAAGCCCAGCCCATACATAATTTGTCCAGCCCGAACCCACACTAAGCCCGAGCCCACACTAAGCCCACCTCAAAAGAATTTGTATGTAAAAAATAAATCAATTAATGCTACACCCATAACTTGAACACGTAAAACCTTAAACATAAAATCCTAAGCACACTGCCAATTTGGTTACTACACTCATGCGATTTAAGTGTAATTATAAATATATAAAATATTTTCGGGCTCGAGTTGGGCTTCAAGCTTCATCCATATCAACCAAGCCCACCCCGAATTAAATTTGTGCTCAAAATATATAGCCGAGGCCCAAACAAAAATTAAAAAAACATTGCCCAAGCCCACAACAAAATCTCGGGCTACGCACGAATTATTTCGGGTTGAGACCGCCCGAGTTGCATCCCTAGCACAAATACAATTAAGTTCAAAGAAATCTGAGGTTCAAAGTTGATTGCAACAAAACTGGCTGATATATTTCATCAAAAGAAATAAAAGAGTAGAGATGATAGGCATGATTCCACCATGGAATGCATGATTCCCAAATCCCTTTAACCTACAAAATTTTGGTTATGGCAGCCACATTCCATCTTCATACCATGCCTGGTGAGACTTGAGTGTAGTACATAGCAAAATTCACCCAGTCTCTGCAAACATCTGTTTACCATCCATAGTTCTAGTAATTGGTAGAAAAATATTTACACAACTTGAATCACTACCACTTCACCGTCTACCTCCTACTTTATGCTTACACCGTCGCTTCCGAGGTGTTTCAATCCAATTGATACCCAAATCTTGCCTTTTCACTGTGCCATTACTTAAGGGTGCAGCTTCAAATGCTTTAGAAGTTTTCTCATACCTAATAATGTCTGTTACAATTGCATAGACTGTGACCTCGCTTTCAGGGTCTGTGACAGCCTCTCTCTCGATAACTGACTTTTTCCCACAGCATAGGTCTTGGATGGCTCTCTCTCTCAGCTTCTGAAAGACAGCATCCTTGTCACGCTTAAAACAGTCCATTGGGACCTGCACAGTAAATAGGTACATTTAGGTCAGGCCCTCAGAATACACAGATCATTACTGTGACACATCCAGGAAGACAAACAGCTGCCTTTTATCTATCCCACCTAAAATATGGTACGGTTCATCTCATCAATAAATTTTTTTATTAGCTACAAACTATTTATGAAATCAACAAGATAACTTGATATTAGTTCGGGGACTTGAAGGTGAAAAGGTCATGCATATTTTCTTCCTCACACTGCAACTCGAATTCTTCTATGGAAAGTTAACTTTTGAGTTATTCCTGCCAAGACAAGTTTCAGCTAATGGTTAATATAGAATGAAGCATGTCATACTTCAGCTTCTGCAGAATAGTTACAATTTTCACGAATAATTAGTAACAGGCTATACTAGCCCTAAAATCACAGGTTATTGAGCCATATGCAATAAACTTGGATTATTTATATGCTCGGCTTAAAGGTTGCATGTGATAAAAAAATAATAATAATAAATGAAAAAATCATGATTTTAACAACAATGACCGGAATCACAACTATAACTGGAAAACTAAAGAATCATTTGCAAATGCAGCATCACAGCATTTGCAATCAGTCACCTTTTTCTGCTCACGGTTAAAAGAGCCTATAAATGGTTTTAAAAATTTTTTTTACCTTAAAGTCAATTGGAATCTTGATACGGGTGCATGAACACCCACAACCATCACTGAAGTTCAGTTTCAACAGAATATCAAATGGTTCCGCTGTCCTCACTGTTCTCCTGTGGAAGCACATAAATATAACTGAAAATGTGAGTAGGAAGCACCTATCAGGGCAGTTCATATAGCATATACCAGTTTACATATCCAATGTGGGTAATCACTCTGGGATGAAGTGACGAACAATAAAATTACAAGTTAAATTCAATTCATGCATATCTTTTTAGTCATAAATTTTGTTGCATAATTTTGCACAGCCAAAAAATATGGCCAAAACTTAGTCTAAATTATTGCAAGGATTGTATGATAAAACCAAGACTATTTTGAGAAACTTAGTGGTTTAAATTAAAATGTTGCAATTCTTTTTCACTAAACCTTTTCCATTTAACCAAATGAAATATTAGACGAATAGAAAAGTTATAGCTAATTTACTCTTTGCCACTGTCATGTTGAATTTTGTAGTTCCCTTGGTGAAATTCACAGATACTGGATGATATTTCCTAGTTTTAGTACTACTTAATATATATACCACGAATCCAGTAAGAGAATAAGCCTTGTAAATTATAATGTTACCAATTGCAGTATGGAAAATGACTGCTGCTACCTTTTTAGTTGAAGTGGTTGCTCATGTAGAACAGCTTCTTTCATGTTTTGTGATTCTGAGAAGGAAACCTAAGTTGCAAAACAGCAGTGGGGTTAGCCGTCTGTCAACATAAGATGTGATAACAATGACAAAAAATACTATATTTAAGAATAAAAGGTTCCAAATCCAATCAGTATTCTGAAATCGAATCAATGTCTCCCTAACCCGCTCTCACTCGCCGCTACTAGCAGGGTCTCAGTTGATTTCCCTTCCTTTAGCAACTTAGATGTTCCAGTTTGCTAAGTTTGAGAAGTCCAAAGAACGCAGACTAGTCACGGCGTAAATAAACAGTCTATCATACATGGGTATTTTCATAGCCACCTTGAACTGAGTCAGCAGAGTCAATAAATTGGCATGGAAATAACTAAGTTAGAAATTCTTCTATAGTAGTCCATAATAATTAGTTTTTGTGCCACTGAATTGCTATTATGAAGCACAAAGCTCAACCCCATATTCAATGTTTACAGTTTATTTAGTGACAAGTTACCAAGCGACAACACAACATTATGTGTGAAACAAAAAATCAATTTACATTGGTAAAATAGCCTTGTTAACAAACAAGCCTTTCAGTATATGGATAACCTAATCCCTGGTTTTGGAAACAAACAAAATGTCATTTGACAACGGGTAGGACTTCATATATTATTATTAAATGGAAATGAGCATAATGAATTCTTAGAAATAAATCCACCTCAACAGATTTGACGAATGGCAATGGAGCTTTCTTCCCGTGCGCACTTGCTACCCTGAGGCTCCAGTTCACATACCTTTTATCTGTAATGCAAGTGAATGGTCTGTGAGAAAGCTGTAAATCAAAGCCTCAGCTAACTACTAGACACTCACCAAAATAAAAAACAAAAAATAACTTGACATTCTTTCAACAATTTGGATTTGTGCACAAGCATGCTGACATCAGCGGATTCCGTATTTGAATAGCTTAGACCATTAACGGATTGGGAATCTGTTACAAAATTACCTTTGACAAGGGAGGTCAGTGTTATTTTTGAAAAGTGAAAACGTAGGGGAAGTGACTGTGATTAAGCCTTTCTACAGGGGAGGTCAGTGTAATTATCCCAAATTTATATCATCTAACAATGCTGTCATACCAGCACAACAGGTTTCTAAAAGCATGTAACTGACCACAAGGGCCCTTACCAAGCTATAATGGCTATTGAAATTTTGATGTTAATAGGACCGATATATCTGCCCATAATGCCACCGCTCCCTGACAATACTGTAATATAACAGTTATATAACATTAACAGCCAATATTTGAAGGAAACTTATTTTATAAAATGCCCACCCTCAACTGAAGAAAGTAATGGGGGATTTTGGATTCTATTTCCTGTATTTCTTTTGCAAAAATAAAACATGCTTCAGAGAGAGAGAGAATCTCAACAGCACTTCTAATTGAAAACCGAATATTGAATTAGAAACAGCATTACATAACAGTCTCACAGAGCAATAACAGCCAATATTTAAAGTCATGCATAGCCAGCATATATATTAACAAATAACCTCCCAATGATCACAAAGAAGTCATTTTCTATCATTTTATGGATTTAAAAGGAATCTTCTTTTATAAAATAATAACCCACTGTGCACCAGTAAAGAAAAAAATGGGGGATTTTGGGTTCTATTTCCTCCTGTATTTGTTTTGCAAAAATAAACCGTGTTTCAGAGAGAGAATCTCAACTACATTTCTCATGGAACACACGGGCTCATGCAACCGGACAGCAAAAGGAATGGCTTCACTTCACATTTAGTGGCAAACAAAATATTGAATAAAAATAAAAATAAAAAAGGCAAACAGGGTTCAAGTCCATCAGTACAACAAAAGAGTAATGTAAAAACGCTGGGCCATAATTCAGATGATACCAGCTACTTCAAACATATACCATGTGTGCTTGTAGTTTTATTTGTGTGTACCCTGATCCTGAAAACAAACAGAAAAAGAACAATCCAGAATGTTACCTAAACTGAAGGCCTGAGCAAAAATGATCTGGAGAAGATCAATTCTGACAAATGGAGGAATCCGCAGATTGAGTAGGTCCATGACTCCTGCCATTACCTGTTCTTATTCAAAGTAATGAACAAACTGAGAAAAAAGCAAAATCTATTCAAAGTATGAATCAGGTGCAAGTGAGCTCATGAATTCCAAAACCCAGATAAACTCAGTCTTATTAAGACACACAATATCAAAGCTGTAAAAATTTTATGGATGTAGAGACATAGTGGGAGATTAGAACGTATGCAAGTATGAAACAGATCCAAGCTCGTCAAAAGAATGCTCATTGAACTCAATAAATAAATAAATAAAAATAATATGATACCTTGTCTACAAGCCCATGGATCACCAAATATGCCTTCTTGTCCTTCGGAGTTTTCTGTAAAATTTAGAAAAAGAGTTAACAACTGGATAATTGATGCCTTATTACAAATAAGGGAACAAGAATATTACACCAACAGCGGATAAAACATAGATCCATATCTAAGATTATATCTGTAGAATATGTTGTTTATGTTATAGTAAGTTGTGTCATAAATATGGTTATGTCATCTGTTGGTTGGACTAGTATTCAGTAGTGTTCAACAGCTACCTTTGTTTAGTCTTGTTTCTAAGATTCAGTATTTATGGTTGAGACAGAAAATGTTAATAGCCTTGCTGGGAGGTGGTAGTCCTTGGACTCCAAAGTACAGATGTATCCTGTGGAGATTACCATATGTAACTTGTGCAATTTTTAGAGTGAGAATTCGGCTAATTTTAATGGTGTCAAAAGTTCTATTTGTTTCAAATCAAAAGAAGTGATAAATCAAAGTTCAAAATTAGATAATTCTACTGTCAGCCGGTGTGAAACCTGGAAAAGTTTTCCAGTGACACAAGCAATCTGGAGATTACATCAAACTTCCAACTTCAATGATGTCGAGAGTGCTAGTTGTTTCAAATTAAAGAAGCCAAAGTTCATAATCTATCAAACAATTCTACTTTCAGCTGGTGTGAAATATGGAAAAGGTTTTTAGTGGCCTTTTAGACACAAGCAATCTGAAAGGTTTTACGGAAGGCCCTGCCATAGACTAGCTCATCCATAGGGTTATGAACAGGCCAGGATTTGCTGTTCAGTCTACACAGCGTTATTGTTGTTCCATTGTATGCTACTTCAGCATTTATATAGACAACAACTGGGAATAAGATTGGGCTTGTACTTATCCACGGTTAAAATCCACAACAATTGTAATTTGGTAATTGACTATCATGCATCTATGATTTAGCTTTTGCTTTGATGGAACTGCAGATCATGAGGATTTAACAAGACCAATAAAGACACTCGATATTTTGATCTTAATTCTTTTAGTTTGGGAGTTGGATGTGCCTAGGGGGGTTTGGGGGTACTCCTCAGTTCCTCATTTTTGGGGTTGTGGGGTTACACCCCCCAGCTACCTGAATGCGAATGTCTTTCTTTGCTTCTCCTGTAAGGAGTAGGGACTAAGTGAAGGGACCCATGGGAGGATGGCCTGAGCAGTAATCCAAGTTACATGCAGCTTTTTGTTTAGATAAGCTGTAAACACTTAAAAATAAAAAGAAGGAAAATACCTGAAGATTCACAATTACAATCTTCCCACCACCACGGAGAGATTTTAGAGGCAAATTGCATGCAGGAGTTATCTGCAAACTGCACAGAATGGCTGTACTCATGATCATTGAATGAAACATGCAAGAGAGCAGATTTATAGGATCCACACCAAAGACCTGCACAACCCAGCTTGCTAAAAGGTAGAAACAAAACAATGTCATGGACTCAAGTCTTGTTACTCATTTTTAGAGGGATAGACGACGTAAAAGAGAGTGAATGATGACGTAACCCAAATTCAGAAAGTTGTTCCAAATTTTGGCTTCACTATTTTTAAATTGTATTTCTCCTCATTATTACTTAATGCTTCATATTCATTTCTGAAAAATAAGAATGAGAATGCAGAAGGTAAAATTTAATGATCACACTAGAATATTTAGTTGTGAAGCTAACAAAAATATGCAAAGATGTCCAAGATCTGCAGTTATCCAAGCTTGAATTTTAATAAATTATTATAAGATAAGACAACCAAGCTGCCGACTTAACAGTCCATTCATCTGCTGTTCATTATCAATAACGAGTTGGGAGACATCTAAAACTTCTTGCAGCTTCTTCATCATTATATAGTAGTTTATTGTAAATACAAAACTATATACTGTTTTTATTGCTAAATCTTTTGACACTCCTTGTCAGAAACAAGCTACCTTGTAGAAGGCAGTGAGAATCTGTTGAAATCCCTTCTAATCCAACTACATAGACCTGATGGACACTTGCATCTTCAATCATTAAATTACAACAGATTGGTATCATTTTTAACATTGTGTGATCATTCATCTTGTCCTACTCTCTTATTGTAACGGGTAGGCGCTTGCCCATTTACCCAAAAGTTTAAGCTATTAGGTAATGTTGCATACCCACCAATATATACCCATGTCATTTCCCATCCGGATCTGATGTGGGACAAGTCTCCCCCTGTAACATTCTCCCCCACCCATAGTTGTTAAAGGCTCAAGGCGCACAAAAGCGCAAATGCCTCCCGGAGCCTGAGGCGCAAGGCGAGCCGTGCGCCCGACTGAAGTAAGGCGCACGTTGAAAAAAAACAAAACAAAACCCACCCAATAAAGAATTAAAGATGCAATAGTATATATAAAGATGTAATAATGTTTGGATGCTGCATTAATTGATAGAAAATTTGAGTTCATCTTGCAAAAATCACATGGATGTGCTATTATTACCTTTAAGTCAAATCAAATCTAATTTTCATTAAGCACGAATAAAACATTTTTGCAAACTGCAAACACCATGTTTGGATGCATTAAATAGAAATTATGAATTTATCTTGCAAAAACCACAAGGATCAAGGATGTGCTATATTTTCAAATCAAATCAATCTAATTTTCTATAAGCACCATGATTCATTCTATTTTTCAAATCATTTTTGGGTAAGTAATTGATTGATTAGGTATATCTCTATTATCTATTTTAATGAGTAAACAAAATCAATCAAGCGCATCACCAAACACATGCAAGGCAGTAAGGCACTAATCTATAGAAACAACAACTAAGCCACAAAAACCCTCAAAAAAAAAAAACAGAGGACCAACATCATCTAGATTCTAGACAATTATAAAAATAAATAAAAAAATCTGCCAAAAGCAAAAGGAAAGAACTCAAAGAACTGAAAGGAGAGAGAGCCGAGAGAAGAAGAAGACAAGAAGAAGAAGAAAAAAAGAAGAAAAGAGAAATAAATCTGACATTCTAACGAGAGAAGAGAAGAGAGAAGAAGAAGAGAGTAAAAAAAAAAAAAAAAAATCTGACAAGAGATTTGGAGAGAAGAGAGAAGAAGAAGAGAGAGAAGGAGAGAGCCGAGAGAAGAAGAAGAAAAGAGCAAAAAAAAAAAAAAATTTGAGATTCTGACGAGAGGAGAAGAGAAAAGAAGAAGACAGAGAAGGAGGAGAGAAGAAGAAGAAAGTAAAAAAAAAAAAAATCTGACAAGAGATTCAGAGAGAAGAGAAGAAGAAGAGAGAGAAGGAGAGAAGAAGAGAGAGAAGGAGAACTTACCGGCAGATCCGAGAGCTTTGCAGATATCGCCTTTGCTGCCGGCAGATCTGTCTCTTCTTTCCACTTTTGCTTTTGGTTTTCTTTTTATTTTTTTGTTTTGTAACTTGTAAGTTTTGTAATACATAAATAAAAAGTAATAAACAAATAAAAAGTAATCATAAACAAATAATAAACAATACAAAACCAAAAAAGTAACAAAACAATTAAAAAAATTCCCTTTTTCAGGCAGGCGCGCCTTTTGAGCGCCTGTCGCCTTGCGCCTGTTATACAAAGGCGGCCACCCTATTCAACCCCAGCACCTTAAGCCATTGGAGGCGACATGGTGGCGCCTTGCGCCTCCGGCGCCTTTAACAACTATGCCCCCACCCGAACTTGCAACATCCTCGTTGCAGTCGGGCCACCCTGCCTACTCGGGTAACACACCCGGATGCCTTCCGGACCAAGCCTTGGCGTGGCACCGAATTAAGAACTGGGTCTGGCTCTGATACCAACTGTAACGGGTAGGTGTTTATCCATTTACCCAAAAGCTTAAGCTATTGGGTAGTGCTGCATACCCACCCATTTATACCCATGTCACTTCCCATCCGGATCCGATGTGGGACAAGTCTCCCCTTGTAACACTTATCCTTTACCACCTATTCAGGATACTAATGAATTACATTGTCATTAGTGAATTTTTCCTTCTGTGATTCGGATTTTTTGCCATTGATATTGGGCTCAAGTTTTAAAATTTTATGCTGGGCATTTCCTTTTCTTTCCTGATAATACGTGAAACATTAATATCTCTACCCAAGCCTCAACCTTAAGGTATACACTTCAGGGATCTCTCCAAAGCAATCCCTTGAGGCATTTTCTTATGCCTCATATGGAGGCATGACCTAGACTTTTCAAAACTATGGCAGCAAAAGAACAATGAGTAGGATTGGCAATAGCAGGCTATACTAATCTCATACGCCATAAACACAAAAAAGATATGGTGGATAATGAATATTTTAAAGGAAAGAATGATATAGGTTTGTCAATCCATCTCTCTTTAAAGGAGGCCAATAACCAGTTCAGTATCTTTTGGAACATCTAAGCAATAAAAGAATTCTCAAATATTACAATGTTAATGTCACATAGATAACCTTATAATTACCTTGTCCCTAAGCATAATACTACATCAGCCATTTTGCAGTGTTTCTCTGCTGGATTCATCTCCTTTGGGGGCAATGCATCCTGGAGAGAGAGAGAGAGAGAGAGAGAGATTATCAGCAATATGTGCCTTTAATGAAATGAAGATTCCAGGCATCAAAACCTTTGCTTCTCATCCTAGTAGCCAATAGTTAAAAAACTGGATAAGTGGTCATCATTATTTTAATGGGTCATTTATTGGACAATGGGGTCCACTAGATAGATCAATTCTTATGCCTTAGCTCCCTATCTAGGCATCACTAAACTAATGCAATGCTGCTTTCATGGAGCAATGTGTGCATGGGTGTGTACCAGGGGACATCTTTTTCCACACTTCCAATGTGTGTGGAAAATCTCCTTTAAGTTGGACCAGTATATCTCTGTTGGGGAACTAATTTTAGATTCATAACTTCAACAAAAACTGTACGCTGTCAAAATAACTCCATTCTGAACCATCAGAATGCATATGCATATATCCATGTGATGTACATGATATTACAAAATGCGAACATGAATAAAGTGATGAAAATTTTATAACATAATGCAAGGGTACAATTCTGGCAGGATTGTTGTTTTTGGTTTATTTCCGTGAGTTGGAAAAGGACTTTAATGATCAGAAAAATTAAATACCATTTCAGTATATTTCTGTTTCCACAATTTTGAAAAGAGAAATTATGACTGAAATTGAGAATATATAACATGCAACTGAGTGTGAATTTTATTTGATTCATTAGTGTTGCTTTTGAATTCAGAAGAACTGCAATGTGTGATCCCAGCTGCAATATTCAAATTGGACCATAAAGTTGTAAAAGTTGTTTTTTTGTTCAAAACTATCTACAAAATTCTATGTTTAGCAGAAAGAATATCTGATTACCCTACTGATAACTGTTGCAGCATGTTTAACTGGATAAAATTTTGCTCCAATCTGAAGCCTCTAGAGGCATCTTTGCAAAATCAGCCTTCCCCATGTATTGACCATGAATATGTCACAAAATTATCTACAAAATTTATTTTTTTTGTTCAAAACTATCTACAAAATTCTATGTTTAGCAGAAAGAATATCTGATTACCCTACTGATAACTGTTGCAGCATGTTTAACTGGATAAAATTTTGCTCCAATCTGAAGCCTCTAGAGGCATCTTTGCATAATCAGCCTTCCCCATGTATTGACCATGAATACATCACTTGTGTTTGTGACATTTCCAGTCAAGTACATTTTAGCTACAGAACACCCTCATTACATCATCGGACCATTTCTATTTATCCTACTGAGTTGAAAAAAAAAAAAAAAAATGTAGCATCTTATAAGGTAGCAGAAAAATAATTCTCACAGGCTAAACTTTCTTGAATGTATGTGAGACATTCCCCATGCCATCAGGAAACACAGAATCAGCACTTCTTCCAGGATCCCATGAATCAGGAATAATTTTCAGTTTTCCAAAAGCATTTGAGACTGGAATTCACTGTCTTAATGAAGAGCAGAAACTAGACATTGACACTAAAAGAAGATGACTCATTGTTAGTCCTTGCACTTCTACAATGGTCCTATACATGCAATAAACGAGACTCAATTTCATACACTTTTAATAAAATATCCATACATGAAATAAATTAGACTTATTTCAACCGCTATTACTATCAACATATATCTATTTGAAATGTCATGATCATCATTACTGAATACTCATTTCAGTTGTACACCCAAAGATCCCTTAACAAATCAAATGTAATTTGTATATCTATAGCCTCTACTATGATGCAATCAGTTAACACAAGTAATTGGTACCTCCCAGTCAAGAACCGTGTCCTTAAGTTTTGTGCCACAACCTACATTAGAGCAACGCCGTGATGTCTCCTTCAATCCAATAGTTTCTACCTCAAAATCCCGCAAATACCTTCACAATTTAAATTCATAAAATCAATTTCTAGAACCGGAAGAAAGAGCCTTCTCAAATAAATAACAGTATAATACACATACAAACAAGTGATTGCAGATTAAAGCCAAAATATTAATTTAAGTACAAGATAATTTTTTAAAATAAATAAATAAATAACAATAAAGGGATAACAATGCGAAGATGGTTCTGAAAAACTATATATATATATTGAAAAAAAAATATATCTGTTAGATAAAGTTTCAAGTCTTACTCAAGTCCACAAGAAGGGCATATTTCCATGAAGGAGTTACCATGCAATTCAGCAAGTTTGTCCCTCGGTATTCCAGATCGAAGATGTAGGCCATCAATATTCTAGCATTTAAAGGTAGTTGGTATTAAGCAACAAAATAAGAAAGCCAATCAGATATGATTGTATATAATAGTAATAACTCATTTGAGGGTTGCCAGGTCAATTAGCAAAGAAATCCAAATTTGGTAAGCAAAAGCATCGGAATTGTTCATGATAGCATGATTACAAAAGGAAATATAGATGTCATCCCAAAGGCCAAAACACCTTAACAAACTGTCTGGCACTTCCGAAAATTTCCAAATGTTCCTTAGTGCCCAAGAAGCTACCAGAGTCATTGATACTATAAAGTAACTCTTTGATTATACAAAAAATCAAAACCATACAAATCAACAAAAGGTCTCTTCCCTTTAGGTTCATTTCAGTATTAGCACAAAAACAATACCTTGTCTCCTCATATAAACTTTAGAAATTGAAATGCTCCCTGAATAAACTTGCTTTTAAAGAGTACAAATAGGAAAACAAGAGAAATGGATTCATTAACCATCTTCATGTAAAGTATTCCACTAGTAGATAATATATTGCAGATAGTTGGAGAACAGAATAGTACATCCTTACCTGGCTAATAACAAACTTTAGGATACCAGCCCTCTCTAGTTCAACCAAAGCCATATGAGTCATGCTTGGCATTGCACGATGAAATGGCAGTGATGCTTCAGGCAAGGCTTTGCCTTCCCTCTGCAAATCAATTAAGAGAAGGATCAAAAGAACCATCCAAGTAATAATCAATTAGCTTATTTGTAAAACAAGCCACACTAAGATGCCAGATGCCATATGAGGGCCTTTTCTTCATCATGATCACCCCTGCCCTTTCATACAATGGCCTTCTGAGTTGATAAACAATAAAATCTTGTTTGACACACCTACAACTCTTAATTGTCTTGTCAGTGTGAAGATGTGGGTTGGACAGCAATCTAAACAATTCCATCTATAAAATCTTTGAAGCCAAAATTTTACTGACTGTTGAACTTAGCTCTCCAACCAATTGCATTCAACGATTTCTTTAAAGCTGTTAACGAATGGACACCTATATATGACATTTTTCTGCAATTCAAACACCTTGTAAAGTGAGAGATGGTGGTGATTGCATCATGTCCACTGCATCCTACATTACAATGTATTTTACATTGCCACTTCAGACACAACACCAATATTATCCCTCATTTTATACACTTAAAAACAACTTAAAAGGTAGTGGTCCTAGTTCAGTTCAAGATCACTTTGTAGGTTCTTCAGATGCATTAAATTGCAAGCTTTGTTCCTTCTGCTATGCTTTTCTGAACAAGGAATCGCGTCCTCTTTGCTATGATTCATTCTCTATCAATAAAGCACTTATCAAACACAAACTTGAAATATACATTTGGGTGTGAATTATGAAATTACCATTATGCCCTTATATCTTAACATTATTTTAGTTGAGAAGTCAAAAAAATATAAAAGGACTAAAAAATCCATGTAAAAATATCATATTTTCTTGGTGTACCATTGGTGGGACTTGGGAAGGAATTCTGCCTCTGTGAGTTCCCAAAACCGTGTGTCGCTTACACGGAGAGCAGAACTCGGGCAGGGTAAGTGACGGTTTGATCTGAAATCTTCAGAATCATTTTAGGAGAAGGGGACAGTGAGCACGTGGGCCACAAATGTATCATATCTTGAATGATTTTGACAGAGGAAGACCACCTTCATATTTCACAAAACCATCAAAGTTCAATAGCAAGAAGAGTACCCACTACAACGATGGTGTTGCTCAACAGTGGTATCTTTGAAGAAGGTTCCAAGCAGAATTTCCAGAAGAGTAAAATTTGTACTTGTTGATTTTGAAGCCAAGAAGGGGAAATTGACTAGTATGAACTTTGTCGTTTCCTTGTAGCAAGAATAGCACACAGATCAAGATTCTCATGTCTCACAAGTAGATGGCAACCCCCACAAACCAAACCCAAGCAGAGGGGAATGCTGGTCTTTCTAATTTTTGAGTATGTGAATATTTTTTCAATAAACTCTCTTCATTAGAGGCATTTATGCACATGTAAGAGTATACTGTGAAAAGAAATATAAATATTTACTTAGAATTGAACACTGTCAAGGGGACAATCATGTCCACGAGTGTACTTATATCACATCATAAACTTTTGTATGTAGCGAGGGATGATCATGTGCATTGATTCCCCCATCTTACAAAAGTTATGCAAAACCACAGATATAATTTATATTAGTATAAAATAGAGAAGGGAGTTTTGTGCCCTCCTCATAGTATATCCTTGTCCTTTACCTTTTCTTTTTTTCTTTTTTTCTTTTTTTCTTTTTTTCTCTCACCGAGATGATAAAAAAGCTTAACACCTCTCCATCAGGTATACCTGTTACAATACCTCCAATCTCCTACCGCTGTCCCTTGCTTATATTAGTTGAGTCTCCAGGTTTTTGAAATTGCATAAAAAGCATGTGTACAGCCAGAGAGCATGAACTGTACAAGTTACTAATAACATAGTTTAAATCAAGTAACGAGCTCAGTGAACAACACGAGTATAATGCTAGCAAGAATGTTAGACCACAAAGAATAGAATCTCTGTCTGGCAATGCACAAATGTAATTCATATTTCAATGGCATGTTTCAGTCCTCTTCCCCTTCACAAGCCACCAATTGGTATTTAGGAAATAAGCAACCGCCAACTCTGAGCCAGCACTCACACTAATACAGAGGATGCAAGCAGGCCCCCAGTGGCAGGCTTGCACAATGGGCTATTAGGTAGCTCATTGATTGAGCGCTCTTGCGCCGAAGATCAAACTAAAGATTTAGCAATATAGAGAAGACAAGATTGTTTAAATTGACTTTGATTCTTGAAATACCTGAATCACTACACAAACATAATTATACAATAATACACATTTATATAATAAATGTCTTACCCTTGCCCTTTACCTTTCTTTTGTTTTTCAAAAATTTCGGGGAGGGGAAAGGGCATGTAGAAAGTAACCATCATGTCCTTCAAGTTTATTATATGAATGAATATTTTCTCCATTAATTCTTACTCCCCACAAGGGCATTTATATACATGTAAGAAACATGAATTTTATACAAATTGTAGTAAAAACATATAGATTCAAAGCAAAATACAGTGCCTTAAAATCTAACACTTAAAACCTGATAGGTGGCGTGTTACAAACCTCTTGTTCATTTTGACCACCATTATCATCTCCTTCTAATTAGGTCAGAGGCAATTTCAAGAAAGAATAACTTCCATATTACAACAACCACTGAATGATTTCTAATTACTTAATTCATAGGTTCCTAAATAAGTGAAAGCAAAAACTTTTCCATGTACAAGCAAGGTCTTTTGTTTTTCCCGGGTCAAATGATCTTTCATCTGTTCTAGAACCACACTCCTCTGCTTTATATTTTTTTTTTTCCATGACATATACGAAATTAAACCAACTTCTCCTAAATAAGAGGTGGACACAGATATTAAAAATTATTTTCATCAGATTTTTTTTTTGTTACTATTTATTGGATTCAATCAATAGACAAAGTATCAAATTATCAAAATTCAGAAAGCTCGGCTAATTCATTTTAGGGCATGTCATATGGTTGAGGTTGTGCTGTAGCAAAATGACTTATTTTCCCCAGTGAACAAGGCATTCTTTAGTCCCTATGGAAAATACTTTGCATAGTATTTACCTGAAGTGTCCAAATACCATTGGGACCTCGGAAGTCGGGTATACCACAAGAAGTAGATATTCCTGCTCCTGTAAACACCACTAGATGCTTACTCTGCAGATAAAACCAATAAAGGAGGAGGAATAAAATAAAAGGTTTATTGGTGCAGACTTAAACATTAAAATCTGTATACAATGGATGAGATGAGTGAGTTGTAGTTAGCTCAAACCTTCCGTATCATCATGGCAAGTCTTTCAATCTGCCAAAACAAACCAGTTGAGGTAAGCAAGATTTTCAGTTCGCCAAGTATGTTAAGCCACAAAGAACCAAAAATGCATAGTACTTGGAAAACTAAAGAATAGTAACATTAGCAGAAGTCCTGGTGTTAGTAGTTTGTCATTGAGTTAATAATGAATGGCACTATATTCATAAAGAATATCTCAATTTTTTGTGTGAATCAGCTGAGGGAAGTTCTTGATGAGTTGGTGGTCTCTTTCCTCTAAAGTAAGGAAATGGTTGGGTTTAGTTAAAAGGTACCATCCATTTCAACCTTACCAAAACATCATGGCATTAACCGTTGTCCCCAAACTTACTCTTTCAACACATGCTCATTTCCGCTGATTTTGTAAGGGGGCTCAACAAATTCTTCTTCTGGGGTGACTTGTCATGAATACTGTATGTTCGAGTCAAGGTTGGCTTAGGCTCTCCTTCGATCGAAGTGAACAATGGATGGGAAGGAAAGAGATTGTGACACTTCATCATTGCATTTTTATGCGTCTCCAGTATTAAATTTTGCTACCATTAGCCCAGCTTGTATAACCTCTCCTCCCTCAAAGGGGAGTTGAGGGGTTCGAGCCCCATAATTATTGTGTGTGAATGAGGGTGTGAGTATTTACCTTTAACAAAAAATAATAACAATTTTCTGATAGCTAGTTTTTAATTGTAGGACAAAGATCAAATTTCAAATTTATAATAAACTGTAGAGAATATGTAAAGTTATTAAAATGAAACATAAATACAAACAAAAAGCATCAAAATAAATTAACAGAATAAAAATATTAAAACAAACAAAATACATAGAATGAAGCTCAAGGAAAAATAAAGCAGTTGCACAAAAAATACAAGAAACCTCACCAAAGAGTTCTGAATTTTATCAAAGACTATCATTAGACTTCCCTAAAATGAAAAGCATCACAAAGACATTGTGCTTACAATTCCACAAGCCACGTCATCAAAGTTTTTCCTATGATTAGCATGGATAGCTCATAAGAAGTGACCAACATTTCTTAATATCAACAAACCCTTAAAACTGAAGCTTAGCAAAGGCAACCTGCAACAAGTTCCCTAAATGTGTAGGCATACGCAAGTAACACGTGAACCCCAAAAAGTCCAAAATCATAGATGAAGCTTACGAAAAAGGGGAGGAGAGCAAACAATAGCTGGCTAACAGTTGACTATGGAGGCAAGAATTTGGAACAACATATACAATTGTTAGGTTGAATACCACTGATTTTTAATTGTAACCACCTAAACCACAGAAAGAATACAAGTATAAATAAATTTAAAAAATTCTATATCACTAAGCGCTGTAAGATCCCCTTTCTCAACCGAGTATTCTTATCTAATAGCATCCAACTCCTTCCATCCTATCTCTGATAAGAAAATCCATAACTGGAGAGTTGATCATGAAGTCCTTCGAGAATTTTTTTCGGAAAGTGAAGTCCTTCGAGAATTTTTTTCCTTCGAGAATTGGATCTCCAGAACTTGCAATTTTTCCCCCTAAAAAGAAAAGTGACACTACACAGCTTCAAAAGTTTTTATCAAAAATCAGCCATACTTTTTTCTTTCATACATAATCAATTTTGCTAAAGGGATTTGTAATGTAATTTTTTTCTGACACCTAATACATAACATGCATCCATGGGGATCAAAATATTAATCGCAACACAATGTCGAGCAGAAGGTATGAGAATAATAATACATTAAAGCATTTAATTTCAATAAATTAAGGAGCTGCAAGTATCCCACAGATAACATACAAGTCTAGGGTTCTTGAATTGTGTGTGTGTGAATCCATAAAGATATTTTATTCATCCGAATCACATACTTGTTCCACTTTAAAGTAAGTTCATTGCATGTTCTTGCTTCACAATCGTAATATTCACCATCTAAATCAATAACCGACATTTGATATCGGCATGAATTGTACCGGTGATCAACATCAATACAATCAATTCGACTACATTATTATTTTCCTTTTAAAGTATTGAACTTCAAGCATACCGCTGTATCAGAACAAGTGAAATTAAGAACTAGAGAAAGAAAATGGCAAAACCCATCAGTCATATCTCATCAAAAAACTAAAAAAGATATATTAACCAACAAAACAGAGTTCCACAGTACACTATATAACACCAATAAATTGATAAAAGTCCCAGCACAAAACCTAACTATAATGGGTACTACAATTTCAAGAGATCATCAACACAGCCAACCCAAAAATGATAAGTATCAAGTACAACATAAAAGAAAGCATATTTAATAAAATGTCAAGAGAAAAAAAGGGACTGAGAAAAAAATTTACTTTTTCTTGCAAAACGCGAGGCGGGTCGAAAATCTCAGACATTCCAACCTTACCGACATCCTCTATGAACGAAAGCTTCTCTGCGTAACCCAGAGACATGGTGGGTTTCGCTCTGTGAATCCTCTCTTTCCCTCTTCTCAGATTCTCTCTCTCTATCTCTCTCTCGAGAAGTTGATCAATGTAAAGAGACTTGGGAAGTCTTTTTCTCTCTTTTGATGTATAGTTAATAAAGTACTTAAGACTCTTTTCTTATGAGACCCCAAAAGCCAAAAATAGTGATTCCCACACCATAAATTAGTTCATAACAGGAAAAATTTCTCATTGCCTGCCAAATTACATTAATGCCGATACCTTCCTCAACAACTATAATAATAATACAAGAGTTTGCAATAAAGGTCAATATGTAAATGCATTGAAAAAAATTTAAAATTTAACTGCATTGAAAAAATTTTAAAAATGAATTGTAAGTGTTATAAGAGTACTAAATTGCCCTTACCATAAGAATAAAAATAGGAAATATCTTAGAATAAGTAACCCAACTATGGGTATAATTGTCATTTAATCAAATCTATATGTCATTTTTTTTTTCCCCTAGTTGGTACTTACACACATATGCCTTCACTGAGACTAGAACCCCTGACATCTCTTTAAAAAGTAGGGGCTTAGTACCGCTAGGCCACTAGCCTGTTGGTTATATGTCATGTTCCTCACCTTTCGTTGTAGGGTCCAACTCTTCATATGAGCAAAGCGGTGTGTGAACATATGAATTTCTTGCCAAGCTAAAAAAAAAAAAAAAAAAAAAAAAAAAAAAAAAATGAATAGTAAATTCCACTTGCCTCCTTTAAGGTTTGTCCATATCACACACACATAAATCCCTTTACATTTTATAATTCCACTTACCACCCCTGTCAGCGATGGCCGTCTAACTTGGTATCTATAATGTGTTATTTTACTATTTTGCCCATATAATATTGTCATTTCAGGTATTAAAAGAGCAAAATTGACCTTTTATCAATTTTCTCTTGTTGACATCAGCAAAATTTGCCAGGTGCCTAATGATACGGGTTTGCACTCAAAATAATATTTTGACATGCCTCCTTGACGATCGGCAAGGAAACTAAACCCAAATAATGTATCGACCAATCACAGATCATCTTAGCCGAAGCACAGTGATTACATGCTTAACCCACAACACCCAATATAGAAGTCTAATCCAATTTGAAGAACCCAGGCAGTAATACTCGCACACCACCATTCATAGTGGATAGTTATGGTGAAAAAAGTGTTGAACCGACACTTACAACACATGCCCAGAACATTGTCATGTCCTCAACTACATTTGTGCCCCTATCATCCAGATTGGGCACAGTTTGAGTGCCGGTGGAAACACGACTTGGGTTAGCAAGTTACAGCTCACCATGCAGGATATTCATCCTGACCAAATGACCAAAGATTTGCACAAACTCTCAGGACTAGTCAAACAGTCCCTTTTCCTTAAATTACCTTCGTTCAGGCCGGAACTAATATTCGTGCATAAAGCCCAAAGTCGTTTTACATTGTCGGCTAAACGAAGATACACTAGACATGAGTTCTTAATGTCTTTGCCTCTTTAGCTCAAATACAAGACAAATGTCGATTCCCTACGAATGCAAAGCAAACCCAAATGGCTAAGTAACAAAGGACAGCCGCGTGGCTTCTTATGGACCAAGTATCGCTGCTCAGGCTCTCCCACCAGTTAGTCACAGATCAAGATCTATCGATAGATCAAAAACGCCTCTCATGGATTTGTTCCAAGCTATCATGTTTTGTTTATTTTATGTTTTTAAATTAATTGTATTTTAAATGCTTCCCTGAAGCTTTCAAGTCCATGGTTTTTCAACCCTTCACTTTCGTTAGGGGTGGTAAATTACGACGCGACACAACAATATAACACGAGTTAAAAAGGTTTGGGTTTGGTATAAACAGGTTTGGGTCATAAAAGGGTCGACACGAATAACCCGTTTACTTAATTGTGTCGAGTTAGGGTTGAAGGGTTCAACCCGTGTAACACGTTTATGACCCATTTAACTCAACATGTAATAATCGTGAATATGATTTATGTAATATGTTACCTGTTTAAACCCAATTACTATAGATAGTTAAGTCATTTCAACATAAACCTTGTCTATGGCTTATGATTTTCTTTTTTATTTTGAATATTTGGATTAATTATGACAATTTTTTTTCTATTATTTAGTATTTGATTAAATATCGTCTCATTTTGATAAATAGGTCATTAAACGGGTTAACACGTTTCCTTATTTAATAAATGGGTTGGGTTAATGTTAAGAATTTTTGACACGATTATTAAATAAGTTGGGTTTGGGTTTACCTATTTAGTATAATATCCTTACATCAACACGACACTAACACGACCCACGAACACGAATTGTCACCCTTAACTTTTGTTGCAACTTACTTTCTTGCACTTAATTACTTTCCGCATTTAAATTACAAGTCTTTTACAACACTCTTTAATTTCAAGTCATTTACTTTCAATGCATTGTCTTTAAGTTTCCAAGTACTAGTATTTAAATAAACTACCAGGACTCACCCTCCAACAATTCCAGGCTAACCAATAAATGGCCAAATAGTGGGAAGGTTGTCCGTTTACCGAAAAGGGTGAGCGCCTTCAAAGTCCGTGCCCGACATTTGGCCAGAAAGGCCGAATAGGAGCGGAGTAGTCGGCCAAGTAATGAACGACCTACTACTCAACGTGAGTCCGCTCCATAGCCGATTCTTCGGTTTGAGAATGGGTATTATTTGGGATTCTCATACGAACCCACATTCATGGCGAAACCATATCCATCTTCTGGTGGAAATGTAACTCGACTAAACTCATTGCCCAATACTCCACGTGAACCAGACCGACACTTTTACGGATATAATAAGTACGACGACGTCAGGCCAATCGCATGGCCACAAAAGTCGTATGTTTCGTTACTTCGGTCCGAGTTTATTGTTTGGCCAAATATATGGCTGGCGGGAAGGTGTTCACAACAACTCTCTCAAACCCAACTGTCCGAACATAACCAACCACATGGCATGATCAGTATCCGGTAGAAACGCCGGGGAAGCATTTCAAACCAATGAGGGGGGACCATTCTTGTCCTCTCGCAATCACCTGCGCGAAATCCTTTGGGTGCACTAAGGCCGACGCCCACCATGACGCGGGCTGAACCAAGAGTGCTTGATGTTTACGAACTCAGCACCCCGAGTCCGAGTGAATCACAAGGACTTTGGCACACCCACACAGTAACAGCCCCAGGGCCGCTGAATGCCGAAATACCTCAAACAACAGGAGATTATATTATATAAACCAAAACCTCATAAGAGGTAAGTGTGATTATGAAATGTAGAGGGGATCTATGTGGGAAATTGACAAATTTCAGAGGTCAATGATCCAAAAAAATTATAAATTGTCAATTTGATGCTAAGAAAAAATATTCATCAAATGTTGATTTATTATTTTATTTTTTTGGCATTTTACCCATAATCACATTTCCGTAGCTTTGCCTTCAGTTTTATCACCCCATGTTACAAATAGATCTCATGTTAAACAATATAAGTATAACATTTCAAGAGTTGTGGCAAGCAGCAACACGCCCCCCCCCCCCCCCCCCCTGCGGGGGCGCGCAGGGACCTGGCCCCGCCCTATATATGTGGTTTTTATTATATTCTTTACATATCTATATATAAATTTGTATATTATGGCCGCCCTAAAATTATTAGTTTCCGAAATTCTTTTAAACTTATTATATTTTTTCTCTTTTACTCTTTAAATTTCTTTAATTACCTTTTTAAAAAGATTAAATTTTTCTTATTTAAGAATGCTCTAATTTATTTACATCAAAATTCATTTTTCATTACTCTTATTCTTATTTATTTATTTATTTTAAAAAAAAATTCCCACCATGCCCCCCCTGAATTCAAAACGTGGCTCCGCTCCTAGGGGCAAAGAGAATCACAATAAAAAATATATATATATATTTGTCTTGTACTCATTTCACTTAATGAACTTAGAAATAAGAGTCACATGAACTTCAAACTCACACTCAAAACTCAAACTCTAGAGATGCCTGGTGAAATAGATATTATGATAAGAGCTGTCATGACCTAGAAAAGTTAGGTTTAGATAGTTTTGTAAAACTTTCCATACCATCTCCATGTATTAAGAGAAGGAGGGTTTATATGACTATCTCCATGTATTAAGACAAGTAAAAGTCTAATTGTGTTTACAAATATTGACTCAAACAAAACATTTCCATGCATCAAAACTAGTTATCAAAGAGCAACAACGGTCCCTGCATGAGGGGATGTTGGTCGAGAACAGACAAACCTCACATGTCATTCAAATTTCTTTGTTAATTTGTCACTGTTTCACCAAACATTCTATCTGGGCACTTAGTTTTTTATCATGTAAAGAGTGGTTACTAAGGTTGCATTGGAAAAAAAAGGCAAGAAAAGTGTGAACAACAAGACATAATAATGAAGACAAATGAAAATATTATGATTAGCTTGGACTTTGGACTTTCACAGAATCCAAATTATGCCTGTAATTATGGTGATTCCAATTTGAAAATAGCCAAGAAATGTCAATATTTCATGCTTCCAAATTTGAAACAAAATTGCGATTAGTCACACCATAATGTTGAAGGACGAACAGCCATTGTGTAAAATTTCAATAATGGCGGCATATTTAGGTTCTTTTGTATCCAAATATTTCCAAATAATTTGATGATGATCGGGTGACATTGTTTTTTGTAAATATGAATTGACAAATCAAAAAACTTTTGTGAAATTGTGGAAAACGCAAAAGATATAAGATCTAATTGAGCCATTAATTTCTGTTGACAATTTTTAAAAACAAGGTGATCTTGGTTATAAATGAAATTTTTTAAGAAAAAACATGTTGTGTTTGGAGAAGTATGAAGGAAAGAAAATAGTGAAATGGACACCTGACCTCCAATCAAGGGATTATTATTATTATTATTATTATTTGACAATGATAGTGTCAAGAGCATTTCATAACTCACCGCCGAACATATACAGTCCTCCCGTTCCACACGTACCAGGCAATTACAAGAAATTTTTTTCTAAATATAAAGTGAGAGTCTTTGCATTAAGCTAATCCCTTGAAGTTATGGAAATTTTATTGTTAATCCCGTCATAACTTATATCGGAAAGACAGAGAATAGAAAGAAAGAAAAAAAAATTGAAATTAATATTGTTACACCAAGTGAATACATATGATAACAAATAATAATAACAACAATTCACTTGCTATAAAACAAAAATATATGAATGAGATTGTGTAATTAGTAATTTCCTAATTATTTTCATCTAATTTCAAAAGGAGTCGTTAAGTAATGTCCGAAAACAATATAATTGGACAATTAAGAATCTGGTCCTTTTCCCTCAATTTTCTTTTAATAGTCTCTTATTATTTCATTTCTCTGTCTGTGTCCTTTCAATTTTCCAAATAGATACAGGCCACATTAATGCAATTTGTTGGGGATGGACCAAGCTCAATTGGAAAATAGGTGCTATGGATATAAATGCAGTGGATTGACATTTGACAATGACGCTCACTGTTTCAAAATTAAATTGCCAATTTTTGCAATTTATTTTGTTGGGCTGCAATTGGGCAGACGATCATGAGTCCGGCCCAAAGTTTGATAGGTTGGGCCAGAAAATACGAATCCAGTCTAAATTCGGACTGGACTTAGGTAGAAATTATATGTGCCAACATTTTTTTTTTATCCCTAAATTTGCCTACACTTATGTGTGAATAATTGATTTCTGGTCCAGTACAATGAGAAAGGTGTTGTTTAATAAAATTGAAAATTAATTACTAAAAGTTCTGAGAGCTGGATTTTAAGTGCATAAGCAGAAATTATAAATTGTGATTTCTTTTCTTTTCTTTTTATATTTTTTTATTTTATTTTTAAGCGGCACTTTTTTTTTTTTAAGTAATATTATAAAAAACAAATTTACCAAAAAAAGAAGAAACGAAAAAACAAATTTAAAGGAAAGAAAAATTAACAAACTTTGAAGGGAATGGAAAGGTTTGATTGAAGAAAGGGTTTCTAGCTGTTTTGGTTTTTTTTATTTTTTCATTTTTTAAGGGAATCAAAGAAATTTAAAGAGAAAAGGAGAAAAAGAAAACAAAAGAGGGATATATTTTTAGCAATTAAAAATTATGAGGTGGATATAATATCGAATTTTTATCAAAAACCATATACACATGTATCATGATTACATGGATACATGTATATATGAATTAAATATTTATTTGTGGCTGAAGAATTGTATAATTACATTTATCATGAATTTATCGCCGCATCTCTCTGCGCTACAAATCAAATCGAAAGGCACAAGAAATAATGAAGTGTACAATTGAACTGGTTACAGGACATTATTAGTTTATTATAATGGTCAAAGCCTAAAGAGAAAGAAAATAAGAGGGATACAATATATATATTACTATACAGTGTGTGTATAAAGTAAAATCAAGTATAAGTCATACCACTACGCAATAATTGGGTCCATGATCATGATGATATTTTGATACACTTCTATAAAACCATCATATCTCCATATTTTGTGAAAATATATAAGTATTTATTATTTGATAGGGTCAAAGTCTCCTAATTTAAAAAAAATAAAAATATAAAAATACATTGTTTACTCTGATAGAAAAGTGATAACTCTGTATCCAAAACAAAAAATGATACCTGATACATGTTTATCTAAAAGTGACATATGCGTACCAAAAAGTGATCTCTCTATTAGAGTAAGTAGTATTTTTTTATATTCACGTCAACATTTTAATCAACTTCATTTTTTTGAAATTATAATGAGACTTTGCTTATATCAAATAATAAATATGAGATATTAGCACTTTAATTATCCAAAATATATAGCTTCTTTATTTTTATTTTTAAATTTTTTTTTTTAGCAGTTTGTGAAAATAGTTGATCTTGTTGCATGAGTGAGTCGTTTTCACACTCAAAAGGGTCAGTTGTCCCCTCAAGCATTTTGATTATTGACCATGACTTGAAACTTGACATCATAACAACCCTTAGCGGGGTGAAACGGGTCAGAGAGATGACCATGACCAAAAGCGTTATTCGAAGGGCAATTCCAATTATCAGCTGACTCGTACAACCAAAGCAACGAAAAAACACAAAATAACGTTCCAAATAAGATAAGAGATGATATTTAGTTATTTTCTGTATTTAATAAAATCTGGGTCGGATCGGATTATTATGCTGGATTTTCGTTTGGCAACTTCGGGTCAGCCCTAATTACTGATGGAAAGTGGAACCAATAATAGAGGGTCCTCTTAGGTCATTTCACTATGGTTCAAATTGTGGCTGCGTTTCCCTCTTATGTCTTCGCTTTAGCATTCGTTATTCGTTGCGAGTGGGACCTCACTCTCATGCTTCGATGTGTTCAATTGAAGCCCGCGTGTTAAAGATGTGTGGGACCCATATGACGTATTTGAAAGGGCGTCAGCTGATTAAATCAATAAATGAAGGTATAATATGTGGATTACGATTGGTTTGAGAAATCATTATATGAACCGGACCCGCTGTTCACATTCAACCAGGCACCGACTCGGTTCAGGCTCAGTGGGTAGATGCCCTGAATTTTTTTTAAAATTATATTATTACTTACAATTTTAGTTAAAATTTAAAAAATACTCTAATTTAATTTTTAAAAATGCCCCTTTGCATTTTTAACCTGCTTATTTCTCAACTGGATTTTTTTATTTTATATAGTTACCTAAATTTTTAGTTCAAATTTCAAAAATACCCCTACTTTAAAAAAAATTTAAAAATATTTGTCTACAATTTTATTTTATTTTTATTCTTCGGCGCCCACCTCAAAAACATTCCTAGGTCCATCACTGCAAGCAATCATATATATATATATAATTATGTCTTGATTTTATAATTTTTGTGATTTATGTGATTGATCGGAATTATATAATCTCAAATCATATAATAATTTCACGAATCCTGTATAACATTATAGTAGGGTCCACAAATGTGTGAAGTTAGATGAGAAATTTTTAGGTGATCAAGACCATATGGTCTCAACTAATTACATTTAGCCAATGTAATCAAATACACTTCCGAGCTGCATGATCCAGATGCAAACCCAATAACCTACAATTTTACAGGTTGAACTCTTAAATGTAGTACAACACTTAATACAGTATTACAGTGTTGTATTACCCCTTATCCATTCACAAAAGTCATTGATTAGACTTGTTTGCCTCTTATAGCTGCGACACTAATATAATGGGATACAACTAATACAAGTGACGTGTCATATAATGGTATACAACTAAAACAAGTGACATGACCGGTGACATTTACCTTCACCCAAAGTTGTGACTCTTTTGTTGTAATCAACCAACCATTCCTTTGTCCACACTTATGTTTGGGACAAATTTTGGGACAAATTTGTAAACCTAGTAAACAAATTTTGTTTGAATAATTTGTAACTTAGTTCATTAGACTTGTGAATAATTTAATGAACATATATATTTCTGAAAATAAGTTTACTTTTTTTTTCTTTGCCTTATCCTAACACAATCCAAACACTGCTTCATGTTTGGTTAGTATTTGGATCCGAATCAACAGGCCTTATGAATCAGGATGCGGGTCTGTTGTGTAATTTTCATCCCATTAATTGGACTTGTGGATTGTTTTCTTTTGCCGTCATTTGCAACTTGGGCGGCTTAGGACGTGGGACCCACATGAGCGCTCTCATTGGGTGGTCAATCGAATGGAAGTACGTCATAACGCACTCGGCGAAGAGTAGTTTATCCGCACACTTTAAAATCTATATATTAATCAATTTCGGTTCACTGATTAGCGGGGCCGTAGTGTACGTTAGTGTCTCTGTCGCGCCCAAATCACCAACGAAAATGATAAATTTGTAACCTAGAATTCAATTCTCGCTCTGTTTTGAATCTCTCTCTGCGAATCAAAGAGCTTCGTTTGGTACTCAATTCAACCATTTCAGACAGGTATTCATGTATTGTTTTTCGCTTTCGCTTAACTTCCAGTACCGGCAACGAATTACTAGTTTCAAATTTTCAATTGGTTGTGTTCGTTTTGATGGAAAATGTTTCTGGTTTTTCTCGAGAAACATTCAATTTTATGTGCTAGAGATATGTGTTTTCAGTAAACTTGTTGAAGAGCGCCTTTAAGACGCCTTTTTGTTTTCAGTAAGCTTGTTCTAGGAGATATTTTCGTCCGAAACAAAAATTCCAAGTGACTTACGAAATATCAAATTTGATTTAGATCTTTGATTTGGTAATGTTGAACAAAAATTCGAAGTGACTTACGAAATATCAAATTTGATTTAGATCTTTGATTTGGTAATGTTGATTCTAGTTGCGTTAGCTCTCTACTTTCTCGTCTTCCGTTAACTCGATTAATGCATAAGGTTTTGACTCGACCTGTTATTTTGATTAAGTCGGTTTCATGCTCTAGTGTTCAATTCTTTGCAAAAGTCTCACGAACCGGCCCAACTCGTGTAGATATTGTCAAATTTGCACACTCTCGGTGCTCACGGTCCCCATTTCTGGTTGGGAATTGGCTCTGATACCATTTGTCACGACAGCCCTTAACCATGTAGACGCCTTTTGAGCAAAACCGTGAACACATAGAGGGGAGAGTGCAAAAAGGACAATATCTACACATGTTGGGACTGGGAGTGACAAAAAGTGTGTATACACTAGAAACTTTTTAATATCAGCTCTGTTTTATGTCAAGACCTCAGACATATGAGGTTGTCACAGTTATCATAATTTTTGTTTTTATCTTTATCCTTATGTTTATGTATATTTTTGTGGTTCAAACTTCAAAACACTATTCTGAAAAAAAATTGTATCAGCGGAGATGAGAGCAGTTACTAGGGCCCGTTTGGCATGTACTTTGTTTTAGGCGTTTTGTTTTTGGCTAAAACAAAAACGGTGTTTTTGCTGTAGGATTGTTTTGGAAAAAAATCGGAAGCACCTTTGGAACGATGTTTTGTTGTGAAATGTTTGGGCCCGTGTTTTGGGCCATGAACAGTTGTCAAAATAAGAAAAAACAAGTTTTTGGTGTTTTGGTTTTGAGCCATTGTTCACGAAGTGTTTTAGCACTGTGTAAAATAAAATAAGGCCGCACCAAACATGCTTTTGTTGCTAAAATCGACATTGTGGCAGCCCAAAAACAAAAAACAACAAAAACAAAACGCATGCCAAACAGGGCCTTAGACAATTTAAAGCTAGAAACCTCAATTAGATTATTCTGTCTTATGTGTATCTTGAATTTGTTGAATTGATTTTGGATTGGTTGAAGTTGAAGTTTCAGACCACAAATGTTCTTTGTGATATTAATTAGTGGTTATGCTTTTCTTGTCCATTCCTCCCTTTTGACTAAATTCATAATGGGGTCAATATTAGGTTTAATGGACCACATTGTTGCTGAAAATGGAAGTCACCAAGTTGAACTACTTTCTGCAATTAATGATTACCATGGAGGTGTCATAGTGGAAATGAAGGAGCCTATGGATTCCAATGTCTTCCTCGTTCTGCTTAGAGCATCATTATCACAGTGGAAGCGACAGGTTTTATTCTAATGATCTCCAGAATGAATCTATGTTTGCTGTGATACTTGACCATTTGTAATGACTCAATATGAATTGAAGTTAGATCACTTCTTAGACTTTGGTTTAATTAAAAATTATAGGTTTGAAAAAGGAAAAAAAAAAACATATCTTGCAGGGGTTGTTTCTTGCAACTTGCAATAAGGAGCATATTGATGATATGAAAGTACAGAAGTAAAAGTATCGGATCTTTCAATAAAAGCAACTCATACATGAACAAATTTATAATTGCATAGCAGTACTAGTTGTCATCATAGAAACCAAGATTTTTTCTTGTTCGAACTAGCTGCTCAGATGTCAAAGTGAAGCCAGAAATAATGCAGAGGGACAGCTGCTCTGCTAATTATTTTAATGTGATTGATCAGAACCCAAGTGGCACAGACATGAATATGATACAACACAGATGCATCAATATCAGTATTACAAATCCTAAAAAGGTAGGATATGGACATGGAGTTGACACACACTATATCCATACTTCTTCTTCTTTTTCTTTATGTAAATCTATTTTATAAGAAAATAGCATAACTTTAATTCATTTTTTAGTTTATATGGAAGTTAAAAAATATCATAAAAATATATGTTATTTTTACTACTGCTAGTGTGCACTCCTAGTATATTTTTGTCACTATAAATTGTGTTCTTGTCCAAAAGAAGTAAATGTGCATTGCATAGTTGACTTGGTGGCCATATGTACAACATCAAAGTTTCTTAGAGAAAGAAGAAACGTAAGGCTGCACCTATATCAATTTAGAAGTGAAAAATTGGACTTTGTGGTCTTATTGAAACTTGACGAGAGTCACGAGACTCGTCAGCTACTAAAAGGAAAATTAGGATTTGTCTAACATTATTTCATTAGAGGTGGCAAATGTGTCTTAATAGCATTCATATCTAGTTCAAATTGTTCAAAAATTTAATATTATCTGGATGCATGTCAATTGCAAAAGTAGATTTCTGTAACTGGAGTTGAGTCATGGGATCAAGTAGTCAGGCTATGTTACATTGCGAATTTTCTTCTAGCTCCTTTTTTCTTCTTTTTTGACTAAATGTCATGGTTTGTCTTGAAGAGTCATGTATCAAGTTTTAGTGTCCTATACAAATTCACTCCTACTTTTATCTATTTTATGCTAGAGGGGTGCATTTGTTATGTACATTAGGAAATGATTACATGATATGAGAGGAATAATAGTGTTGTGTGGCTGTCCCAAATTTGAGGCTAGTTGCCACAAACCTTTTGCGAAACCATCTGTAAAGGGATCCTTAGATTTTGGTTTGTGACCAACCTTTTTCCTCGCCTTTTTGCTTACTTATGAGTACAGATTTTTTATTTTTTATTTTTTTGCGTGTGTGTGAAGAAAATGGTGCCAAAATGAACAAGTTGGCCAATATAAGATGGAATCTCTAAATATATTTCATTAGTTATGCTTATACAGTTGTCTTTAGCTCCAATTTCACTACCTGATGCAAATTGCAAATTATATTTTTGTTTCTTCTTTTTCTGTTTTTGGTAATGGCATAGATGGAAGTGCTGACCCTTGAGTAACATGCCACGCTTTTCAACTCTGAACCACACCCCTGCCAACCCCTCCAATCGAGATCATCTTTTATGCTATGACTAAGATGGCAAGACAAAACTTAGACATATTAGAGGGAATCTCCTGAGTGAGGCATGCCATAAATTTGCAATGCTGTTTTTATCAAATAATTGGCATTAAAATAGGATACAGCTAAGTCCTAATATGATCCGATTTATTCATGATTAGATATTCTATATCCGTTTTTCAACATAGATCAGAATCGCCCTTCATGACTCTTAAATTACTATGACCTACTTCATTTCCCATTTCTGACACATGATAGATGGGTGTTACATGAATTCAATGCATTGGTGTGAATTCTATTAGTATTTACTATTTTGACAAATGCAATTTGCAGGGCAAGAGGGGTGTTTGGATTAAGTTGCCCATTGAACTTGCAAATCTAGTTGAAACAGCAGTAAAGGTAATTGCTAATTACTTGTAGTTGTATGGAATCGAGTGGTAACTTATGACTATTAGGGTCATCGTAAAACCTCATTACCCCATAAATTGTTTTGATAACCCAAGAAAATTTGGCTTACTACATTAGATATGATATGTAATGAAATATAATTTGGAAGGATAACTATTTTTATTAGTACTTTTATTCCATACTCTTTCTACTGAGATTTGATGTTATGTTATCTAAAGATCCTCACATTTTGCGGGACGCAACTCTACCACCCTAACCAAGCCATATAATCCTATAAATGGTGGAAACAATAATGTTGATCTGGGTAAACTATTAATAAACAATCTCATCACACTCATAACTTAAGAAATTAATTTTGGCTACAGAATTAAGTATATGGGAACTACTGGGAAATTATCTTGACCAGACTTCACATATGGTGAATATCTTCTATATCATATTTTATTCATTAATTTGATGGATCCTTTACTTTTCCTATTGACTTTTGTTTGATAATCTGTATGTTGGTAACAGGAGGGATTCTGGTACCACCATGCCGAGCCTCAATACCTTATGCTTGTTTACTGGATTCCTGCAACTGCTAATACTATCCCTGCAAATGCTACACATCGAGTAGCTGTTGGTGCTATTGTCATGAATGATAAAAGAGAGGTATTCCCCAGGTTTTATTATTTTTTATTAATGCTTGAGATTTTATTAATAATATCCCTGCAAATGCTAAATTTTTCGTACTCAAGGTGCACCAGTGTAGAAGGGCCTGTTCCCATCCATAATGCTTGAGATTTCCACTAACTTATGATAGTTATTTGTTATTCTGATTTTGCACCATGTAGATTAGTCTTTTCTTTATAATGGTTTGAATTTAGTGAAGCATGGTTTGGTTGAGTTCCCTTGTTCATATTTTCATCCTGAAATGTATTACTTTGGTAATTTTGGCACAAATATACAAAATTTTATCTATTTGTTTTGGATTTATTGCCCTTATTACATTGTGGTTCTGGTTCTGGGAATTTCTTGGTTGGTAGATGCTCGTAGTCCAGGAAAAAAGTGGCAGACTCCGAGGAAGAGGTGTATGGAAGATCCCTACGGGAGTTGTGGATGAGGTATGCACCTAAATAGACGAAATTATTGTGGTTGGAGACTAAATTGTTTATTTCCTTTTACCATGTATTGATTTTTTTAACCACAGGGTGAAGACATCTCTGCAGCAATAGAAAGAGAAGTAAAAGAAGAAACGGGTGTAAGTGCTTAGGAGAAGTTTTTCATATTTTCTACTTTTACATGCCTGTGTTGACCATCATCTAAAGATTGTTGGGTTTCTATTATTTCAGATTGACGCAAAATTTGTGGAAATACTAGGATTCAGGTGTGTATCTCAAAAACTTTCCCCCTCAAAACCAAGTTCTGATAATGACCATGAAATCTGGAGGTGTCCTTCAAAGTTGGCTGAAATATACCCTAATGTAATTCAATTGGTTAAAATTTAAATGTCAATCCAAAAATTAGGATGAAAAATAGACATTTAAAGAAAATCATTACTGTTGCTATGTTTTTATTAAATTTATTAGTTTGTAAAGTTTGCTGAAAGCTATTGAAAATTTGACCTAAATAGTAAAAAATTCAGAAATTCCATTTTTTATCCATAAATCTGGCAATTGAGGCAAATTGTTAATTTGGTGAAATAAGTTTTACCTGTTAAAGTGAAAACTAGATCCATGGTTCAGATGCCCTTCTGTTCACTTAGCATCTTTACTACTTTAATTTACAGGCAATCCCATAAGGCATTCTTTGAGAAGTCCGACTTATCCTTCCTGTGCATATTGCATCCATCATCCTTCGACATCCAGAAGCAAGAATTAGAGATCGAGGCAGCCCAGGTAACAATTATTGACAATGGTGTGTTAAGGGATTTACTATTGGTCTTAAGAAATCATAATGATTACATAACTTGTTTCACAGATATAGGTAGACGTCAAGATGAAGTCACATCTACGAAATGACACATGTTTCTTGCTCTCTCATGTCTAACACTTACCATTCCTTGTAGTTCGAGTTTTATTCTCTGCTTCATTACCAGCTCATCCTGAAGTATATATATAGATGCATTTCTATAGTGTAATAGACAATACTTGTTAGGTTCTTAATATATTCTGACTTTAAATAGCCAGTAAGACAACTACACAAGAGAACAACAGTTTCAAAATGCTTTACAATTGAAGCATGAGATGTTTTCCTTATCCATAAACATCCCACTAGAAGATGTCCTTGCGCAGAGTCAGATAGGTCCTAGATGGCACATAAATGTCTGCCTCTCTTGGCTGCTTAGGTTTGCTGATGAATTTTCCTTGCAATGCAACTGATAGTCATAATAAATGATATAGAATGAGCCATTTACATTGGTGTAGTACTAAATAATCTGAATTGAGTTAGCTGCTCTGCCAATTTTATGGTCTCATAACATGGGTGGCAGAGAGTGGTAGCGCTGCTTGTAGCTTTTCTGTGATTTACATACATATACTCCTAAACAGTAAAACAATATGTGCAATAATTGGTTATAGTCTTCTGAATAATTGCCACTTTTCTTCACAGTGGATGCCAGTTGAAGAATATGCAGCTCAACCTTTTGCTCAGAAACACGATCTTTTCAAGTATACTTCAAAATTATGCTTAGCGAAGGTAGATAGGATATATAATGGATTTTCTCCGGTGCCAATAACATCGTTTTTTGGTGATCGGTTAAGTTACCTCTATTTGAACAACCATGACCTGAACCAGTAAAATTCCACTATTCATCCTAGACAATTGGGGTTAATTATTTTATCAATCATTTTCTTTGTAACAATAAATCAATCGATTTGTTGGTGTCTAATTATTCCTCATCACTCTAGGTTAATAATGAATTGATAATATGATTTATAGTTATTAATGTATTGTTTGTTATTGTCACTGGCCTGACATGGAATATAAGTCGGTATTTTGCTTACAATGAGGAAATCTATTGGTAGAGAATTACTAGTCATATTGTGGTTTGTGCTAACTGAAGTTCTACTTGTTGAAAAATGGCTTCTGTTAAAAAGGGGTGGTGCTTGTAATACAATTTACTTGCATGTTGTGGGCATTCAGAAAATAAATATGACATTCCAAAGATGATGTATTTTGTAAAATATTTTAATATATTTTTTATTTATTAAAATTTATATATGTATGTGTCAGTTTGTATCTGTGCATGGATACGTGCAAAAGTCAAGCTTTTACGCTACTTGTACATAACTCTGACAGATGGTTTACCATGTGGCACTCAATCCGTAATGCACAAGGAAACAGATGAAAGTTCCAAACTACCTATATAATCTGAATGGGAAGTGTAGAATTTTCTGCAATCTCATGTGTATGTAGTATATCATAGTTCATCTTCCCTCAGATACAGCATTATCATCCTAGTTCTCTCTGTTTCTTCTTCTTCGGAACCCGGTTTTCTGCTAGCAAGGAAGAAACTATGTTTCCAACGAAATTCGTGTTCTCTGTGGCACTTTGGCTGTCAGTATTCAGCTTCTGTTATGTAGAGTCCCAGGAGGTTGCTGGAGATGTCATGCCTTCACCTACAGTTTGTCTGAACTGCACAATTTGTCAGTATCCGTGCCACCCTCTCCCTCCACCAGCACCGCCATCGTCCCCTTCTGGCTTTCCTTTGTATGAAGTACCACCACCGCCGCCACCCTCATCCCCACCGCCACCTGCACAGGCTAGTCAAGGAAATTGCCCACCGATTCCGGTTCAATGCTGCAATTACCCTCCTCATCCTCCTTACGGTTATGTGCCTCCTTACGTTGATTCTGCCGCATCTCCTATGCACCTCTCTTACCTCTCTGCTAAGGTTTTTGCTGTTATAGTTTGCTGCTTTGTCCTAGGTGTGCAGTGTCAAAATGTTTAGTTTTAATAAGGAGCCAGTGAAGTTTTCAGTATTGCTTAATTTACTGTTGTTTGTTTTGTTTAATGAGTTCTGCTTATGTGCTTTATCTGATCATCCTATTCTACTTGCTGCCACTGAGAATTTATTGATCATGTACTTCAATAATTGTGTGTGTGTGTGTGTGTGTGTGAGAGAGAGAGAGAGAGAGAGAGAGAGAGAGAGAGAGTTAGCTGTCATGATAATAGTTCATCTTTCCTTGCTCACAGAGAGACAGAGAAAGGGTTTGGCAGCTTTTTGCGTTTGTTTGGTAGAAAAAATGAATGAGGAGGAAAGGAAGGGATGGAGCAAGTTTTATTGTGTTTGGGTAGAAGGGAAAAAAGTTAAAGAGGAAAGATGGGAGAAGGATGAGGGACCATTTTACTTTCATCGAAAGTGAGAGGAAGAGAAGAGAGGGAATAGAATTTTGTTAAATAAAATTGAAATGACAAAATTAATTTGTATATTTCAGGTCTTCTATTTTCTTCTTTTATACCCAACCAAAAAAAATTGAGGGTTTTTCTTCTTTTCTTTCCATCCATTTTTCTATCCCTCCAAACAGAAAACAAGTGCAAGAACTTCAGTTTTTACATAAACGATGGTGTATTGTATTGTTTCAACATGCTTCCAAACTGGGTCGTCTTTTTCTACAAAAGAACAAAAGCAACTCACCTTTACGAAACCCTATCCTTTTGTAATATCATTTTGCTCTTTATGGTAGTGAAATCTTGAGAATTATGTTGGAGAAATTTACAAATTTTATTGAGCACACACTTAAAAATATAAAATTTTAATGCAAAATAAAATGCAAACACATCGAATGGTAAAAATGGTGACCATTGTGATCCAGGGTCTTGAAATTAGAGTGCTGAGGCGGTGAAGCCAAATATGTAGTGGTGCATTGAAGCCTGAGAAAGGGCATTCATAAATCTAACCCTACACAGTAGTAGTTGCTAACTTTCCGGCACTTAACTGATAAGATCCATTTATGGCCACATGTTTCTTCTTAGGTCCTCATCGCAACATAAAAACATACATGTTTTTGTTTTATGCGTAGGACACTATTTAGGTTTTTATTTATGCTCAACCGCCTTTTGCAGGTAATATGCCATGGTTGTTTGGTTGAGAAATCACAAGTGCCTGCTCAATATCTAGGTTTTAGTCCAATAAATTCCGCTTTATTTGTGGGGAAAAAAAAATATAAAACCTTTAATTTATTTTTTGGCAAATTGAATAAAACGCTCCTTCAACTTTCCATTTATGACAAGAAACCACTCTGCAGAAAAAATTTGACATAGAACATCTTTTAATTATTCAATTTGTTGCAAAGTGATGTTATTATGACAAAAGTGCTCTTAATATAAATTTAAGAAAATGATTTCTCTTAATATAAAATTAAAATTAAAGGACATTCGTGTTATTATAAAGTCACTTTGCAATAAATTAGATACTTAGGGGAGCGTTATGTTAATTTTTTTCCTTCAGGAGGTTTTTTGCCAAAATTTAAAAGTAAAAAGGGATTTTATGATTCTGGCAAAAGTTTTACCATGACACCAACCCTCTTGAGATGCTACTTGAGAGGTCGGCTAGAGCCAATAGTCACATTCTGGGGTGGGGCTCATTTTGTCCCATAAGGAATTTGATATTTGATATTTTATTGACGGCCTTGATTCTCACAATACATAAAAATATTTAGACTTAAATGATACATGTGGTTAGTAGGTAATTGCATATATCGGATAAATCTTACCGGTGACTTGATTTTTTGTTGCCAAAAAGAAAAATAATAATAAGACACATAAATTTTGGTATAGGTGTTTTTTTATTCTAGGGGTTTTATTTTGCACAATTTTTTTTTCAGATAAGAAATTCATACACCCATTTATCCATATAAAAACGAGATAGAAAAAATAACATTAAATTACAATTTTTGATAGTCTTTGCACTAACTATTTAGTGGCAGTTATGGCTTACTGTTGTTATTCGACCCAAATTTAGATTCTTGGACTTTAGTTTAGAAAGCTTAATTAGCTTTAACTGAAAATTCAATGTTCAAAGGCATTTTGGCCATGTGAATCACATATGAATTTGTATACTTGATAGTCTTTTTTTGGGGTGAGCAGAGTAGTCAAAGACTGAACCAAACTAAATGAGTCTTCTAAAATGGACACACTAACCAAAAATTAAATAATTTTGATCAAATGAGAACTAGATTTTAAGAAAAAACCCAAATATATCATGATAACAACAATATGTCAATTCCTGGAGTTTGAACCTTGAATTCTCAATCTTCATCTGCATACTTCACTAGATACTACTGCACTTGTCATCTTTCCAATTTCCCCACTAATGGCATTAGTCTAAGCAGAACTCTCTCTCTCTCTGTCTACATATATATACATATATATATGAATGTATATATGTTTCATATATAGATCAATACTATTCTGTATTCTCTCACCCATTTGATTCCATTCCAATTAAAAACCTTTGATGTAGGCCAATCCCAATTCCTACACCACTTGACCTAAAGTCATTACTGTTTAGTGGTTGTGCAAAAATATGAAGCAACTTTAATAATTGTCTCTTTTTGGTGCTGAGACTTGATTGTCTTTTCAAGTAATTAATGTCTAGACTTGAATACTTTCCCCAAAAAAAAAAAATTAAACTAAATAAATGCAACTTGAATACTTATCAAAGAACCATAAACAGAAATAGAGTCATGCCAACACAATGCCATGTATGAATCTTAATTGGAAATGGATCTAATTGATTGGCATTTTGGGTTGCTTTGATTCAAGAGGGACCTTCCATTAATGGAGAGTTAGAACTCTCCAACTCATCACTTGCACTTAGCAACCAAAAGTAGGTTGGTTATATTATCAAACTTTGTCCCTTAGAAAAAAAATAAATAAATGAAAATGAAGTGTAATTCATTCATTTTTCATTTAACTTCCTCAACCATGCAAATTCGTTAAAAATTCGTACATTTATAGTGTGTATAGATATGCTAGATAATGTACCCACCCAACAGCTTTTGCAGTGTCTTGAATTTTCACCTAATTTGGTCACTTCATTTCATCCATGTGGTGTTATTAGGGCCTGAGCTAGAAAATACTCTTGTACTCTGTGATGACAAGTCTCCCCAACTATTATATAATCTAACTCATTCATTCACAATTTTAGTCTAATTACTCCCTCTCTCTCTCTCTCTCTCTCTCTCTCACACACACACACACACACTGAAATGATAACAGCTTTCTCTTTCTTCTCCCTGGTCTTGCTCTTACATGTCCACTTCACATTCTCTGCATCCCTAATGCAGGATTCAGAAGCAGTCAGATGGTACATGTTACTTCTAAATGAACTACATTTGTTTATTGAATGCCTTTGAAGTTATTCTTTCTACTAACGTCACATATGCTTAATTAAATTATTTTTGGTAGCACGGAATCACGTTTTTTCAATTTCAATTTCAAAATTCTAAATGCAGCATTAGCAAATTCTAAATGGCCTTTATTTTCGACGCCTTGGAACCGGAATTGGAGAAATTTTCAATTCCAATTCCAAATTCCATGCTTCGAAACGTAACGTTAGCAAATTCTAAATGGTCTTTATTTTTGTACATGTTTGAACAGGAGCTCAATGAAGAACCAGACAATGGGAACAGGAACAGGGCCATGTAGAACTGGCAACCCTATCGATGACTGTTGGAGGTGTGACCCTGATTGGGAAACCAACAGAAAAATGCTAGCTGATTGTGGCATCGGGTTCGGGCGCAATGCCATCGGTGGCCGTGACGGTGAATTCTACGTGGTGACGGACTCGGACCACGACGACCCGGAGAACCCGGCCCCCGGGTCTCTCCGGCATGCAGTGATCCAGGATGAGCCCCTGTGGATCATCTTTGACCATGACATGGTCATCCACTTGAAAGAAGAGCTCCTAATGAACTCTTACAAGACCATAGATGGTAGAGGGCATAAAATTCAAATATCAAGCGGTCCGTGCATCACCATACAGAATGTGACTAACGTCATCATACATGGCATTTACATACATGATTGTGTGCCTGCCGGGAATGCCATTGTGAGAGACACACCAAGGCATTTTGGGCAAAGAGGCACCTCAGATGGGGATGGGATTTCGATTTTCGGGGCTCGGGATGTGTGGATTGATCATTGCACACTAGCCAGCTGCAGTGATGGACTCATAGATGCTGTGTTTGGATCAACGTCCATAACCATATCAAACTCATACATGTTTAATCACAATGAAGTCATGCTCATGGGTCATAGTGATGACTTTGTTCTTGACAAGATCATGCAGGTCACCATTGCCTTCAATTACTTTGGGGAAGGTCTAGTTCAGAGGATGCCTAGGTAAATAACTAAATTAACCATCACCATTATATATATATATAATTAAAATATTTATGCCTAAGCATATATATTTTTCTTGCAGATGCAGACATGGGTATTTTCATATTGTGAATAATGTATATACTGGGTGGAAATCTTATGCAATTGGAGGAAGTGCTTCCCCCACAATCAACAGTCAAGGAAATGTCTTCATTGCATCAGATGACAGTTCTATAAAAGAGGTGAATTTCTTTATGCAAAATTTTGTATCGTACATGGAGAGACTGTTTAACGTTTTAGTCATAATAAAACAACTTTACTATTACGTCAAACCTATTTTTGTGTCATGTCTCATGACCCAGAAGTCCTTAGTTCGACTCGTGTAAGGTTCTGGGATTAGCCTCTATGAGTTTTTTTAGGGCTTATCGAGAAAAACTGCATACATTTTAAATTTGAGAAATCAAATTGTGTTTCCTCAAGATTTACTTGTGGTTCAGGTGACGAAACGCGACACGGAACTAGGATACCCGGAGTGGAAGAACTGGAATTGGAGATCAGATGGAGATCTGTTGCTGAATGGTGCTACTTTTACACCTTCTGGAGAAGGATCCGCTGGAAGCTATGCAAAAGCCTCGAGCATGGTTGCAAGACCAGCTTCACTTCTAACAACTATAATTCCTTCTGCTGGAGTTCTCAATTGCGAGATTGGCCAACAATGCTTCTAAATTCGGCACCCAGAATTATTGTTTTATAGTATTTGTTACTTATTTTATTTTATTTTTCTTTATAAACAATTTAGATTATTGATTGCTTTTGATTTGATGTTCAGAATTTATTAAGTTCTAGTCTTGTAGCATTTTATCTTCCTCTAAAGCAAAAATTGAAGGGGAAGCGAGACTATTGTTGTTTATAGCTTTTAGTCATATTCAATTACTTTACATTTTTGTTTCAATTATGTCTGTTTTTTAAAAATGATTTAATCAAATTTAATAGTTCTGCTCTTTCTTCTAACTAAGGACACCTATTTGCGCTCTTTGTTCTAACTAAGGACACCAAGTTATTCCAATTTTGAAAGCTTGGGCATGCTTGGTTTGCAACTCTTAAAATAGTTTTCAGAAACTCAAAAAATAGAGAACTGTTTTCAAAGAACTATAAAAGACTTGTTATCTGAAAACAGACATTTTTATAACTGATTTTTCAAAAAACTGAACCAAACAGAATTTTTTTGTACAATTTTCTGTTTTCAATTTTTGGAGAACAGAAAACTGTTTCCATAGTTACAAACTAACCAAACCCTTAAGTTCTCATCATTTGTTTTTTATTTGGTAAATTTCATTTAGACCCCTCAAGTTTGTCCACACTTTAATTAGACCTCCCAAGTTTATCTATCTTCCATTCAAACGCATGTCAGACGTCATCTGACAAGGAATGAAATGACTAATCTACCTTTATTGTTGGGGGAAAGTGTTTAATTAATGTCGTGTTCATAGGAAGGAAGGAAGGAAGAGATATAAAGAAAAAATAGGAAAGAATGAACGAACTTCTTTTGTTCCTTAGTGATGATACAAAAAAAAAAAATAGAGAATAGGAAGGATAACCCATCATTCATCTTTTACAAATTTTCATCTGTTAAAAAATAGGCAGAAGAAAGGATAGAAGTCAAGTGGACTATTATACTAGTTTTAAATTAAATAGTATCCTAAATAATATAAGTTTTAAATTACCATGCTATCCTTTAGAAATTACAATATTATAAATATTATTAAATAACTTTAAATTTGAATAATTATGAGTTTATTTTCTTCTCTTTTATCAATCCCAACAAAAAAAAGAATACACAATCTCTTTTCTAGGGATGAATCCCTTTCTTCTCTCCCTTTTATTTAATTTTTTTATTTCCTAACAAACATAGCAGAAATTAGAAGGAATGGGGAGGGCAATCTGAATATTATAAATTATTTATTTTTGATGATGTCAACAACAACCCTCTTTGATTGTTACACGAGTCTCAACAACAACAATAATATAATAATAATAATACCTAGATCAATGAAACGATAGATCTTGATTCAACTCTCTTCCTCTAAAACCAGGTCTCACACACAATGTAGGTGCGGTGTGTGTATGGAGAGATTAGGCCCACATTAATGTGCAATGATGTTTATGGAGATATTAATTTCCCATGTGAAAATGCAATGTTCTCTCCTTCCACATGTAAACCATTTAAGCAAAAAAAAACACACAATGTAGGTGCGGTGTGTGTATGGAGAGATTAGGCCCACATTAATGTGCAATGATGTTTATGGAGATATTAATTTCCCATGTGAAAATGCAATGTTCTCTCCTTCCACATGTAAACCATTTAAACAAAAAAAAAACAAGCAAAAAAAAAAAAAAAACCAACAACAAATATATTATTGTGCCTGAAATTATCAGTCTTAAATGCAATAGGATGAGGAAACTAAATTCAATTAATTGAACCAAAATAATTAGAATAAGACTCTTGAATTAAAGTCTCAGTGAATTTCAACTCATTGTAGCATTCCGTTATTCTTCATCAATCATCGTCACACTTTCTTAACTTATCTTTCAACTAATATGATAATGATATTTTATTACCACCATAGTTCATAGTAAATATACTATATTAAAAATAAAAAATAATAATAAAAATAAATAAACTCAAAATCAATCTGTGATTTTTTTTCTACTCCAAAAAGTAATTTGAAGAGAGAGAGTGTGTAACAATATGAATAGAGTGACTAGATGGTCTCACCATCCCTATTTTGCATTCAGTCTATTTGAATCAGTAAATGTATTCTATAACATCACGGAATAAATTTGTGTTGACAAATAAAAATATGTTTTATTCCATAAACAAGTTAATAGCCATTTAACTACTTAAAGTAGAATTACAGCAAAAGAAGTTTGATAACAATAATAATATTATTACAAAAAATATATATATGAATAAAGTGGTGAAGATCTATATATAATACTGATACATTAGATAGCCAAAGCAGCCCAAAGAGCCAAACCACTGAAAATGATCCGAGCCTCATAGTTGCGGTTAGAACCCGATAAATCGCCGACAGGACCCTGGGCAGTCTCCGGCGATGAACTCGCTGGCAAGGGACTCGGCGGGCTGCTGCTTGATGGGAACATTTCTGGTGCCTCTGCCGGTGTTGCAGAACTCGCCGGAACGCTCGCCGCTGTTGGGGTCAGAGCGGTAGCCGGAACCTCCGCCGTTGCTGGAGTCATCGCGGGAGTTATTGCCGACGGAGATGTCGCCGGAGTGCTCACTGGGGTTTCAGCCGACGGTGGAGGAATCGCCGGAGCCGTAACCGGAGCAGGCCCACCGGACGCCGGAGTCGATGCCGGGGAAAAGGCGGTCGGCGATGGAGTTGCCGGAGATTGAACCGGCGAAGAAGTTGGGGTTGGACTTGCCGGAGAAAGAACTGGCGAAGATGACGGGCTGGTAGTCGGAGAAACTGGCATCGCCGGAGAAATTTTTGGAGTGGCGGCAATGGGTGGCGACGAAGTCGGAGACTTTGAAGGGGATGCATGAGGAGTCGCCGGAGTGGACACCGGCGAACTTGCCGGCGAGGGCACATTATTGGACTTGGGTGCTGCTGCAGGAGCATTGGTCCCCTGGGCGCTGCCGGAATCTGACACACACAACACGAGTAAAGCAATCACAAGCAGTCTACACATCTTGGGGTTTCAACAATTAAATGTGGGCTTGTGGTGGGAATATTCCGGCGGCCTGAAAAGGAATATGCCTATAGAATGGTATTTATTTATTAGCCGGTAAGTGATGTTTGGATGAATGGAAATGGAAAGAAAGAGGAATATATAGGGAGGAGTATGAAACTAAACGTTGCCTATAGAAATGTAAGAGGAAATGTGACCGTTGGGATGGGTGGGGTCACTTGTTACGGGCATAGGGAGTAAAAGTAGCCGTTATTTGGAAGTACATGAATGGCTGGTTCGGTTACATCGGCTTCGAATCAAATGAACCCACTTGTTACTTGTTTTAGTTACGGTACGCGCCAATTTTGTTCCGGAGAGAGTATGTGTGAGAAATGCGCAGGATTTCACACACGATGAGATGATACTTGACCAACAATTCCACCACTTTCTTACCTAACCAAAAAAAAACACAATTCCACCGCTTCATCTAATCATTATGTAATCCTATGTGTGTGTCTATGGAATCCTATGTATGTGACGCTATTACAAGAGTATCATGTTCATATATTCGTATTAAATATGGATGTTCCTTAAATACTTACGAAATTATCAATAGGTCTATAATAATTTTTATGCGTAATAGTAATTTTAGAATATCTATTTATAAATTTTATTTATATCTAACAAGTAACGGACACTTTTCAAATACTTTAAAACACGTATTTAACAATATTAAAATGTAACCCTTTAAAACAATAATATATTAATATAATTGTTAAGAATTAAAAAGTGTGCAATAAATTTTTTGTAACATTTTTACTCCCTATTTGAAAAAGTGTGCAATAAACACCCCTAATTTTTTAAAATTGTACAAAATTACCCCTATGTCATAAATCTGACATAAATTAGTGTTGTAATACATATTTTACCATTTTACTCTTCCGAAAATGCCCAATGGGGTATATATGCTACTAATCTCATACTATAGGGGTGTTTTGTGCACATTACCATATATATAAAATTTAAGGATAATTTTACTTGCCTCCCTTGAGGTTAGGCCTAATTACAGATAGCACCCTCAACGTTTCAAAATTTACACCAACCTCCCCCAAGGTTAGCTCTGTCGTAACATTTTACCCCTTCCGGTGATAGTCAACAATGATATCAACCATTTTTTAGTCTAAAATACCATATTTGCCCTCACTATAGTTGTAAAGACATTTCCCCCCTTACTTTTGAACTGAAAATTACTCATGTAACCTTACAATCACACTTTATTTTTTTGCACAACACTCTATATTCATATATAGCCTATATATATATATACAGGTCCCTGTTTAGATCTATATATACATCCCCTACAAATCGTCAGACCGATCTATTCATGGCCTCAATAATAGCCTTTTCGGCCGCTCCGACGACTCCATCGAGCTTGTTGATCTCCGAAAAGAGCGAAACCAAGACAAAACGATACCTTACTTGGTAGAACCTGATCTGGCTTGGCTTTTTCTTTGTCGTCGGCTTTGGCATCTTCCCCCTCACCGGAAAAGAAGCACAAAACGCTGCCGGACCCCTCCATCGTGCTCTCGTACGCCGCCTCGGCTATCTGTATTTGGCTACACGGAAGCCCCAAATGCCTAAATTGCGAGCTAAACCCTAGTTTTTGCCCATAATAAAAGCAGTCCAAAAGATTAGCGAATGGCGTTGGCTGGCCAATGGTTGCGTTTTAATCGAGATCGATCAATCACCTTGAAGCCAAAGAGAAAGACCAGAGAAGAGAGACACGAAATATATACACATATATAACGTGTATATGTGTACACATATCACGAAATTACCATAAAAATTAAAAAGAAAAATCATAAATACAATTTGCTGCCTTAAATATTACGTTTTTAGTTTAATTTTTTTTGGTACTTGCATTTTACTGATGATTTTCATATCTTCATCTCAATGGCACAGATGAAATTGAAAGAATTTATGTTTGGTTGCCAAGAAAATGCAAGAAAAAGGAAATATACACACATGTAGACATATATATATATATATAGATAAGATATAGAAGGTTTTGGAAATCGACCATCCGGTAATTATGGTTCACAAAAGGAAGAAGATAAGATGAAGAATATGAGATGAAGTGAAAATAGGATTGAATGTGGAAGGTAAATGGTAAGAGTGTCTTTTGGGAAAAAAAATGTTATAAATATTATAATAGGGGATATATTAGTATTTTCACATTGATTTCTATCGGAACTTAACGTTGGTCAGGTTGGAGGGAGGTCGTGTAATTTTTGAAACGTAAGCGGTACCGCCTGTAATTATGCCTACTCTTAAAGAAGGTAAGTGAAATTATCCCTAGAATTTATGTATTCTTATTCACAGTTCCTATATATAAAATCTAACACTTAAACAATTTGAGAATTATTGATTGAACAAATTTGTAAGGTGAATTAAAAAAATGGAAAGTGATTTGTAAGGAATCCGTGTCAACCAAAAAAAGGTAATTCATATGATTTGCAAAACGTTTTAGTTGGAAAAAAAAAAAAGGAAACAGCCCAAGCAAACGATGCCTTAAGTTTTATACCCACTTCTCTCTCTTCTACCCCACGCCCCCCAAATATGGTTTATCTTCTTTCTTCTCTGTCTTTCTCTCTCTAACTGTGCCCTCAAGAAACTAGGTTTGGTAAGCAAAGTACTCTGTTTGGTAAAAATACAATCCTATAAGAACTAAACAATTTACTCTGTTTGGTTAGCAAGAAAAGAGGTAATTCAGGTTGTTTTAAACTCTGTCACCGAGGTTGTTTTTGCCGCTGTCACAATTTCATCATTAAAGCTCACTCAGTTTGCAGAGTCTCTAAAACTCGAACACCAGTTCTTGAGAGTCCCCTTTGAGCACTACAAGAAATCAATTCACGCAACCACCACACTGTAGACAAGGAGATGTTAGTTATAATCTCCTGACGATTTTTCTTAAGACGATTACGTTCAGCACCTTAATTTACTCGTCTCCAGATTGCAAGTTCTTAAGAGGAAGGTATATGTTATAGAAGCCCCTAAGTGGCTAAGCCTATGTTTGATTGCTGAGAAAATGAATAAAAAATAGAATTTTTAATCTAACATCCATTTTCTTGAAACATGAAGTGAACATAGAGTTCTAATTAAAAGAGCAAAGTAAGAGAATTTAAGATTCTGAGATAGCTAGATGGTCACCGAAGAACCATGCAAGACTTGGAGCTTATGGTTGTATCGCTAAAGAGTTGGGTCTCACCAGAGCTTTTGCCAGATTTCATAGATGTCTAAACAATTTTCTCTGGTTTGGTTTTGGGTCACTGCTTTAAGTCATCGTTGGAACAATTGAACTGTGCAGCTTCTTCGTGGACATCATCTTTCAAGCTTGGTTGATCTCTGTTATGAAACTCTTTGTTAGTCGTTGTTGCTCAATGTTTCTTGTCGGTGATCATGGTGATTGCCGGATTGAAGACGAAATAACGATGTCTCAAGAAGTATACTCTTTTTGGTCACTTCACAAAATAATATTTTTTTATATATTTTATAAAATGCCTTGGTAAGGACATTTTAGTCTAATTTTATCTTGGGGAAAGTCTGAAAAACACCCCTGTGGTTTTAAATTTGTGCGACTTACCCCTCTTTAGTTAGATTTATTTATATAAATCCATCCAAATATAAAAATGTGCAATTAAGCCACTTCCGATGACTATTCCAGTGAGAATTGGACTCCAGTTGGTCATGTGCCATTTTAAACCATTTATTCCGGAATTATCCTTTTAACATTCCTTTAGTACTCTTCACTATATATATGCGTGTGTGTGTATGTATGTATAAATTGATTTATACCCTAATCTTTCTCTCTCTATCTCGTCTGCCACTTTCTTCCTCGTTCCTCCTCCTTCTTCGTCGTTCCTCCTCCTTCTTCCTACTGGCGTCCCATATATGACATTGTAAGTACCCCCTATTTTATGTCTTTCTTTATTTCTCTCTCCTTATTCTCACCCGAACTACACCATATCTTCTATTTTCCACTCTCTGTTGCACTCTTTGTTGCAGGTTCCCAATGGCATACTCTTCAAGTTCTGCAAATCGAAGCTCAAGTGGGCATAATGAGAAAAGGATGTATTGTTATTGTGGTTTAAAAACACCCATAAAGGCCTCTTATACTAATAGGAACCCTGGCAGAAGGTTCTATGGCTGCCCAAATTATCCATCACCAACATGTGATTTGCATATGTGGGAGGATGAAGAAGTTTCTGATTACTACAAGCATTTCATTTATGATTTTATATCAAAAGTTAGGCAACATAGAAAAGTTCGATCTGCAATTAAAAATCCTAGTTTTGGTGTTGTTGTCTGCAATTAGAACATGGTATTAGCAATGCAGAGGCAACTAAACCAAAAAATAGAAGAAATGAATTCAATGCAAAAAGAAATGGAGAGGAAAATAAACAAATGCAATTTCAACCTTTTTGTGAGGACTTGCATTTTTGCATTTTTATTATTTTCCGCACATGGTGGCATTCATGCATTTTAGTTTTTTTTTTTTTTTTTATTTTTTTATTATTAGAAATTATGATTTAAGTTGCAAATGTGGTTAAATAATTTAAATGTCATTTGTTTCTTTCATAAAAGGTGTTATAGACTTTTTGTTTTGCAAATAGGATATTTGGCATTTGATTATTTTATAAATGGAAAAGTAGACTTTTATTATGCAAAATAGCATAATTGGCATTTGGTTAGTTGTGAAAGCGTGTTGTGGACATTTTCATACAAATGACATGAATGGGATTTTGTGTTTGTGGAGGAGTGTTTTAGTCTTTATGCATGGTCTAGATTTTTACTATTGTGTGGGCTTGACACCTTAGTGCTTGGTGGCTGCCCTCATGCAAATGTGACGGCCCAAGTTTTTCAACCTGGTGCGTCAGTGATGAACTGAAAGATGACCCGATAACGGATCCGAAGTGCGGAAGCAAAAGACAAAATAATGGTCTCTAGATATACAACATGGCTCTAAGACACCATTATGACTCTCAACGAGGTAACGGAACCCAAAGGAATCAAATGGGGAAGCAATGTTTCAAAAACGAACAAGATTGAACCTAGGGGCAAAATTGTCATTTCTAGCTTAAAAGTGGGTGCCACCGAGCACACCATTGGAAAGACAACGAAAAATCAATGAACTTAGACTCAAAAATCGCTAGATTCGGAATCCAGATGAAGAAGATATGGCTAACGGAAGAAGAAGGGGCAAAACGGTCCAAAAGAGGCAACCCATGAACATCTAACCGGTTAGATGGCCTATTTAACCGGTTAGAAGGCCAAAAACAGTGACAAAAATGCTGCCCACACTCATGTAACTGGTTACGAGACCCCATCTAAACGTTTAGATGTGAAGGGCAGTAAGGGTGCGACCTAAAAACCTGGCAGTAGGGGATTTTCTGGAAAAAATGGAAATTTGAGGGCCTATATGACATTTTCTGGAAAAACACAAAGAAGAAACCCCCCTCAAAATCGAGTTTTCTACATTAATTTTAGGAAAAATTGAAAAAAAATCACTATGAAATGCCCAAAATGCCCTCCCAAGAAAACTGGTCCAGAGGGTCCAAAAAGCTGCTAAATTTAAAAATTGAGAGTTGAACTTCGTATGCGATTTCCGATACCAAGACGACATTTTCTGGAAAAACATGAAAAAGAAACCCCCCTTAAAATCACGTTTTCTATTCAACCATATTGAAAAAAGGAAATAAAATTGAATTAAAAAGTCTAGAATACCCCTAAATTAGAATATGCAACAAAAGTGCAAAATGAGTTCATAGAAGGCTCAAAACACAAACGATGAGGTTTTGCCCGGAAACGACCATGCACACAAACGTAACTTACCTATTTAGACCTACTACAATGGTTCATGACTTAAAAATACCACCGATGCAAAATCCGACCCCCCAACGGGCAAAAAGGCAAAAATGGAACTTGGAATGAAAACTCAGAATCCAAAAATACAAAACTGGATCAAATGACCGTTTGGCCCTTGGCCACACTTCAAACATGATTTATGAGACCCTATGAAAGAATGAGAATAGAATTCCCACACCCGATGTAACCGTGGTGAAGCATTGACTTGCGATTTTTCAAAATTTTCATAATATTTCATGAAGTTAAAAAGTACATAGGATACCATATAATGGTCATTGGCCTCCGGCCTCATCTCATACATATCAAATACATTGTAAAGAGTGTACTCATGTACACACTACATATATGGAATCAAATAATACATATTTTGATACATAAGGTTACAAAGAGGCATTTTATGCTAACACTTGCATAAAATGGAAACTTAAAAACTATAAGCCATCCAAGGAGCAATGAGCACCACGAACCAAGTCTTCATACCTGAAAAATGTTCCCACTACGTGGGTGAGTAACATAAAGCTACTCGTAGGAAATGAGTATGCATCGACCTAGCATTTTACAATTTTATCACCTTAAGGTGAAACATGTTAAAGGGGCTCATGCCACCTAACGTCTATGTCCAAGTGAGACTCGGAGAGCATCCTAAGCTACCTT